CGGTGCCTTTGAACGTCCCAGCTCACCTAGTTGAAACGGTAACCCTAAATTGATTTTCTCAATGGTCGGGCACCCAAATGTGTAGTCGCCTTTGGGATATCCACTGGCTTTCATTCGAAGATTCTGAAACATAAAAAAGCATCTTTTGCGGGTTGTCTTCTTCATCCTTGTCGCTTTAGATAACTTTGGATGAGCAGCCTGACGTTTGTGGACAGTGGGCAGAACTTTGCCAAAAAATAAGGCCCGCCGCGGAGCCATATGCTAGTGTTTCCCATAATTAATGGCACTAATCCATTTATGCCCAAAGATTGATCGTACCTTTCTGGAGAACAAACCTCTTCAAGCAGTTTATACCCGGAAGAATGGTGAAAGCCTATTTACGCAGTTTATACTTTCGTGAATGCCAAATAGCAAAGGAAAGCCATGTCTGAGTTTTTGAAAACATGTAATCCACCCTCCCTCCATGTCTTTGGAATCCACATAGTTAAGAAATGTTCGGCAATCTCTAGCTCTCGTGGGGACGGGACTAATTTATATAATTAGCGGAAACGGGGAAAAACAGAGAGTAAAGCCGCATTGTTGTAGCCATGTTTAGCGCTTTTTCTGACAGATACAACAATATGTGCAATCAGACTCAATACGAGGTAAAAAATCACTAGCGAGTGTTGATCGATAGGAAACGTTATTTTCAGCAGATGATACGTGCATTTTCAAGGCTATGGCGACTTCTTGTATAGTATCATTCCCTTGCTGTTCTTGAGATGATTTTGTACGCATGACTAATGTGTCCTTGGTCCATAACTTCAAACATAGAGCCACGTGATCCGGTAACCATCACTCTGAGCGATTAAGAGAGCACAGCCTTTGCATGTATGAATGGAGAAAACATCTGGAGAGTAGTCCCGTGTGCTGTTATCCTTATAGTGAAGTGGTTGTGAGTGAAGAGAGTGGAGCAGATAGGTACTTCAGCAGCGCTAAAATGGTTTTGTAACCTTTTTCGTGCCAAAAGAAATTCCGGTGGGATTTCTCCAAAAATGGCAATAATGTTTCTCAAAAGCGGTTCTTGCACCACGAATGAGTTTGAAAAATGAGAGAAATTGATGAAGATTTAGAAGCCGAAAACTGCGCTAAAAACTTGAGCAACTTAAAGGCAATGTTCGGAGAAAAACTCGATTACGGGATTTTGTGCTTACCCGGGCCTGTTCGTTATGCTGAATCCGAAAATCTACACCGGAGAGCGCGAAAACGGCAACGAAGCGCTGTAACGCAGTAAGAAAATCGGAAGTGGGCAGGGTCTTCCCCAGTGTGAATTCACGGGCCTGGCTTCCAAAGCGATCTTCTGACATCGTCACCGGCCAAGTGCAAATGATTGACTTGAACCCGAAACCGAAAACATCGCTCCGGAAGCTGGAAGCGTAAATTCACAGTGGGGAGGACCCCGTCCATCCGTGATTTTTCTACTGTCTTAGAGTCCCTTTTTTGCCGTTTTCGCGCTCTCCAATGTGGATTTTCGGATTCAGCATAGCGAATAGGTCCGGTTAAGGACAAAACCCCCAAAATCGAGTTTTTGCGAGTAGATAGAAATGACGGGTGAAGGGTATTGACAATCACCACAATGCTTATAAAAGATCTTGCCTCGTTAATCTAATCGTTTGAAAGAGGAGAAATAGTTGCATCGAATGCACAAGGTCATTTAGGTCTTATTGTATCTAATTTTATAGTCGTTTGAAAAAACATATAAAACTTTCGAAAGAACCTAATATATTATCCTGCAGCTCTAAATGTCCTTTCGATTTGAACGAAAACTACAATAAAAAACTTTGCCTCGAGAATCTCTCATTTCTTTCCACTTTAGCGCTTTTAATGCGGTTTTTTCTTGCGTTTGATAAATCTTGCTTTTATTTACAGTGTAAACCGCACCTTAATTTTTCCTTACGTGACAAAACATTTTGTAGAAAATTGCAAAAAGTGAGTTTTAAAAATGCTAATCGTTTTAAAAAAACGATTAGCAGAAAAGGAAGTCAGATTCGGAATTAGCGATCCAAGATGAGTGTAATGGTATACATCTCATCTCAAAAGGCCACGGACACCAAGTATCGTTTCCTTGCTAGCCACTTTATTAGGCTGCTGCATAAGTTCTGTCCGATTTGAATTTTTTGAGTTCAAAACGTCGTAACTTCTTTAAAGTCAACTTTTTCCCAAGATCTTAGTTTCTCTGTGTTGAGCAGTCCTTTGGCTATGGAACACATCTTGAGAACTGCGCAAATCTTTGTTAAGAAAGAAGCAAGAATGCAAAAACTTCACAGCGTTTCTCTTCAGATCTGTCTTTTTGACATGGCAGTGCTCCCTTATGAGAATTGATAGGCATCTTATTTAACAATGGATAGATAGAGAAACCTTCGTAGATTGTTATGCAACTAAAAGAGCCCATAGGGTCTGCGCTGCCGAGAGATTTTCTCGACCGAGCAAAAAAGAAGCCACTTTTTGACCTCGTTTTAGCGCATGTGTGCATGCCTATTACAAATGGTGAAAATTTTGCAACTGACGTGAGCGCCGAAAGGGAACTGGTAGATGGGCCATGCTAGCTCTTGCTTTGCCCAAGCACTTCCAACTTTGAACGTATCGATTTATTCCCAGAAAATTATTGCTTGTAAAACATCTATACAAAAAATTAATGTTCGACGACAAATTTCACTAACAAAACGTTTTCTTCATGGAACCGAACTTCTGCATATACTAGCACTCTACACCCTTATTCCGCAGCCATTGAAAGAATTGATTTGAAAAGAGCATTGTGGAGATTTCCTCGCAAGAACATATATCTAGGGTGAGAATGTACCTCGGCCACTTAGAGATTTTCAGCCTGAAATCTCCGTACACCAAGAAATTTAATGAAATCTGACATGCATCAGTAAGAGCAAGGAGAGCTCTTTCAAATGATACTAATAACACTGCATGAGATGAAATTCTCTTAGAACAGCTGCTTCAAACATAAGGCAAAAAAATCGGACAGGACTTATGCACAGGGTCAAGCGTGGGGTGCGGCACGCCACACCTGGGGGGTCGTATTGAGGAGTCAAAAGGGGAGGGGGTCGTAGTTGGGTAATCTGATAATAGTGGTAACATGATATTCGTATCCTATCCATAATTAGCATGTCAAGTAACCCTTGTAGACAAAGTGTGAGCGAACTCTGAAGATTCAAGACACTAGGCTACCTAAGTGAAATGGTCAAATTCCAGCATGGTTAACGTTGTTTCAAAGGTGAGTTAGCTGTCCGATTTTGCACTCAAGACAAAGCACTACTTCTTCTTTGTCCACCTCAGGAATCCCGCTTCAGAAGACCTCCAAACTGTGGAATTAGAAGCCAAACAAAATCTCGTTTTTCCCATTTTTCACTTTTGATCGCTGTGCTTTCACCAAATATTACTCAGAGCTGAAGAGACGAACCAGGCTCCAAACAGTTCTATGGGATCTGCAAGGTTTAGGCTATCGACACATATGAATACTGTCTGCTAAAATTGTTCTTTTGATATAGTTAATGGGGTGCGGCACGCCCCCTTAAAAGCTGCGGCCGCCGCAGCTTTCAAGGGGGTGTGCCGCACTCCATTAACTTACTTTCAAATACATCAAACAGCTGCCTTTTTGATGTCGTTGTTACTGCTTAACCTTCTTTTTTACATTGCAGGAATTTCATACGAAAACCTTTCTTCAAGAGCAAGATATAATCGTTTTTCCTTACCTATGCAAATGTAAAATATTGGTAAAATATTGGGATACGGTAACATGCTAAGTCTGCGCCACTACGTGAATCGCAAGGGAAGGCGACAGGAATGTATGAATCGATAGCATAAACCTTGCAGATTCCATAGGACTGTTTGGAGCCTGATTCGTCTTCTTACGATTAGCTCTGATTGTGAGTAATATTTGGTGAAAGCACAGCGATCAAAAGCGAAAAATGGGAAAAACGAGATTTTGGTTGGCTTCTAATTCCACAGCTTGGAGGTCTTCTGAAGCGGGATTCCTGAGGTGGATAAAAAAGGAGTAGTGCTTTATCTTGAGTGCAAAACGGATAGCTAATTTACCTTTGAAACAAAGTTAACCATGTTGGAATTTGACCTTTTCACTTAGGTAACCTAGTATCTTAAATCTTCAGAATAGGCTCACACTTTGTCTACAGGGGTTATTTGACGTGCTAATTATGGATATGTTGCCCATTATGTTTGACAGGGCAAGTAATGCTACCTTAAGTGTGTAGTTCAAGGGGGGTCTTATTACGACAGCAATCAGGGGGGAGGGGGGGGGGGGGGTCGTAACCAACGATCGTGTGCCACACCCCTTGCTTGACCCTGCTTTGCAGCAACCTAATAAAGCAGCACGTTCGCCTTGAAGACTGAATGCTGCAGCTACCTGCTGCTAAATGCAAGCCTACGGCCGTTTGTTCGTCTGGGGTAAACTGTTCCTTTACATTCTTGAAACCAAAGGAATATCTATCCAATGAAGCCTTTAGGTACGGTAAAATCAAAGCTTAGGCCAGTGGCGTACCCATGATTTCCGCTCGGGGGGGCGACAAAAATTTTTTTCTGATGAAGGTGCGTGGCGTGAGCCACGCACCGAGAAAAATTTTTTGGTATGCTTCTCAAAATTTTCGCGGGCCCATAACCCCAAAATTGAGAAAAAGGGGGCGTGCCGTCAGCCACGCCCCCGAAAAAAATTTTTTTACAAGGCTAAATTTAATTTTTAAAAATTTTTAAAAATTATTCTAATTTCACAAGTATAAACAAGTCACTTGCACATTTTTATGACCCATATAAGTTACTTTCAAAAATTCCTCGACTCATTCTCGGAGGGGGGGGGATCGCGCTCCTCGCCCCCCCCCTCGGTACGCCACTGGCTTAGGCTACTACTGAGCATGATCGGTCAGTCAGCAAACTCTTTATTTTGGTAGGAAAATTAATCGTCATATCAAGTGTTACACGTTGCAGTGTTACTTGCAAAAAAAGCCTTTCTTTAGTTTTCTTCAACAAAGAAACTATATTTCACATGTCTACGGCGCTTTATCCATTCCAAGCATCTCAGTGAGCACTCCTCTGGGGATTCCTTTGTTTTGGCATTTCATCAAATAGTAACTGCACCTCCTTTCGCTTTCGGCGAAAGAGAGAACATGCTGGTCTGCCACGCGTGCTTTAAAGCAAAGCGTCCTTCCATTCTGAAATGAGGTGCCATTATCACCGTGGCTGTATAGCACTGTGTTTATAAGAATCGCTACTAATTTTACTTTTGCAGAAAATGCTACGACGTCAGTCATAACGAATTAACGTTTGAAGACAAAATATGTGAAGAATTGTGAATTATCTTAGCCCATTCAATAAAGTTACATAAAGTTTTTACCTAATTATCAGTTGATACAACTTGGATTACAACAGGGCACGTACTATTAGCCTCCCACCAATTTGCTATAAAAAAATAATTTAAACGTTCGTAAGTGATAGCTATTTGCTAGCAATGATTAAGACGAATGCATCACTCTACGAGTTTGTTTCATAGTGTTCTATGCTTTTCTATATGAAAACACTGCTTCTGCCAGCTTGGCGAAGTTCATTAAAATTCGACGCAAATGACAAACTTCTTCAAAAGTGTCAGTTACCTATTACACGCTATGTACCCTTACTACTAGGCGCACAATCACTGTTCTGATACGAAAACAAGTACCTAGCTACTGCCTTTTCAACAAACCATGACTTTTTGAGACTTCCTAACTTGGCGGTAGCGTTTATTATGCCACAATCCAGTACTACATGTGCAATTTTGAAAAAAACTAAAACAAGCCAGCTCTTTGTGAGCAAAGGGCTTTCGTCTCTGTGTTTGAGGGCAGAGCGCTTTTGCAAAGGTCTGGCAACAACATGTCTTATGCACGTACATCCCCGCGAGGAGGGGAGGGGATGTGAGAGGGAAAGCGTCATATCTCGCTAGTCTACATATCTTTCTACTTATTTCTCTATCTCGCTTATGAAGTTTCTTATACACTGATACCTGCGCATAAGGGATGCCAGGTTACTGCCATACAAGATTAGATTATTCACTATTTCTTCTGATCCCCTGGGGATCCTCAGGGGATCACCTCACATCTTAAAAGTCATTTATCTTCCTGGAAAATCAATGAAAACGCTGCAAAATTGTACTGAAGATATACTACGATACTGCTGAGCATGTTTTCGACAGAAAAAATGGAATCTGGAGATTTTCATTTTCTCGATGATCCCTGGCTCGCAAGCAGCATCGAAGTTTTTGATATCTTGAGATTTCACTCATTTCTACCATAAGCATGTTTAGCAGTGCTGTATTTATCCTCAGTACAATTTTAGAGCATTTTCATTGAGTTTTCAGGAAGATAAATGATTGAAAATGTAAGGTGATCCCCCAGGGATCCCCAGGGGATCAGACGAAATACTGAATATCTAATCTTGTATGGCAGTAACCTGGCATCCATTATGCGCAAGTATCAGTGTATGAGAGCCTTCAAAAGTAAGACAGAGGAAGAAGAAGAAAGATACATAAACTAGCGAGATATGACGCTTCCCCTCTCAGATTCCCTCCCCTCCCCGCGAGGACGTACGTGCATACGGGCCTTAATCTCACTCCCAAGTAGAGCTTCTCAGTTGCCAGGAAGTTCATGGGTTACCAAATGGACTCAACTGCTAATCTTCTTCAGGCATCGATGCGCATTCTGTGGCAATTAATGAAACACTAGTTTTAGTTTTAGACAGAAAAAAAGTGGCAATCTAAAATTCGAATGCAGGAAATCTTATTTTGAGGTGCCTGTCTAACGTCCTATGAGACATGTGTTGGAAAGGACAAAAAAGCTTGAAAATCTGTCAGAATGGTTTACGAAATTTTGCAGAAAAAAATAATTTGGAAAACTGGAATTCTTAGGAAGCCACTCAAAAACGAAAATTGGTTATAAGACAACCTAATATAACAAAGTAAGATTGAAAGTTCATGAGAGCTGTTATAACAAACATTATTACCGCTGCGGTAATCACAACTTGACATCAACTATGACAGCAAAGCGATGCTGGTGTATTCGCTGATGTTACTTGAAAGAGTGAGGCTGATGCTGTTTATTACACAAATTCCAAGGATATTCCCCTGATTGCGTTGCGGAGTGGAAGCATGACCTTTAGGTTTATGGGAGGTGGGGGGGGGGGGGATGCGAGGCGCAAATTTTTCGCGAAGCGATGCCGCAACGCGACTTCCAAGCTCTTCTTGCAATGGTACCTATGGGTTCCTTCATACTACGCGGCGCACGCCGCGTACGCCACCTACGCCGCGCACGCAGCGTACGCGGCGTAGGTGGCGTACGCGGCGTGCGCGGCGTAAGTGGCGTACGCGGCGTGCGCGGCGTAGTATGAAGGGACCCTATGGCATCGAGACTTGTATCTGCTCCCACCATCGCTCCCCTACTTCGCCGCCGTGCCACTTCAAAACGGAGGGTTTTTGTGGGTCACAAAATGTGAGTACGGCGAGCGTGGCGTCCTGGAGCAGGCCAAAGGCATACTTAGCGCGATCTGCCACCGCAACGACTCTTCATAAATGGTCGTAAGCAGGCTTTTCTTAGAACAGATTTGATGTGTTTGCATTAGTAAGTAGCGTAAGCCGCATATCTTTATGCACATGCGTACGCCGCGGTCTGCCCCGACCCATGGGCGGAATGGCGTGCATAAACTGTTCAATAAGCAGCGAGTATTTGGCGCGTACAAATGGAGGATTGTTGGTTGTGCTCCACCAGTCTTACGGCCACTGAATATTGTCTCACTTAGCAATCTTTATACCTATTCGCACTTTTCGAGAAAATAAACAGCGCATATTCTCACAATTCTATCAAAAGCTACCTGCGTACATAATCAACACGAGGAAAAGCAATGTAAAAAAAAACTTCCACTCTCGAAATGTTTATGAGGCACTGCGCATTGAAGTTTTGATTCGTCTCGTAATCGAAGACGTCTCCCTATCAGTTATTTCCTTTTCCCATTCATAACCCTCACATATTAGGCTGCTGCATAAGTTCTATCCGCATTTTTTTGCCTTATGTTTGAAGCAGCTGTTCTAAGAGAACATATCTAATGAGGTACTGTAAGTATCACCAGAAAGAAATTTCAATAAATTTTTTAATGTAAAAAGATTTCAGGCCTAAAATCTCCTAGTGGCCGAGGTAGGTTCTAACCCTAGAAATATGTTCTTGCGAAGAAATCTCTACAATGCGCCCTTCAGGTCAAGTTCTTTCATTTGGTTGCGGAATAAGGGTGTAGAAGGCTAGTATAGAAAATTTCAATTCAGTTTAGGCGGAAATGAGCTGGCGGGGTTCCTGCAGCGATTTGAGACGCTTTGCAGTCTGCGTCTTTTCATTCTAATCTATCTCGCTGAGCCATTGGCGGTGCACACGCGCTGCTGCACTTTGAATGTTTCGCCTATTCCAAATTGAAAAAGACTGCAGAAGTTCAATTCCACAAAGAAAAAACGTTTTGCTAGTTAAATTTACTGTCGAACATTGATTTTTTGTATAAATGTTTTACAAGCAGTAACTTTCTGCGAATAGAAGTAATTGACGAGTTCAAAGTTTTAGGTACTAGGGTAAAGCAAGAGCTAGCAGGGTCTATCCACCAATTCCTTTTCGGCGTTTAGGTCAATTGTAAAATTTTAATAATTCGTAAATAGCATGCATACGTGCGCTGAAGCGAGATCAAAAAGTAGCTTCTTTTTTGCTCGGTTAAAAAAAATCTCTCGGCAACACAGGCCTTATGTTTTTCAATGTTGCATAATAATCTACGAAAATTTCTCTAACCACCCATTGTTCGATAAGGTGCCTATCAATTCTCATAAGGGAGCATTGCCATGTCAAAAAAGACAGGTTTGAAGAAAAACGCTGTGAAGTTTTTGAGTTCTTGCTTCTCTTAACAAGGGTTTTCGCAGATCTCAATATGGTCTGATAGTCAAGGGGCTCCCAACACATGGAAACTAAGATCTTGAAAAAAGTTTACTTTGAAAGAATTTATGACATTTTGAAGTCAAATCGGACAGAACTTATGCAGCAGACTAACAAAATATAGTAATGAGTAGCTACATTGGATGCCTTTGATTCGCTATGGAATGAACAAGAAGGTAGTCGAAATGGTAAACAACATGAACACAATAACGCTTGTTTCAGAAAAGGTAGATATATGCCTCGTTAAAGTTGGAAGTGCAGAAAAGATTTTGAAGGGATTCATCACGTATAATATTAGTAAGCAGCGAAATCTCTAGCCAGAAAACACGAGCCCGATGATGCGAAATCGTTATTTTGCTTTGAAACAGATAACATTGTGCCCATCTCTACTCCCTTGGCTTACAAAGGAATGCCTATGAACCATGTCAGATGGCTTGATTCTTTACGAATCTGGTCCTTGCCAGATGAATAGTGTGTAGTGGATAGTGTGGATAGTGCCCTACATGAACATAAAAAAGGGCGGTGAAGTACGACAGCTTTAAACAGATGAACCAAAAATAACACCTACTTTTCCTACAACCATCACCAGAAGGTAGGAAGCGTTGTCATATCGCTCTTCCATTTGCAGAACATAAGAGATTTGACGCATGTCCTGCAAAGATATAACTCAATGGCGGAACTGAACGAGTGACAGGAATTTCATTCGTCCTTGGAAAATCCTTTAGAGAGTTCACCTTGCAACTCATAAATCAGTAGGTCTGCATACGAATGAAACAAACCTCAAGTCTCAAGATTCAACATCTTATATGTAAAGTTGAATGTCTGCTTGTCTGTCTGTACGTATGTGCGGAATAGAAATTTTTATTTTTTTTACCAATTTGGACCAAACTTGGCACACACGTACATCGGAGCAGAGAGCGTGTCATAGGCTACTTTTCGTTATCGACCGATATCGACTTTATCAATTTTTATCGATTTTTTTGCAGAGTTCACCTACGCAGCTGGGAGTTGGCACAGGGAGAGTAAGTGAGCTAACGATTCCGAATACAATATTATTATAGTTTTCAGAATAATCGATTGCTTTTATCGAGCACAGGGGGTAAGTGAGCATGGCGGCTCCGAATATTTTCAGAATTATCGATTAGTTTTATCGATTTTATCAATTTTTTGCAAAGTTTGAGCTACATGGCTGGGAGTCAGCACAGGGGGTAAGTGGGCATGCTGATTTCGAAAACAGCACAGAAAACGTGAAATGAAGTGTAGAAGTGAGCACAGGGAAAGCTGTACAGGGATAGGAATGGGACCTTTATTAAGTGTTTTGACAGGGCCGAGCAGAACCGGGTAAGCAAGCTAGTGTTTTATAAAAGCGCTTTTCATATTTTTCGTGACTGCAAAACTTTCGTGGCTGAACACATAGACATTCAGCTACACAAAATGTATATCTATATATCTATGATTTGCATGCTTGAATGTTTGTATAGGGCATTCATAAAATCGTGACGACGGATTTGATTGCGGTTCTTGCGTTCACGGAAGCATAAATCACTCATACAATGAAAAATCACCTTTGTAGTATGATCAGTCATTTCCAGTTGCTATCATATGTATTCAACAAAACCATTCGAGTAGAGATGGAATCCAAGAGAATGCGGTTACCGGGAATACGTGCATATATGGGGTGCGGAAAAGGTACTGTTCCTCAGTCTGGCTCCTTAAAAATCTCAGAGATGGAGAAAATTTATACTTTTTGGTTCCTACATGTAGAGGCATTGTAGATTCGACCAGGTTAGGTTTGATTTGAAACGATTTCCTTCTGTTTATCTAAACGAATGATAGCAGCATTATCGACGATGCGCCGCAGCGTTTGAGCGCACTTTCTGTTCGTAATCATATCACCGAGAGTAATATCAATTTCAAATTAAGGTACAGTCTGCCCCAATCCTAACCAGGCCAAAATCGGCATAGCGGGAGTCCGCGCCGCAATAGTTTCGCGCCACATCTGCGGCTAGCTAGTCTGCTCTCTCCTCGATCTCTTCACTCTCTGCGACAGCGCGCATATGCAGCGCAATCCCCCAGAGCTGCGAACGCGCAAATTCAGCCGACAGTTCGGCCTGATGCCGATTGAGGCAGACTGTAGTATGTAGAGCACAATCTCCTCTCCAAAATTCTGTACTCATTACGGGTTAGCGACGTGAAATTTTGGCTAGACAAGGAAAATTATATCCCAAGCAAATAAAAATTCACGAAAAGAGGCTAATCAGAACTGCTTTTGCTCGAGGGATTGGATCTAAACTATGGTTTGAAATTTCAGATTCAAAGCTTTGTCTACAACATAATTTTGGATCAATAAATGATTGTACTCAGTTTCGGTGTCGCGTTTTTCTGATCGCACCTTGCTGCGCCGCAGGGGCTATCTCGTTGGAAAAGTTCCCAACTTTTCTCCCACTGGCTGCTGTCTCGCTACTTCCAGCATATTTCGAAGACACTATAACATTCCTTAAGCAATGGGAGATTTCTTATATCCACGGTGGAAACAAAAAAAATTTCAAAAAAACTCCATACTTTTTTCACATTTGTTAAAGGGAGTTGCAAGATCTGGTAGAGGCTGCGAAAAGGGATCCGCTAGCGGGTAAAATTGCAGATTTTTTGAGCCATTTTTGTAAAATGCTAGAAAACATTCATACCTTAGGGCTTATGTCGAATTTACCAGAAAAACCTGGACATTATGCCGATTTCTTTGCATTTGTTTCGAGGGACAGTACTTTTTTCGCACCCTGTATATATAGGCCAATCGTAAAATCATGACGCGCGCGGTTGCGCCATATCACAGTTCCATGAATGGCCTATATATAATTGAGTTCCTGATAAACTTTGTAGAGACATGATAGGACAAATTAACCTACAGGTACCTACTAAGGTATTTGCTGTTGACCTTTTCGCAGTCATAGGAAGTATAAGCTAATTTCCATTTGAAAGCCTTGGTAATCGCACTTTGCTGAGCATGATTTCAAGCATTCAAAATTAAAAGTTTCAAATCATGCATGCCGGATTACTCGCCTCTAGACCTCGCTTTGTGCTTCTATGAAATCCTTACAGCTATGTTCGTATGATCCGAATAAATAATTCCACCGATTGACCAAACTTTGCGCACGAACATTTCGGGGCGATTAAAGGCTATTCGTTGTCGATCAAGATTGACTCTATTAATTTACATACTGAGCTACGGAGCTGCGAGTCGCTCTAGTATAGCTGGAGGGAGTTGGCTTCTAGAATACTCGGGAGTACACAAGTACTCACACAATTGCCGCGTGTATGCATCTATGCGTTTTGCCGAACCCTCAGAACGCAAACGATGTATCTCAATAGTTGCGGCGCAATGATCTCAGATTTTTCGCGAGCTCTGCAAGAATATGGAGGGTTTCGCAGTCTTTCATTAAAGACCACTTGAGGTATAAACGCCCAAAAGCTGTCTCAAACTCAGGTGACTAAAACTAGCTATGACACTTTGTCATAAAGTGCTATTTTTGGTCGGCGTACATACGAAACAACGTGGATATCGCACCGAATTTGTTTTGAGGAATTTTAATTCTTTGATATGCTCAAGTTGAACCGTATCTCCATCAGTGATGCTGCCACGAGTGTCTTTCCCTACTACCTTCAAGGTTATAGCGATCTCCCATCTTAAATTGATTTTTCTACAACGCTATATAAAAGCAAATCTCTTTAATACTATGTGTGAGCTCTAGTTTCGTTCTTATGAGCATCATTCTGGGCGAAGGATTCAAACAAAAAGGTGGATAAGAAAATATCGACTTCAGATCGTCTATGCTAATGACGTGTTAAAGATGGAGACAGGCCAAAATATTGACAGTCGAAAATTAGCAGGGTGTGCGGAAGTAAGCAAGAGACACTTTCGCACCTTCACTCTAAAACTATGAGCATTGCAGTAGAAGATGCTTGCGTGTTTTGTTGTTTTTTTGATGATAAAATAATGGGGACTTGTCGGCCCATTTTATGCACGTTAAAACGCACGCTCCAAAATCGCTGCATCATCGCTTGCCCGCACATTGCTCGCTAAATAAATGAGGACGACTTGCTGAAAGCTACGCCACTATAGTTTGACTGACTGCTAGCAAAGGGAGCTCCCTATCCGTCTGCTACTGGTGATAATCTGAGCATCGTGATAGTTGTAGAGGTTTGACATAGTGAAAGCTGACCTGTACGACTGTAGTTCCCTTGACAAAGGTCATTTAATATTAAGTCGTAAAAAAGTTCTCGGGCACTTGCGAGAATTTTGTTCGAATTGCTTTAACTTCAAGCAGATTGATTTTTTTTTGAAGCTACAAACTTCGTTGCAAAGGCAATTTTTTCCACAACACACACGGTGTCCAAAAAATGTGAACACTGTTTGATCGTTACTAACTCGTTGCCATGTCTTTCGCGGAGCTTGAGGCACCACTCTATAGAGCGAGGTTCAACTTAGATCCACAGTATGAAGCAAACCATAGATTGTCCTTCATTACTGTAGGATTACGGTATGAACTTCTAACAGGTGGATCCACTGTGAAATATGCCATCTGACAAAATTCTTTTCAAAAAATCTGAATGATAGCGTACTAAGGTTTTCGCGCACGCTTATTCCACTACACAACTTTTTACGAGTGTTTTCAGCCTTTTTTCAGTGTAATCACATTTCTGATAAATGCTAAAAATTCAGTTATTAAGGTTTATTTGAGATAAGCTTGGAAAGAAACTCACAGTAAAGTGGAAATCTCATATTCGAAATCAGCGGCTTCCATTACCATAGAAGAGTTTCTGGCTTGTTGGTCTTGTTCCGAGGCAGAATATGGCGTCTGATGGTTTAAAATTCTTGCCGAAGTTCCTACCGTAATTCTACAGTAATGAGGAGCGATCGATGATTCGTTCCATACTTTGGTAATTTGAACCTCGCTCTATAGAATGGTGCCGCAAGCTCAGCGAAAGATATGAAAGCAACGGATTCAGTAACGATCAAACAGTGTTCACATGTTTTTGAGCCACTCTGTATATTTGTTGTTGAGGAATGATATGCAAGATGATATGATAAGATATGTCACTTGTTTATGTAAACAAGTTAGCCATATATAGTCGTGACAGTCGTACACTTCTCATTCTTCTGGCTTGTCTCTCGGATAAAGGCTTCTCTGCATCCGCTCTGGTACATAACATGTTTTTGAGCCACCCTGTATATTTGTCTTGCTGGCTTTTCAGCATCTCACTGCGGTCAACCAGCATACGCAGAAGGGAAGAAAGTCGAGACGAAAAGCGGCCTATTCGTGCAGGATTATCTCTGGCACAATAAAAGTTGTAGAGCTCAAATGCTGTAATTATATAGAATTCCGTTGAGGTTGTTATGGAGACTGTTTAAGCCTTTGAGCGAGAATCTGCAAAAAAAGTTTTTCTAGAAAGTTTGAAAAATTGATCATTTTTGCCCCTAAAATGCACCATTGGAGTAAGTGTTTTGAAGTCTTGTCGTTTTGCACAGTGTGGACCAACTCTTTGATTAATACGAACATCTCTGGGTTAAGCTTTACACATCATTTGACCCATCATCCAGACGTGGCGATCCCCGCAGAAGCGACACCAGCTGCGAAAAGAGTTGCAGTCTGAGGCAAGTTCGACAGCTTGTAATTTCTGAGCGCAAATCGCAAAACTCGAATGCAGCTGCGGGACAGAAGTTAACAGGTTTCTCAATCAGATCACATTATTTGGACGAAATTCTTTGAATTGCACAAAAAATTGGTCGTAGGAAGAAAAATTGTGAGATTTTTATGGTTGGATAGATTTTTCTTCTTGATGCGCAGATCAAACACGTCTTGGCATTGATAAAAATTAGAAGCCGTAATAAAAACTCTTGGCTTCCCTCTACCGAACAGTATAAAATACTTGATTACAAAGTCCGACCGAGCGCCGAAAAAATGAAACTTTGAAAATGAAATTCTAAAAAGTGCCCGGGAACTTTCTTTACAACTCAATACTTTCTTTGCAATCCTCGGCAACTTGAACTCAAATTTATACTTTTTCCAATATAAAAGGGAAGAAACCAGATGGAAGGTGTCGTTGTCAATGATGGTCTCTAATTTGGTGTTACGGCAAACCAAAACCATTACAGAACCGAGTGAGTGTCAACACATACTATAAGCTTTTATTTGCAAGCTTCTTCTTGAATTATTCACCAAATTAAACTTACTAACTAGTTCAAAAAATCAACTTACAATTTCCTTTCTAGTTTCTTTGATTTTTGTGGCAATACGTTCATCAAGTTCATCTGCGAAACCATTCCAGAAATTGCCTTCAAACCAACACTCTGCTCTCACTCTTTTTCTTGCTGTTGTTCCGGATATGAGGAGTAACAAAAGAATTATTTTTTGCATGTCTGTAAACGTGAGAGTGGATTACATCAATGGGATAAACCAAAGTTGCATAGATAGACTATCATTTCTGCAACCATTTAATAAAAGGGTTAATAAATATGACCTCCCAAAAAGAACAAACATCTGCTTTTTTATCTTCTGATACGGTACGCTCTAAAACTATTTTTAAAGCCGTGGGCATACCTCACGCGATTCAGTTGCCACGCGATCTGATAATTTGCCAGATGTCTTCAAATTCAATAATGGCAGACCTCAAATGCACAACATGTGTAACTTTCGTCGGTAAATAAAATGCCCTATCTTTCGTACATTCGGAAACCCCTTAGGATGGGTTATGAACAATTGGAGTATTGCCAAATCGCATCGCGACTGAAATAGTGCGATGTATGCTCAGGGTCCAATGCTTCATGACTTGTGCGCATATGCGAACTTCTGAAACGTTCAACCACTCCTGGTTTGGCCACGCTGACTGTAAAAGTAATTTGCTACCGAGACCATTAAAATGAAATCATACAGTCGCTTCATTTGATATGATCATTTGTGTCATTGCGCACACAGTTCACCTTTAGCGTCCCCATCCTGGATTCGTGGAAACAAGCCTTCAGGTAAGTGTTTCCAAGGTGTTCTTAGCATTTTCTTTCCTTTTTAGTTACTAGTCACCTCAAATTGATGTATTCGATAACAATCGGTAAGTCTCTGCGTTTTTGCGATTGCAAATCCAGGATGAGGACGCCAAAGTGGACTGTGTGTGCAATGGCACACAATCATATGAAAGGAAGCGACTGTACAGTCGAGTAGATTTAGCGGTAAATATAGTGTGCTTGCACAGAAGGTGAAATGCGGTGAAATTTGCGCGTGAACAAGTAGCCACGTCAGTACCGCGGGTATCTTGCGCGCGCATTTGGCCGGCGTCACAGTCGAAACTATTTCTTCACGCGCCAATTTTACCGCATTTCACCTTCTGTGCAAGCACACTATATTTACCGCTAAATCTACTCGACTGTATGTGGTTTGGCTTTTTGTCAGCGGTTCAGTATGTAGTACTATGATCAGTTCTTCTCAGGGTATGTTGCCATTTATGAACAGTGAAAATCAACAGCACGCAATTTCTCCCTTTTCACAAGCTCTATATAGGCGCCGTAAAACCTAATTGCTCGCGCCGTGCCTTGAACACCAGCATATGCGAGCGGTCGTCGCGAACGACTGTCAGCGTTCACTAAATTCCAAGAAATCTTCCTTCAAATCCCATGTTGTTTTCGTCAATGCAAGGTATATCTTGACGAAAGCTCCCCTTAAAAGCTTAAAAAAATATGTGTAAAAAGGGTGCGCGCTCATTGTCGCTCGCAAGAACCCTGTAGCGCTTCGGGACCAAACGTTTTCAACCGCGCCGCGCGTTGGTGTTCAAAGCGACGCGTGGGCAATTGGATTTTACGGGGCCTGTACTCTCACGAGTATAGCACTTTGATCGATAAGCATTGAATGCGTCTAAAAAGGCGAGTTTTGTCGCAGGTATTGGTGACCGATTACACATTCGATATGTATCAAATAAACAAGTAAAACATGTCAGCAATCGATGGCTATCGAGTGCAGTCGCCAATGGCGACTCAGAACGGAAGGGGCTATACTCTTCGAGGAGTATAGCTCCTGCCTTGAAGCAATGTCCAGGCAGATTTTGCATTTCGACCTTTCTGCATATTTTGGGTCTTCTCGTCATGTAGGACCCGAATCCGAGCTTCAACATTGGGTGAAATGACCGTCATCAGGGCGTTTACATACTTTCCAAAAAGGAAGGTCGGACGAGAGTTTACGCGAAAAGTTTACTGGAGGCCTTAGCACAAGAATTTGCAACCTGTAATTTTTTTTGGGGGGGGGGCATTAGCAATGCCCGTGAGTGGATTGCCGCGCTGCCGCGTTGCGGCGGATCAAGAGGCCGCGCGGCGGCAATCAAGACAGCTCCAGCGCGGACAACACGTCCATTTCCTGCTCCAATGCTAACAAGGGATTGTCAGAAATTGAAGTGGCCAATTCAGACAAACTGCATACCATTAGATGCGTCATGAAGCGCTGACTCTAAATATGTTTTCCTTACCTGCTTATCGCTTTTCTGGGCGAAGCTGTAAACCATTAAAGGCCATTACTTTGCTAAGAAATTATGCGTGAAAGTGGAAATCTAGCCGTACAAAGCCACGTTAGCCTTAATGCTGGGTCAAAACATGCAGCTAAGACTTCAAATTTTCAAAGCCTGAAGCTGAGCTAAAAGTGCAACAATGTGCTCAATTTCGCTGTTTTTACGTATGATTTTTTCACAATAAAATTGCTCGTAGCTTCGTCCACAGAAGTGATAAGCAGATAAGAAAGTAAGCATCGAAGTCAGCGTTTTATAATGCATCTAATGATATACAGCTTGTTTAGTTTGGCCACTTCGACTTCTGACCATTCCCTTGTAAGCCGCGTACTTAAAGGCAGTGGCTCGGCAAATCTCAACCTAGTCAAATTTGCGCTTACCTGGGGTTTTTCAATACGCTGATCCCGAAAATCCACTTTTGAAAGCCTGAGAACGGCGAAAATGAGCGTTTTTCAATGCCCTTCCCTTTGATATTGGACGAGTGGAGCAAGGCCGACAACGCTAAATCGTGGCAGGATTCAATGGTTATAGCGTTGCGGCGGGCAGCCTCCAATGGTGAGAAGGAAATTGGCAACTCGTCCAGATGCGTGTAAGATTGGCCTGCGCGTGTAAGTTCGAGAGCGATTTTCTCGGCAGGGAAAGCATGCTGTGCAACCGGGATTGCACTGTTTTCACAGTGGGGCGATAAGGAACCTACCGCATTGAAATCCCGAGTTGTTGGATTTTGCCGATCCACTGCCTTTAAGCACAAGCGTGTATCCCACTGTACGAGTTGTCCGCGTGCTCATTGAGGCCGCCTTGCCGCGCGCGGCGAAGCAATGATTGGCACTCACAAGTAACAGGATACACCCTAATTTTTGCATTCCACATTGGGAAACGACCCTTTTTGAACCCCTCGCTATCACGGCGCGCCTCTGATTGGTCAACATGTCATATTGACAAGGCTATGAGTGGGAAGGAGCATCATTTTCCTCGACATCTTTCGTGTCGAACATTATGACAGGTTTTAGCACAAGTATGTTACATGCTTCAAACTGAGAATTTCCCCCGTTGACTGTGAACGCGACTTGTTAGTTTTGCCAGCGGCGCCGCACGCGGCGAAACGGCATCGCGTGCGAAGTTTTCAAAAGGGCCTACACAGTACAGGGGCGGCAGTGATGGTCCCGCTAGCGAATCACAAACGTTCTTTGTTGCTGTGAAGTACTGTAGAAACTTTGAAGTAAGTCTTGAGCCTCAAGGGTAAAATTTCGCTTCAGAGAGGAAACAATAAGCTGAAAATTTTTGCAATTAGCTTATCGGAGCAGCTGAATTTACTGCAATGCTTCGTTCATAAGTTATGCAGTTATACAGGGTGTCCCAAAAAAAAATATCGAACGTTTGATCGTTAATTTCTCTCTTCCCAAGAAGTCTTTTGCCTTGCTTTAGGTACCGTTTTGTAGAGCTGGCTTCAACTTAGATTTGCGTTATAGAACGAATCACCCATCTCTCTTCATTACTGTAGGATCACGGTAGAAACTTGAAACATATGGTGTCAATGTGGAAAAAACTGCCGTTTCAAAATTTTTCAAAAAATTGTGAAAACTTGTGTAATAGGGTTTCTATGAACGCTGAGTTCAATACTCAACTATGCACAAGATTACGAAGCTTTCTAAACGGTGTAACCGCACTTTTTAAGAACATTGAAAAAATGGCCGCTATCTTTTACCCGGCATAACTCTTCAATGAAGCATCACAATAAGTTGCAAACTTTACAGTCAAAATCAGCAACTCTAATTAGCCTAATGTAAAAGTTTTCGGGCTGTTTTATTTCTTTTCTGAAGCAAAATATGGCCTTTCATGGCTCAAAACCCTCTTTGAAGTTTAAACCGTAATCCTACAGTAGCGAAGAAAGATGGGTGATTCGTTCTATGCTGATAATCTAAGTTGAAGCTAGCTCTACAAAACGGTACCTGAAGGAAGGCAAAAGATTTATTGGTAAGAGAGATACTAACGATCAAACGTTCGATACATTTTTTTGGGACACCCAGTATTATATCGTTCCGAAAGTGATGTCGCTTTTAATGAACGCTAAATTTCGTGGAAGGGTAGCATTCGATGCAGCATTTCATTCTCTAATGAATATATGACAATTGCACTTCGATAAGCTCCAAAAAAATCACCAAAATCTGCGACCCATGCTTTTTGAAAAGGTCAAGTCTCAGGCCTCGGACAGAGTTCACGCGATTTAATCGTCGCGGTTCAGTCGCCGCGATTTCCATTCATTTTCATTTTACATTCAAGAATTTCGGACTGGAAAAGTATCACAACCGAAATGCAAGCTCGGCATGCACGATTTTTTTAAATTTCTGCAACAATCCTCCGAAGGAGAACAAGTTACAGGTGGATTGAGCAAACCCTGTGGGAAACAACAAGACTTTTTATACTTTCCATAGCTCGTCATAATTTTTTTTAGAGATTATTCAATGAAATCATCTAATTTTAGCAGGCTTGTCTCAGACACAAATGCATCAAGCACCAATAAATTTTCGGGTTCTGAAACTTACGAAGGTTATGGTTGGACACTAATTTTACAAAGCAAGTAAGCGTTTACCGCTCCATATTAGCAACTTTCGAAAATTGCGGGTACAGCCTGGGGCGCCCTAGAAAACCTGAATCATGATGATTTTATCCCGGAAAATTTGTGAATCGGAAACCAAAAACAACTGGTAAAAAGAGGAGGAAAAGCTGCGTCGAATGACACCTTGTTGTTCTCTAGTGTTTAAGTAGACCAAATTTGGAAATTGATAGCACTGAAAAATTGATTCTACAAACTCTAAGAAGCAAACCAAGGAAAAGAAAAAATCGTTGTGTGTCCCATAGGGTTTGCTCTATTTGCCTGTTACTTGTTCATCTCCTGGAAACCAGTACAAAAATATAGAAAAATAGTCGAACTTGACCATGACAAAAAGCATGAGTCGCAGGCTTTAGTAATTTTTTGAGAGCTCATTAAATATTATACAATAAAATTAGAAAAATCTTGGTTTCATGAAATGTGGCGTTCATTTGAAGAAAGCGACATTACTTTTGGAATGGCCTAATATTACAAAATATTCTTCATTTTCTCAATTATGAAAGCCCGGGAATCTGGCCTATGTAATGGAATCAGTATGCGCGATAACCTCACTACTCAATTTTTCAGAATTTTCAGAAGAATATGTTCAAACGACTGATTTCAAAATAGCTGCTGTATACTAAAAGTTCCTATCGTAATTTACGTAACAAAGAGGGATCGGTGATTCGCTGCATACTATAATCTTAGCAAGGGAAGTCTTTTTAGTGTGGCCTTCTCAGCTGAGTCCTATACCACTTTAGAGCATCGAACGCTAACAACTGTTTTTATTGTCTGCCGAGCGCTCCTAGAGCCGAGTTATGAGTGTTCTTTGGAGCAAAAATGGAACGGAAATTCTATGTAAAGAAAACGGTGACAATCTTTTTTGCTCTAAAATACAGAGTGTTCCAAAAGATGTGCCTAGTGCATTGCTGTTCTCCTTTAATGGAGTCTTTCGAGAAGCTTTAGGTACCATTTCGTAGACTTAGCTTTACGTACGGAGAGGATTCCTGGCTGCTCTGCATTACTGTAGGGTTACTGTAGGAACTTTTAAGAGCTATGAAAGGTCATATGCCTGAAAATAAAGAAGCAAAACAACCTGAAAACTCTTAATTTGAGCTAATTAGAGTTGCTGATTCCAAATTTGAAGTCTATAACTTGTCATAATGCTTCTTCAAAAAGTTATGCGAGATAAGCAGTATCGGCCGTATTTCTAAGGTTTTTAAAAAGTGCAGTTACACGGTTCAGAAAGCTTCGCAATCGTGTACATAGTTAAGTATTGATTGAACTCAGCGTTCACGAATGTGAAATCACTACTACACAAGTTTTCAAATTTTTTTTTGCAAATTTTTGAGACGGCAGCTTTTACCGCAGTGACACTATATGCTTGAGGTACCCACCATAATCCTGAAATAGTGAAAAGCGACCGGTTATCCTCTCTATACTGTGAATATAAGTTGAAGCCGCTCTACGAATGGTATCAAAAGCTTCTCGAAATACTTCACTACAAGGAAGTTATTAATAATCAAACAGTAGGCACATCTATTTCTGGGACACCCTGTGTAGCAGTGTTGAGTATGAGGGTACCAGAAAAGAGATATTCACTAAAAGAAGGGCTCTGATCACCAACACCTACCCATTTGAGCAACTCTGGACTGTTTCTTTTCAGTGAATACTTCATTTTTCGAGTCAGGAAACGCTCTTAACCGAGCCCCGGAGGCGTTACGCGGTAGGGAACATAGATTCGGAATCACATTTGATGCTCTACAAAGTGACATACGTGTCATGTTGAAGGACTATTTTGAATAAATAGGCTTCCCTTCTGAATTGAAGCCAGTTTCACAAACTGCTACCTGAAGGTAAGCAAAAGACTTCCTGGGAAGGAATCAACGACTAACACATTGACGACCATGCAGATTTCAGTTGTCTGCGCTCTGGGACTAAGGCCTTTTGCGGAACTGCCATCTATAGATCCTTTACAATAGATTTGAAAGGCTGACAAGAATGGTAGAGGTTATTTTTAGATTCAGTGCAAAAGAAGGCTCGTGGAGTGAGTTCATACCAAGATAGTAGTCATTATAACAAAACTCAAGCCTTGACACACATGGTGTGTCAAGCGGTCGTCAATGTGTTAAAGGCAGCGTCCAGGCAAGTCTAGACCTACGGAGATCTTACGTGGAAAGTACTTTTGGGGCCCTAACTAAGCCACTGCCCAACCGGCAGCTCAGGTAGTGCCCTAACGCCTGAGATATTCCCCTCGAAACTGGACCCCGCGACCGTGTTCCGCATGGATTCATGGCGCAAAGCGTGGATCCTGGCGCGAAACTGCCAGGAATCCATGCGATTACGTTCGCGGGGGCCAGTTTCAAGGGGAATATCTCAGCCATTAGAGCACTACCTGAGCTGCCGCTTGGGCAGTGGCTTAGTTTGGGCCCCAAAAGTACTTTCCACGTAAAAGCCCCATAGGTCCAGACCTGCCTGGACGCTGCCTTTAAACAGTGTATACATATTTTTGGGACACCGTGTATAATATAATTAGCAGGGCTAAAAAGAAAAGCATTTGTACATGCAAAGAAAGCATGTGTGTATGTGCGCTATGTGATAGCGCAATAGGCTCCAAGAACAATCTGAAAGTGAAATTAAGTATGCAACATAGTTCAGCCCAATGTTTTGCACATTTATTACGTTTGCGGGAAAACCAAAAAAAAACTGACTTGATAATCGAAGATAAATGAGGATAAAACATCATCATATGAAGACTCAAAATTTTCTTGTACCACTCTGCAGGTGAAGGTAAATCAGCCTGGATAACTGTCTTCCTTGTCAAGTAGTCGAATGATTTTTTTGAGTCATCGGTGTTGTTTCATTAGTATACAACCATACTTACATATGTAAAATCGTAATAAAGTAATAGTAATAATAGTAATATGAATTCTAACGCCTTTTCAATGTTTCAACCTTTCACTCAGCTTCAATTCCTAGCCTCATAAAGTGGTGGGGCAGTTTCTGTGAACATTCTAGATTACTTTTTTGGGAAAGGGGAGGGATAGGAATATTTTACACTTACAGAGGCACTTAACGTTCAACTCGTCACATCTAACAATAAGTCGCGATCACGCCTCCGAAAAGCATAGAAAGTCTTCGCTATTGATTAAGCTGGATTTTTTCGCATCACATGTTTCGGGCTTCTTACTTTGATTTCTCGTAGTGACAGAGACTTCATGCATCTAATTTCAAGAGGTAACAGCTGGACTATAGATGTGGTGTGGTGGATCAACGTAAATTGTGAATGTTCTTGTAACTAGTTGAGCCTACCTAGGTGACTAAATCAATTAATTTGCTTCGGAGACGATAGACTGGAATCTAAAAGACCAGTACTTCTGGAGGGGAGACGGTCAAGAGGCGCGATTCATCCGGCTGTCACCAGCTCAAAACTTCAGTTTAGTGTTTGCGAGTCTTCATGTGTTTGAATGTGTTGGAGCTTCAGCTGCATAGTTCACGAAGGGTGATGTCCGCTGGGTAGACAGTGTGTAAGCTCGCGATCGGAGTGATCCTCGTTTGAGCTACCACATTGCTATCTATTTTGAAGTAGGCAGAAGCTGTTGCGGTGTTCCAGACCAAAGATTAGGAAGCTTTGTGACTTGTTGCAGGTATTCGATCTTCCATCTGCTTGTTGATAAGTCGCTTCGTCATCAGGTCACCCGAGCGGTTTTTTTCGCTTCTAAACCGGTTTAATTTATGAAGACAAAATCATTTATAAGAGCTGAACTTTGCTTCTGTTTTTTGACATGAAGCCAGCTCTCACACGCCGATAAATGCCAGCTGTTAGTTGCGTCAGACTTTTGTCATGACAAGGATTGCATATTTCGAGCAATATTTCCAAACAACCGCAGGAAGTCTTGCAAATTGCTCAGCCTGAAAACATTCAAAACAAATCGTTTTGCAGTAAATTCTGTTTATTAACAGAATAGCACTTTTTCTGTACCAGAGTTCAATGCGTTATCGTCTGCGCATCGATCTGATGTGACTGCGTTTAGGGCCTTGACCCAGTCGACATCGTCATCTCATCGCATGGCCCGGCGCTCAAACAGTAAGCTGATTTTCTATTCTTCTTCCTTTGGTTCTCTCCTTTGGCTCTTGGGTTAAGCACATATTTCAAACAACGTCCTGGTGCATGTGTTTATGCAATAGCACAGTAAGGGGCAACACAGTAAAATGCTGCAAGAAAGCTCGGGTCGCATTTTTACTTTATTTTTTTGGTCATAATATTGACAACCTTACTATTTATATTGTTTGCACTACAAGTCTTTTTTCTTCTGCTTTGCCTAAGAGTGAATTAAGTGAAAGTGCATCGTCATCCATGTCAAATCACTGTGTACCATCCTGAAATTACAATTTGTTTTTTTTCCTATAAGCAACAGTAAACATAAAAACTTGACTGGGCGAGGTACAAATTAAAGAATGTAACGCGAAGGGAGAAACATCGTGCCAAGCAAAAACTTCTCGCTCACTACAAGGTGTTCGGATTCTCCTCTTTAAGAAAGATTCTTTCATGTACACAGGTAGAAAAAAATCGGGAATAAATATTTGCGCATCGAGGACTTCTGTAGCCTAGCTAAAGAAGGTTGCTTGTTTTGGTATTGCTACTAATGATTTTTTAGCTTAGAAACTGACGAATTGATGGGGTTTTTTGAAAGGATTATTCATGGTCACAGAATATTCAGTGGCTGACACGGTCACACAAAACAGAACTTTGGTTCCCCGCTACCTAATTACAATAAATCATTTAAATCCTTGCTTATGGAGGGAGACCTTGAGGAACTCGTGTAGAGAAATCACTGTAGGGGGAATTGGGGTACCATTCTATTTTTGACGAATATAGATGTTTACATATTTCCATAGAGCCTGCATCTTCCAGCCCTTTCGCATTTCGATTACATTTTCACATGTTTCTCCATAAAACAATACCATTCTAAGCGCAAATGTTCCAGTGCATGACGTACGTGCCACAAAATGTGCTGATCACCGGTGGCTGTGGATTCATCGGCTCAAATTTTGTCAACCACATTCATGATGCATGGCCGCACTGCAATTTTGTTAATGTGGACAAGCTCATATTAAACAGTGACACGCAACATGTCAGCGAGAAGGCGAGTTATAGTTGTTAAGAAAAAATGGGATGTCACACGCAAAAACTTTGTGAATTATCAAATTTCAGGTACGCAACTCTTCTCGCTATAAACTTGTCTTGGCTGACATCAAAAATCGAAAAGCTATGATGAAAGCCTTCAAGGAAAATAACGTAAGTGAGAAATGTTATTTTTCATGCGATATGTCACTGTGGGGGTCCGAAATATTAATCGTATACCAATGTAAATCTTGGATAGAATTATAAACTAAAGAATTGTCCGAAAGCTGGGGAAATACTGTATTGTAGCTTAGCAGGACACCCGTTCCCGTTGGTCCCAAGACGTTTGGGTAATTTTCAATTATTCGCATCTAACACAGATTCGCAAAATATGAGGGAAGAAAAGTTACATCGAATCAGAGGCAGCTGAAACACAAATGGGTGAAGTCTAAAAAAAGTTGCAAAAGCTTTTCTAGTCACCTTCTTCTAATAAATGCTACAGCTCCTAACTAAACAAAAAATATTAATTTGGATATTTTATCAATGTTATTCTTGAAGATCGAGGATATTTCATGCAAACTCTGAGCTCACACAATATAGAAATTGTCCCCACCCAGTTTTCTTTGATCTAAATACATCTTTGCTGAGAACAAAAGAACTGTTGTGACATTTTGTTTTTACAGATCGATACGATTATTCATTTCGCAGCCGACTGCACATCGACTCGATGCTACAACGAAACAATCGAAGCCATTGAAAACAATGTCATCGCGTTCATCGAACTTCTGCAGGCTGTCAAAGATTATGGAAAAATCAAACGATTCGTTCATATCAGCACGGATGAGGTAAGCGGGAGATCAAACAGCAAAAAAATGCGCATGTGACAAAGATTGCTTTCTAATTAGGAACCTTGATTGAAAAGACAGGAAATGTTCAACGTGTTTATGGATAAATATTCGAACAGCTTCCCTTCATTATAAATATTTTAGATCGATCAAAATCAATTCCAGGTATACGGCGACTCAGGACTTGGAGAGGATGAAAAAGGAAAAGCTGAGAATAGCCGGCTTTTACCTGGCAACCCTTACGCCGCAACTAAAGTAAAGCTTCTGCAGACCATTCATTCCTTTGAAACTCTTCCTTTTCAGATTGCCGGTGAAGCATATGTGCGCGCATTCACATCACAATATAAACTTCCAATTATCACCGCAAGGATGAACAACATCTATGGTCCAAATCAGTGGGATGTCAAGGTGAACTGGTCGTCAAAAAGTATTTCCAGTAAAATCTGAACGAGCACTTGTAGTTGTAATATGTCTATATATCGTTTTGTTAGAACATGCCTGTCTGAGCGAGACTACTTAGCCTCAAGTAGTTCTCACAAACTGACATTAGAAGAAATCTTCCTGGGAAAGCCGAATTTTGACCGTATCGGCGATTCAAGCTAATGCGCAAATGATCATCACTTTTACAGTTTTTTGACTGGAACAAAAAATTGAGCAGTTTACACACTTTCATCACACAATGGCGGCTCATGCTTAAAAGCAGCGTCTTGGCAGAATGACAATTTTGGGATATTCATTTCTCTTCGATGAGCTAAGTCCATGACTGTGCTTTGCAGCTTCAAAAGATGTCATTAACCCACTTTTCCAGACGTGAAAAATGCTATGTGGGCGGACGGCGTAAGCCTGCCTTCTAGAGCGCGATTGGCTCGTGAGTGGAGACACCGTGCCCATCTCGGTGGCAGTTGGATGGATGGCTCCAGCGGCCACTTTCGCGACCCGCCCAAGCAGCACTTTTCACATCGGGAAAGCGACTTATTGTTACCGTTGAAAGCTGCGAAGCACAGTTTTAGACTCAGCTCATCCAGGGGAACCGAGAACGATAGTATCCCATAATTGCCATTTTGCCGAGACGTTGCCTTTGGACTAGTGACGGGCTCTCTTTTGAATTTGTCTTTCATTGTCCCTCTTATTGCAGGGATAATTCGGCCAGGTGTGAACATTAAGCACACCTTTACTTTTAGGTGGTGCCGCGATTTATCGAGATCGCAAAAGTTCAAGGCGAGTACACCATTCAAGGAAGTGGAAAGCAGCTCAGGTGAGCATCAGTAAACGCAGAATTAAAACGTTCTATTCTTGATCGGAGCGATTGTTTCATAGGAGATTTGCTTTTGAATTGTGTAGTATCTGTATCTGACGTCTTTATCGGTTTCTCTGATGGATATTCGAATAAGGTATTTAGTCTACCACGATTTCCGGGTCTACTAGGATCATTTTTGTTGCCCATTTTCTTCCGAACTCAGAAACTGAAGGCTTTTAGAAAGGTAAACGCGTGACGGAAGAAAGATGCTACAGGATTAATCAGGGTTAATCTCCCCCATTAAGCTAAACAATGAAATTAAAACATGAGCATCTTCACGCACATTTTTTAAAGAATTTTTGCAGAAGAGTAGTCATGAATTATCAAAAGCTAAACTAAAGCACTTTAGCGTTATTCATTGCGAGAGCGCCTTTAGTTTCAGAGATTGAAAAAAATCAATTACCTGGAATGAAAGCCGACAATGGGAAATATTTAATGAAAACAGTCTCATTGATATTTGAATTTTGAAGGCTAAGAAGGCATTTATTGCTCACTAAGGCAAAATGATTAAATGAAAACTAAATGATGAGCCAGACAGAGAAAACTGAGTTAGTCTGAAAGTTTTGAAAAAAATATCCTGATGCATCTCACTCATTTGTACTGGCTATCAACATATGCGTATTTATTTTTTAAAAGGAGTTGCTATTTCCCAATCATATAAAAATACCACATTTTGAAACGTTATCCCTCTGGCATATGAATTTGCCAATTATGCACTGTTGCATAGAATTAAAAGTTCATTTCCTGAAATGTTATATGTACTGAAAATTAATAATGTTGGCTGAATCAACATCATCTCAACTCTAAGCAGCTTTTTGAAAAAAAAATACAGCATTAGTAGTAATCACGTTCATTTCAGGTCGTGGCTTTACGTTGACGACGCCAGCATTGGCATTCAGCGCGTATGCGAACGCGGCAAAATAGGCGAAATTTACAATTTAGGCACCTACTTCGAAAAAAATGGTAGGCGTCCGTTGAAAAACTTTCAAACATGAGTAACATTTTCAGTGGCTGATCTTGCGCAAGTGATACAAGCTGAAGTGGACCGCCAACTTGGTCGAGAAATTAGTAATGCACGTTTCATTTCGATTCCAGATCGACCTTATAACGACATGCGGTACCTTATCGACATTAGTAAAGCTCAAGATGAGCTGGAATGGACACCAGAGATAAGCTTTGAAGAAGGTACCGTGATACTCATTATCAGCAAAAAATAATGGATGAAAAAATAGATTCTTACTGATCTTGAATTTGCAAAAAGAACAAAAACGTGGTGCACCATAAAGCACCAAAATATTTTGGTCAACCAGAACAAATCTACTCAACTTTTGTGTATCTCTTTCTACTTTTTATGATACTCAAGGTTAAATTGTAATGCTTTTTTTTGAAGGAATAAGACGAACTGTGGCATCTGCACTAAAGCCCAAAGATAGTGTGAAAATGCATGTTGCCCTTTATGGAGGAAATGGCTATGTTGGACAGGCGCTTCAGAAGGTTGTCAAACTTTTGTCTACTGGGAAAAAGTCGATTTTAATACACAACTTTACTTTTGCAGGTATTAGACAACAGGAAAGTTCCTTACGTTCTTGCTAAAGGAAAGGTTGGAGTCGACAATGATAAAGATGTGAGTTTTGCTCTACAATGATAGATCTGATGAGAATTAAAGTCTGATTGCGATCGATAAAAATCATGAAATCAGTAAATTTATTGACAAATCTTCATTAACAGAGAAACAGGCAATTTTCATGAGCTACAGTCTGTGTCAATAACGTACTTCGTTTCGCGTATAAAGTACACACTCGCAGCGCAAGGGTTTTACGTGCGGACCTCCAATCGATGAGATCAATATGAGCGCCCAATACGCGACGCAAAGCTTTAGCGCGGCGATTGTGCCGATGGAAAAGGGTTTGACATAGAATGTATTTTTGCTATCTGATAGATCTTTCAACTGACCTTCATAAGACTTGCTTTTTTTGTTATTTATTTCCTGCACGGCTTCCTTTGATTACAGACTATAGCAACTTGTTTTCTTAAGGAAAAATTCCATATCTTGTCAAACCATCCAATGATAAATGCGTAACATGTGCTTATTCTCATCCAGGTTGAAGAAGAGCTAGCCACTTTGAATGTTACTCACGTCGTTTGCGTCACTGGTAGAACTCACGGAAATGGAATTAACACCATTGAATACCTCGAGGGTGGACCGGAGTGTACATTTGAGAACGTCCGCGACAATCTGTATAGGTAAATATTATCGGTCAAACCAGCACTCAAAACCATACATTATGGTCTTTCATTTCTAGCGCAACCGTGCTCGCACACTTGTGCCGCACACTCGGCATTCATTTTACCTATGTAGGAACTGGCTACATCTTTGCCTATGATGCAAAACATCCCATTGGTGGACAAGGCTTTACTGAACAAGGTATGAGCCCGTAAATCTAGATTATCACTAAACAACGTTATTCAGACACCCCCACATTCTTCGGCTCCTCCTATTCCGTGGTGAAAGGCTTTACCGATCGCCAAATGTCCCACTTTAACGAAAAAGGCTGGGAGAACATTAACGCGAGAATCACTCTCCCTCTCACATACGAGCTGAATCAGCCAAGGAATTTGCTGTCGAAAATCATCAACTACAAGTAAGTATTTATAGCATACGAGAGCCAAATTATAAAACATGGGGCGCTAGGCACTGGAAGATTGCCCCTTATTAATTTTCCCAAATTTATTCCAGTACATCTCTCTTCTTTATGAGATGTGATTTTTTTACATATTAAGTGTATCGCAGGAATATCTGTAACTTAATATGAGTATTGCAAATATGAGTATTGCACACCATGCGCGCTATTTTGCGATTTGTGAGATTAGCGCCTGGTCATTTCCAGTGATTTTATCCTGTTCCTTCTTTTCTCGATTTGATTGGATATGTGTTGATCAGTAGTACAGATTCCCACAAATTCAATAGAAAAAGTTTTACTGAGCACGAGTGAAGAAGTCATGGTGGCGCCCATAGTAGGACTCACATATTAAGTTCAGTTGAGTCGAGGATAATACAAAATTACTACCTAAATAACAGCGCGATAATAATTCCTGTAAATTTGAATTATTATATGATACATTGCAAAGCAAGGTCTTTGAAAGCATAGATAGTACCGATTGATTGTCGATTCAAGACACGCAAAGACTGGGCGCCGTTGCGACCGACCGAGACAGTTTGTGCATGAGAGAGACGGCAGATGGTGAGAGAAGCGAAAGAGCGCTTCATTAGGGAGACGCCGATACGTCCGCAGTCTTTGCGTGCTATGAATCGCCTCTATCTCAGTAGCGCCCTTACCAATCGCTCAAATGCCTGTACCACATTTAGTTACCGAGATCTGTAGCTTCTGACAGAGCTACAGTATGTCAAGAAAATTCAACTGATGTGAGTGATTTTTGATAAATCAGTGGCGTAAATTGCGGAACTTTTTCTTTTTCTCTTGCAAACCACCACGCCCTTTTTTTGAGATCGGGGTGCAAAGCTTGCAATAATCTAAGAAGCTTCCTAATAAAGTTTGAAGGTGAACGTAAGGCTATATAGTCCCGGATCTCTTCCTTCCCTCTTCCCCTCCGCTTAAAAGTTTCTCGGACTGGTACCGGTAACCCCCTATTGTTGGGCATTCAGAGAGCTCTTCGATCTACCAGTGTCAATCTCTATACTGCCTGACTGTTTCGATGCTATGCTCTCCTTGATGGAAAAGCGGTTTGGAGGACACCTCAACTTGGTCAATCCTGGACCGATTAGCCTTTACGAGATTGTTCTGTTATATAAAGAGGTACGCAGACGGTAAAAACATGTCAATCCACTTACCGATAGCATCCTTCAGATAACGGGTAAAGCAGTAGATCCGCAACCGATCGAGATCACCAGCGAAAGAGGACAAGTGCTTCTTGCCACAAAAGGAAATTGCGCGTTGGACAGTACGCTGCTAGAAAGTATGGAACATATTCCCACGGCCAAGGAGTCTCTAGCTAACAATTTTGCGCGGATGAAAGAAGCATAATATTGGAGAGAGAACTTACTGATCATTATGTTGTTTATATATACGTGTGATGGTAAAGACTGCAATTCCTCTAACATAGCTCATAACCGTCTGATTTTTCGCTGACCGCTCGCAAACAAGTTTTCACTTCTTGAAAATCTGACCAGATTCACGTACGTACGGCCTCAGGCCTAAGGCATACCTCGCGCGGTTCCGGTCGCTGCGCGATTTGGCATAACAGCGACTCTTTGTAATTCGTTGTTAATGCGCTTCCTTTGGTCAGGACTTGACCCATTTGCAACAACTTACACAAGCTATCCGCCTATGCGTTTGAGAAGCGTGCACGATAAATCTGTGGAAATCTGGCAAATCGCCAAGTCGCTTGAAAGCGGCGATTTGGCCGAATCGCGTCAGGTATGCTTAGGCCTCAGGCAGAGTTCAGGCGATTTGATCGTCGCGATTCAATCGCCACAAGAGAAATGTTAGTTATCACGATTAATCGTGTGGAAAACTATCACAACCGAAATGCAAGGAGATCGGCATGCAGTGATATTGTTAGAGTTGTCTTGTCGTGATCAATCGCGACGATCAAATCGCGTGAACTTTGCCCGAGGCCTATGACACACTAGATGAATAGAAACTATGACTACGCTTAAGAAGTGAAAGAAAATTAGTCCTATTCGCATAAAAAACTGCTGGCAATCTCCTTTTGCGAACAGTTTTTTAAAAGGAGCATTGCTGAAGAAGTATGCATCCAAAAAATACCATAGCATGGAAACGAAAGAGAACCGCGCCGAAAGTATTCCAATTTCATGGTTTCTAATACTATTGACTTTCTAAAAAGCCCTTCTCTCGTATTAACAATAAAACGTGAGAAAAGTAGCTACTTCGTCTATACAATCTGGCTTACCGTAGTAGTTTTACCTGGAAGAACCGGACATCGAGGTTGTGTAAGTACTTCACGATATTTCTAGTATAACTCAGGAAAATAGGAGTGGTAAAATCATAAAATCTTTCAAGAGCCCAGTTAACTTATTATAGGCAATCGGAAAACCGGGCCACTCTGAAAACTGATTAGAGGTTCCCAAGTGGTCATCGTCCAAGCAGCAGCATATCGTGATCGTGGGCAAAAAAACGATCACTAAACTATCGCTTAGTACCACCTACCTCCTTACTGAGCTATCAATCTGTGCTTTAGAGTAGGTACCGGTAGTTCGGAACTACTTACCGCCACGTTCCCTTTTCCTACAATTTCGGGTTATAGGCGCGCAAAAAATTGAGGAGCATCCCAAAAATTTCTCGGAACGCATCTTTATTCGAAAAAAACTTTTGTCGCTTCCTCGCTTCCACCCCCCCCCTCCTCCCCGGAATTTCTTTCCGTTCCGATGAGGGGAAGGGGCGAAAGAGGGGCGACAAAAAATATCAAGAATTTCAGCTTCCTGGACTTGACTGGACGCAGTATCCTAGGCGTACAGTCTGTCCCAACCCAATGGGCCTGACATGGCGGAAGTCCGCGTCGCGAGTTTTTTTTTGCGTTACTACTGCTAGTTTGTCTGCTCTCTCCTTATTCTCTTTACTCTCTCAGACAGCGCGCGTATGCAGCGCAACCCCTTAGTGCTGCGACCGTAAAACTAGCCAACGGCGTGATCCCCAGACTAGAAACATGACGTAATTACAGGGAGACGGTCTTTTCGCACGGGCGGTCTCCAGCGTCTCCCTGATTTTGACCTGTCTTAACATGTAATGCACGCCGCAAACCTTTCCTCCCCCTGTTTTGCTTAGGCAAAAGCCGCCGCAGGGTGTGTCGCGCGCGGCGATGATCCTGTGTGGAAAGCATTACGGTCGTGCGAATCCTCCTACACCCGTAATTACACTATTAAGCACGAGAATTCTGTTTAACTGGCAGTGCTGAATGTATGCAGCGCAAAGGATGTAGCAGATAGACATGTCCAACGTGTTCTCAACTACTGCGTCACAGTCACCAAGCGAAAGCTGTAGCTTTGGTGCCCTTACAATATCAGGACTTCTCCCTCTTTCCCTGAGCTGGAACGAAGAAGAAGAAGAATTTCCTTCATCTTCTCCGTTCCAGCTTCCTCCAATCCCTCCTTCTCCCGTCCTCCTTCCTTCGACTCCTTTGGCATTATTTCTAGGTTTTTTCTATTTATAATTATTCTTTCTTGGAGGCAAAGCAAGACTTAGGCACTTGTTCGAACATGACTTCCTGACTTTTCTGCCCCTTTTCATAACGTTATGGACTACAGGAATCAAAGCTCGTGAAGAAGCCAAGAGTACTAAAATGTTCACAACGCTAGATACGAGACTTCCTCTCAATTCTGACATTGCTACCCTGCGTCTCCTAATCAGAGACAAGCGTGGGGTGCGGCACGCCACACCAGGGGGGTCGTATTGAGGAGTCAAAAGGGGAGGGGGTCGTAGTTGGGTAATCTGATAATAGTGATAACATGATATTAGTATCCTATCCATAATTAGCATGTCAAATAACCCCTGTAGACAAAGTGTGAGCGAATTCTGAAGATTCAAGAAACTAGGCTACCTAAGTGAAATGGTCAAATTCCAACATGGTTAAAGGCAGCGTCCAGGCAGATCTAGACCTATGGGGCTTTTACGTGGAAAGTACTTTTGGGGCCCTAACTAAGGCACTGCCCAAGCGGCAGCTCAGGTAGTGCTCTCATGGCTGGGATATTCCCCTCAAAACTGGCCCCCGCGAACGTATTCGCATGGATTCATGGCAGTTTCGCGCCAGGATCCACGCTTTGCGCCATGAATCCATGCGAAACACAGTCGCGGGGTCCAGTTTCGAGGGGAATATCTCAGGCGTTAGGGCACTACCTGAGCTGCCGGTTGGGCAGTGGTTTAGTTAGGGCCCCAAAAGTACTTTCCACGTAAAATCCCCATAGGTCCAGACTTGCCTGGACGCTGCCTTTAACTTTGTTTCAAAGGTGAACTAGCTATCCGTCTTTGCACTCAAGACAAAGCACTACTCCTTCTTTGTCCACCTCAGGAATCCTGCTCCAGAAGACCTCCAAACTTGAAATTAGAAGCCAACCAAAACCTCGTTTTTCCCATTTTTCGCTTTTGATCACTGTGCTTTCACCAAATATTACTCAGAGCTAAGAAAACGAATCAGGCTCCAAACAGTCCTATGGAATCTACAAGGTTTAGGCTATCGATTTGTATAATTACTGTCCGCTAAAAATGTTTTTTTGATATAGTTAATGGGGTGCGACACACCCCCTTAAAAGCTGCGGCGGCCGCAGCTTTTAAGGGGGTGTGCCGCACCCCATTAACTATGTCATAAAAACATTTTTAGCAAACCTTATTTATATGGATTGATAGCCTAGATCTCCTAGTTTTCACAGGAGTGATTTGACCCGGATTCGTCTTCTTAGCTTTGAGTAATACTTGGTGAAAGCACAGCGATCAAAAGCGAAAAATGGGAAAAACGAGGTTTTGGTTGGCTTCTAATTCCACAGTTTGGAGGTTTTCTGAAGCGGGATTCCTGAGGTGGACAAAGATGGAGTAGTGCTTTGTCTTGAGTGCAAAAACGGATGGCTAATTCACCTTTAAAACAAAGTTAACCATGTTGGAATTTGACCATTTCACTGAGGTAGCCTAGTATCTTGAATCTTCAGAATCCGCTCAAACATCGTCTACAGGGGTTAATTGACCTAATTATGGATATGCTGCCATTATGTTTGAGCCTTCAAGTAGTGCTATCTTAAGCGTATAGTTCAGGGGGGGGGGTCGTAACCAGCGATCGTGTGCCACACCCCTTGCTTGACCCTGCTTCTAATCCTTCGACCGCGCAACGCTGAACCAATGCCTAGTGTTCTTATTTCCAGGAAAGTACTCTATAGCTCTTTTCTTGCGCAATGCCAGCGGTAATTGGAGATATGAAGAAAAAGCACCCATTCACAAGGGCATGCTAATGGCCCCTCACTTGAAGCTAATTTTTTTGCTTGTGAAGTATAATATTTCGCAGCGGCAACTAAGCAGTACTCTAGTGAGAGCCCACTACCATATTCCGCCTATATCTCACAATAGCGCACTTGGCTGCATGCTATTTTCCCATTCCTCTTTTGTTCTTTCTTCCATTTATTTTCCTATTTTCACCTTATTTTTCCGACGACAACGTGAGGCACCGGTGGCCCAGGCATCAAGAAATTCGGTTCAATGATATTTCCGGTAGACCGTTGCAGATAAGACGGTCAATAAACATCTACAAACTCTGCTTTCGTGGCCTTAATATTTAGGAAATAGAAGCACCTGATGGCAATGTCAATCACCGAAAATTCACACTAAGAAGTTTTTAAAATCGTGTTGTTCTCTACTCAAGGTTGAAGGTACCCTCATTCAATTTGACAGCGCTGAGATATTGATGATATACAGTATGCCCCTAACTAAGCAATCCCCAAGCCTCGCTGCAAAAGTTGAACAAAGCGAGAAAACGGCTCCAAGAGGTATCCACAGAAGCTGCCACGTTGGCTCGACCCGTCAATGAGGGTTGAAGATTGCAAGTCCGAAAGTTGGTATCAGAGTGCAAAGACATGCGGCAAATTTGATGATCATAATGAAGAGCAACCATGACAAATTTGAATACATCAACCCAAGCTCGGATTTGTTATCTTCAGACCACCCATGTTGATGTGCGGAGCCAGCGCGGCCGCGTCTAAATTTGGAACGGTTTTCTCGCTTTGGAATTCATCTTTTGCAGCGATGCATGAGCATTGCTTAGTTCGGGGCTCCCCTATTGTATAGCATCGAGATCTCCTCATCCTCATATTGGGTGGACGTCCTTTGAAGGCACATCCACCCATACTGAAGGTGATGAGAAGCTCAGAACTGGGTGATAGTAACTAGAGGCGTCGATTTCATCATCGGATGAAAAAAAGAGTTTTGACATTTCTAGGGGCTTTAGAGTCCACTCAACGAGATCACTTCAGATGACCTCGTTGATGGATGTGGCTGCCTCCGTGGCATCTACTCGGCTCTCACAATCAGATGCCGCCAGGGCGAATTTAGGGTGAGCGATCAGCGGTGCGATTGTTCAGTGTTGAAACACAGCTGACAAATTTTCATCGCTTGACCATCGCGGCGCACTAAAGCCGAGAACATACAGTCGCTTTATTTCATATGATCATGTGTGTCATTGCACACAGTTCACCTTTGGCGTCCCCATCCTGAATTCGTGGAAGAAACAAGCCTTCAGGTAAGTGTTTCCAAGGTGTTCTTAGCATATTCTTTCCTTCTTAGTTACTAGTCACCTCAAATTGATGTGATCGATAGCAATCGGTAAGTCTCTTGCGTTTTTGCGAGTGCAAATTCAGGAGGACGCCAAAGTGGACTGTGTGTGCAATGACACGCATGATCATATGAAATGAAGCGACTGTACTTCACGCGTTTTCAGCCGCGATGCGATTTAGCAATACTCCAGATGGTCATAACTCATCGGAAGGAGTATCTGATTTTACGGAAAACAGGGCATCTTATCAACCCACAAAAGTCATAAATGCTGTGACTTTGTGGTCTACCAATAATGAATTCAAGGACATCTAGCAAATTGCCAGATCGCGTGGCGACTGAAATCGCGTGAGGTATGACTTGGACCTAGCGCGAATCCGGGAGCCGATGGTACCTCTTAGAGCGATTTCCTCGCTTCGGAACACTTGTTTTACGGAGGATTTAGGTAGTAACTGTTAAGAGACGGGCATTTTATCGCAGCAAAGTCTTAACAACCAATCTGAACACTGCCATCAAAGTTCTTTCAGCTATGGAATATCGGTCCTAACCATCTCGCTGAATTTGCATTGTCGGTGGACGGACCAGCAGCTGCGGCCCAAAAAGTGCCTGCCAGGGCTTTTGACAGGAATGCAGTGCCAGTTGGCACCCTGATTTTACACAGTTCATGTGCAGCAAACTGTGAAAATTCTTCAGCAGCCTTCCAATGGATTTCTAGTACAACGGAAGGACAAGGACTGCAAGGACATCGTAGACGATCGCTGATCTTTGATGTCTTCCGGCGAAACAGCTCAAAACAAGCAAGACACGAGATAGCGATTGCACGCCAGACGTAGGCCACTGCGACCTTGTCGATGACGCTTTGGACGGCGCTTATCATTATGCGTCGATATACGATGGGCCGTTCTTTACTGCCAGATTTAGGGTCTCAATAACATTAAGTTGTCTATCATTTGCCGTTGAAAAAGTTATGAGCTGTCTTTTGAGGAAGACTTGATTCACTTAAGTGTCATCAATTGATCCACTTCGCCTTTGGTCAGTTCGGTGACTTGATCAATAACGAAGTGAATGAACTAAATCAGGCGGATTATGTATAGCGCTGCCTAAGCGTAACTGTTCATCATCGACTGCAACTGCACTATCTATTGTAGTACAGTACGAATTTGACTTTGATATTTGGAAGCAAAGCATATCTGTGTCGAAAATGCGACTCTAGCGTAGGATTGCAATTTTATGCCGGAAGACAAAGTAAGAATGCGTTTACAGACTTTGATTTCGTTTCCGGTTTGGCTCTAGTTTGCGTAAATATTTAGTTTAGGAACGTAGCTCTCATTGTAGTACTGCCTCTAGTGGTTCTCCATCGCCTTCTAGGTCACTAGCTAAAACGTAAGTTAACTGGCGTTGTAGCGGTGTTTTGTTTACCTCTGAATACTTTCCATTTATCTTCGTATCCGCTGCTTCCTGTTTTTATCGTTTTATTGACCCCAGTTGAATTCGCGCTGTTTGATCATTATAACGATTGCTTGGCCAATTGTATTTCTTTAGCGGTCTCAGTAAACTGCACTCGTATCCGTTACCACAATCGTTGCAAAACATCTCGGTCAGTGTTTTGTTTCCGTCTCTTTGAGTTTATCTTACGAACTTACTTGTTTCAGGGTAAAAGCGACGAAAGTGCGAATAATCTCACACAACAATCGCTATCCACTGCCAGATCTTCGATAAGCAATCAGTAATTGTTCTCCATCATTCAGCTCTAGTTTATGCTTCTCCTAATTTTAGTTCACTCGACTCTACTCCGGCTTCACAAACTCGGACATCTCCAGATGCAGTATCACCGGCCTGGAAGACATCGATACGTAAGGTGAATCATTGGGTAATTCATGAATAGGTCTTTTGTTGCTTTCTTTCTATTCCTTTTATGCAATTGGCTGTTGTTTTGAAATTTTTATTCACGGATTTCTTCAGATTGTAAATGTTTTCATAAGCTTTCTAACATCAATACAACCAACTATGGCCAACTAAGCCATTTTTTCGAGAAGTTTTTGGCGAAGCTGAAGAACATTCGGGAAGGGCTCTAAAATGATTTTTGAGGGCGTGTCTGACACCTTTTATTGATTAGAAAATGTTCTACCCGACCCCTCCCCCTCCCCATCCACCCCCTATATGGAATTGATTTCTGAAATCATGAATGGCTATGTCTTTTTTGAAGTTGCTCTTTCATTTGTTTGTTGTTAGGTGTGGTGAAGATTGGTGCGGTTCTTCCTCGTTAATTCCAAAAACCAAGTGAATGCTTATATCAATTTCTGTAAATTAATGCGTGCTAAGCGTAATCAGCACTCGGTGTTTTTTTTTTGGTTAAACCAACTGTGACGTACAAGACCTTATCTTTCACAGTCTGTTTTTGTACCATCGATTCGTTAATTTATTGCGTAGCAGTGTTTCCTGTCACCTCTTGGACTATCGCGCTTCTCTGGCGAAATTCTGGTATAATTAATGATTTTGCACAATATGACTAATCCAATAGTCTTACCGGAGGCGCGTTCGCGCAGCTTCAAGGTATATAGAAAAAATTTTGTTGGTTGAAAAGTGATCTTGCGAATTTGACAAATTGGTCTTCATTTCCAGATTGTAAGTGTACTGAATTTGGTTCCGAAGGAGAAGACAGCGGCAGAAAAGCGACAAGAGCGAGAACAGCGAGAAAAAGATATGTTTCTCACTCGTCCAGCTATATGCCAAAAGCCAATCAAAAGTAGGTTTTTTTTAGACTATTTCATCATGCGCAGAGTTTCTACGTCACGGTCAAGCTTCTTTTAGCAATTAGCAAATTCTGCATCTCATTGAGTGGCTGTGGTTTTCTTGGTTCCTATCACTTTGGAGCTGTCAGCTGTTTTGTTAAGAATGGAAAGGCAAGTCACTAATCTCTTATGTTCAGCTGTTGTTTAGTCCTTGAGATTCTTTCATGTGTTTATCACCTTCTTCACTCGGAAACGTAAATCTGATCTCTTAACTTGGGTTTTAGTACGTGTTAGATCGATTGGATAGGGCCAGTGGTGCTTCAGCTGGCAGTTTGGTGGCCTCACTTCTGCTTCTTGTGCCTGATAAGTGAGTTAAAACTCTCTGCTTTTCGATCATTTTTTCCAGTTTGAGAATGAGGTTATAGTTTATTAGTTTCGTTGTTTAGTGCACATATTCAGCGAGTGGATTAAGGCATAATCATAATGCCGAATAAGGACTCTTCATACTTCGCTAAAAAAGAAGCTCAAAGAAGCCCAAAGCGCCCAAAAAAACTTTGAAACGCCAGAAAGAGCCGGAACGCCCGCTGTCGCGCGCAAGTTTCGGCACCTAAGGCATGCGTATTGATTCCGCAATCCGCAATTGGGTTTTTGCTACATTTTCTGTTGTCTGTACATCGAAATAATGGCAGATTTCTACCAAAAGTTCCAACCAGGATAAAACAGAGTTCATCGTAACTTAGCGACTGTAGTTTCTAGAAAAATGTATGGTATAGCTTCTCATGCAGTCGGACTATTGTCTTTGTACTTTTGGTCGTTATATGATTCGTCCTAGCTTTTTGTCTGGTTCAGACTTTTCCTTTCTAGGACTTGATTGATGCCAGGGGTTCACGAGCATGGTTGCGTATTTCTAAATATGTTAAAAGCTGAAACAAATGCGTATCGAATCCTATTCGTTAGATATTGAGTGTTTCTAACGTTAACGATGGTGCTTTTTTTTGGCCACTTTTGGGCTTTTGGGCTTTTCAGCGAAGTATGACGAGTCCTCAGTTCTCAAAGAAGTATGCCGAGTTAACAAGATTTGTTTCCCGCGTTACTGTTTGAGTTTAATAATACTTAAAACGGTAATCATCATAGGTTGGGTATCTGTAGCGAGTCGATTCGCCTATTTCTGCGCCATTCTGATACCACCTCTGTCTCTATTCTCGTTCTTCAAATGCTTTGAATACTAGCGGCCATATGGTTAACTGTTAGCGACGGACTTTTCATGCATTACTGCGTAGATCCCACCTAGTCACTGGACAACCTAGGAAAACCTGAAGTGTGCGCACACTTGTCCGCTCTGCAGCCTGACTGAATCGGGCGCAGTACTCCAGAATATGACTTTTAAGTCGCTTTTTAGCTGTACTTTATGCATGCGTATACTCTCAGGCATGCGCCATACATCCGCCATACCCTCTATCGGCTTCAAAAGGCCTCATCATGGCCTCGTTTCAATTTCGAAGCGGATGAAGTTGGTATACGTGATGACGGCCTCATGTCGTCTGCCTGGTTTCCTTCCATTTCTTCTTAACACTCTACTATAGTTTCCCTTCTCTACTTTCACTCTCACAGTTCAGGATTGAACCAGCTACGCAAGTCTTATACGCGCTTGGAGAAGAACTGATGAAACTCAACTTTGGCGCGCTAACTCCAGGCTACTATCTGAACGAAAGATTGATCAAGGTGAGAACGTACTCATATTTTTGTCTCTTGATCAGGTACACTCAGTAGGCAAGCTCTGTATCACTAGTTCAGCCTGCATATTATCTCGCGCAAACACAGTCATTAGACCTTTTCTTTGAATTCTGTGTGGATGACGCTCATATTTTTCGTGTAGTGCTTTACACCATCCATACAATCTTTCCTGGCTTCGATTGTCCCGCGTTGTTCCTGTAATTTAATCATATCTTTTTTTTTTCTTTGTAGATCGTAGATGATTTCCTACCTGACGACATTTCGCCGGCGCAAGGACGGCTGTACATCTCTCTCACAAACAGACTAGTTCGTCCATCATTCATCTTATACGCTGAATTTGGGAGTGTATTTTTAGGAGCGTAAAAATGTATTAATCAACAAATTCAAAGATAAGGAGCACTTACTCCAGTGCCTAATGGCAAGCTGCTATATTCCCATGTACTCTATGGGCTACGGAGCACAGGCACCAATCATCGATGGTTGCGTAAGTAGTTGTAGTTTGTAGTAGTTTACATATCCTAATCCAACCGTCCCTCTATAGCAAAGATTTTTATGCAAGAATATAATTATTTCTGCAATCGTAATTATCATATTATTAGGGAAGCGCAATTCTTTTTCAAATATGCAGCACACTGACGAATTTCTACTTTTTGTTCCATTGACGTTTTCTTTGTTCAAGGTTGTATATCCTAAGTGTGCCCTTCTAGCCATTGTGAGTACTCCAAATGGCAAGGGGTCTTGCATCTCAGCATTGATAAGCTATAAAACTCACTGAAAAAAAGAGAAAGAAACTTCCCTCTATAGCAGCTGCAATCAGAAGTTTTGTCTTTCGAAAACAAGCTGAGGAGATATAGAGGATACCGCACTCTCCCGCCTATTTTTCTTTCTCCTCATTTTTCAGCACAGATCCATCAGCACCTAGTTGACATTTGCTTTGCAAGTGAAAATTTTCTCCACACTTCGTTTAAGTTTGTGAAAAGTTGATCAGTGTGACTAGCGTCTTCTTGTAATGGTCAATTTTTAGGAGTACATTGACGGAGGCTACACCAATAACTTGCCAGACTTCGAAGATATGCGCACAATAACGATATCCCCATTTTCTGGCCACGCAGAAATTTCGCCTATAGATGAAGTGCACATCTTCGATTGGAAAATGACGGTTGCTCATCAGATCATGAATGTATGTCGCAAACTTTGTTTTATAGAAATCAAATCTGTTCACTTATGATTATTTAGATTGGTTAACATACTCTGCAATGTTCTTGTTTTCAGGTAAATTTTCAAAATATCGTACGAGGAGCACAAGCATTGTTTCCACCATCGCGAGCTGTGCTACAAGCTTACTACGATTTGGGCTACAAGGATGCTTTACGTTTCCTCATTAAGAATGAAATCGTAGAAAGACCTGAAGGAACAGAAGTGTAGTGCTTAGGTATGAGTAGATGTGATAATTGCATAACTGCCATTTTCTGCGTTAACAGTGTGTTCTAAAGCTAGCATCGCAATTTTTAATGCCAATGCGACCTCTTCAAAGTGTACACTCCCAAGGAGTTACAGGCTATTACTCGGGTTGAGCACAGTTTTTTTAATATGTAATCTTCATACGAACCTCACTTGAACCCAGAGAGCATATTCTAGTCGTGATTTTGGCTAAAGCCTATTATCCTAATTTGCATGTCTTGTACACATCTTTGTATCAAATGTATGTTAATAGTTACTCGTACAGTAATAAACACATATTTCACAACTACTCAAAATGCACCGTACATAAACACATCGGGAGAATTTGGTAACACATGAGAGCAATTGTTTCAATCTTTTCTCTAAAACAAATCAACTCAACGAATTATGCAACAATCATCGGCCTAGATACACTGAACAATTGATACAACAGGTAGCACTATCACAAAAATATATGTCCCAATTGTAGTGTATTAGTTTGGAGAACAATAAGTGCGTTAGACATTTTCAGGACAACATGCTATAGCTCGGTCTTCTTGCCGGTCGCTTTCGCTTTATAGTAGTTAAACGTGTGCGTCAACGCCAAACTTAACTGGTTGAAGGATTCGTGGCCGTATGTATAGAGCATACGCGCCAACGTGAATGGTTCGCCATTCGCAAGGGCACCAGTTGCAGCCCATAAGCCAGAGACAGGCGTAACACCGCGACCTAGACATCTACTGATGAGGGTAGAATAGATACAGATAATGAAATTCAATATTGTGATGGGAGGAAATTCATATAATCACAAACGCGCCCTGACTTAACTATCTGAAACTGCTGTCATACAAGAAGGTATTAACCAGGTGAACACCTATAAAAAACTTGTAAAAGGTTATTCATAAACCGATGCTTTCTCACAAAGTTTCGAATAAAAACCAATTTCGCAAATAGATCAAAATGCGTAACAAATCCATAACGAATGTGAATACGGTAAGACTTACCATAACAGACAACGTAGGTTTCAGCACCGAGGGAATAGATGTACGATTCGAACTGTCCGTGGCGAAAGTTTCCTCCTTAACAGAACAATCGCGGTCATAGAAGAAAAAGTTTCTACTGCCACGTAGGCGGTAAAGTCAATGTAAGGCTCATAAGTGCCTCTCCCACTTGAAATCAATATCACGCGCATTATGTGTATTTTATTTGTGACACCCAAAAAAGAACTGGAAACAAAACAGATTTCAAAACTGCTTTGATACCTGCACTGAAAGTCTCCTTGTTTGGCATATGACCAAGATCTGCTAAACGAGTAACGGACCCGGTCAAAACTGTACAGGTGCTATTACTCCAGTGCATTCCTACAAAGAATGAAAGCATACAGATCGGCTTTTGAGAAAAAAATATCTAGTTACAGACCGATTCGTCCTGATGTTGGGAAAGGTGTACCCATGACGACGATAAATTCCGTTAGTGATGAGTGCAAGAACAACGCTTTCAGTGGCAAATTCCCAAGGTATAAAGAGACCTTAGATGTTGAAAAAATTGACAACAAGGCTTGACAAGCAAAGTATAGACTGAAAGTGAGCTAAACCTACCCATGTAGTCTCGGCAGCGATTGCAGGTCCATACACACGACGCAAATCGGTTGTCAAGCGGCTCACTGCTGATGCAACATTATCGGCGCCTACAAAAAATTTGCTTTTGCATAAGGGAAAAACCGAAAAACTAGAGCTAACTGTGTAGATCTGTATATCACAGTTCCATATCGATTGAATATCTAACTATCTTTAACCTTGAGCTTTGTGTGCGATATTACGGAACTCCTTGGGTGAAATGTTGTACGATTTCCATCGCAGCAAATACTGTACACCACTGAATAAGACGTATGCGATGACGATATTCCTGATGAGTCTGGAGAACAAGAAACCCATTTTGTCACCGGTAGCTCTGAAAGAAGAAATGAAATCTAATGACTCTCCAAGTCATTTAACACAGAGCAAATCTTGCGCGATTCCCGTCGCCATGTAACTGGCAATGCCCAAAAACTTATGGTTTGCCGTAGGCGCAGTATGATAAGACAGAAAGCGAATTATTTTAATTTTTACAAAAGTATCTGGTTCATTCTATGCAATCGAAGTCTATTAGTGGTTATTTAGAGACATGGGCAAACCGCCAAAGTGTCGACTAATCGCGCGAGGTACGCCTAATGCCTGACAGTACTACTCATACAAGTTGATACAGTCATGTGACATATTCTTCAACTATTGACACAATCTTCCATTATCCTATTATTATCTTCAATTAATCACAATTATTAAGAAGGGAAAGAACGCAAAGAAATCGATTCTCACAAACACAGTGAATGGGCATTGTGCAATTTGCACGCACAAACACACTAGCTTGTTGCAACAGTACAACTGCTTCCCAGAAAAACTCCATAAAAAGTAAAAATGACGGAACCCCAGCTAAATTTACAAGTTGAAGTCACAAGTTTACACTAGCTGGAGTTCTGCAACTGAAAACCAGTCCTTGCTATCAAAAGTAACGAGCGCTGGAAAAGGAAGAGTTTCTACAACTTGAAGGTGAGGAGAACGAAAAGATTGCCACGATTGCCGCCATGTCAACAGCTTTGAAAAAATGATTGAATTTTCATTAACGGTAACCTTCAAAAACTGCAACTACACGAAACGATCGTACTGGGACCGACGGATGAAAATTCTCGAAACCGCCTTCGATTCGAGCACGCAATCTTCGCAGATCTCGTGCTCAAGCCGGAACTTCCATTTCGGGATGTTTTTCCGAATGCATTCCAGTTCCTTATCATAGATTTATTGTCTTTCATGGAACAGTATTAGCTGTTGACTAGTATTCATTGGTCTTTTATTCTTGTTAAGTTGAGCTGCTCATACGAAGTTTTGCCAGTTTTTTGGGAAAGCTTCGATGCTTGACTTACCTATGGTCCGTTCACTTATCAATCTATCTTTTGGAGCTTATAAAGATAGGATACATCAATACTCTCTTTTTTATTGAAATAATCTGTATTATTTCTCTGCTCTGAACAAGCAGTTTATAAAAAGATGTAGAGAATGTGCATGAAAATATTAACTTTGCGTGACAGAATAGGTGCAAATGATGTAATGGTCGAAGGGAACTTGTTATTAGAAGGTCAGCATTGCAAATAAACTTGCTTATAAACAGTCGCGTATCGATCCAATTTTGCCACTTATGAGAGGATGGATATATTCTTGGAAGTGTGATTCAAATGTTGTTTGTTATTATCCGAACACTGTAATCTTCCGAAAAATTCATTTTGGCTTGGAGTGAACTCGGCTCGCTTTTTTCAAATGACACTCATGTTTTAGTGAGTGTCCCTCGGAATACATCTGTAATATTGGGAGGAACAAATCATATCAGTATATACGGAGTAATTTTGCTACGAGCAGTAGGGTGAGTAATCACCTAAGCGCATCCGTTAGCTGTTAGGATTAGGCAGGTGCAGTCGGCTGTCAATCTATAATCGTGTCTGGTATCATCTACTTCATACGAGGAAATAATCTTCTTGATGCATTCCCGTCTGTGCCTCATTTCTCAGCCCAGTATTGTGCTCCATATTCAACAACTGAGTGCCTTGTCTTTATCAGCTGTTCGCAGATTCGTGCTCAAATCGCTTTTGAACGTGACCATGTTGATTTATCAAAGCTCACATGTTTTCTTTTCTATCAGGGCGTTTACAGTGAGTTTCAACAGCTAGCAAGGTCCATTCTTCCTCTCACATAAGCTATCGTTCGGCAGTATGCCTATCGACTACTCCAAGTGGAAGGCGATCGAGGTGTCTGATGATGAGGATGACACCCATCCAAACATCGACACACCGTCACTTTTTAGGTGTGTCTCAGTCAGCGCTTATCAAGGATTGACTCACTAATGATTTGTTTAGATGGCGTCATCAAGCACGTCTTGAAAGAATGGCTGAGAAAAAGCAGAAGAGAGAGGAGATTGAAAAGAATAAGGCAACGAGCAATAACAAAATCGAGGTGAGAAATGCGAATGATTGCCCTGGTAGTATTATTTGAATGTATCATACTCATTTGTCTGAGCTAAAGATATAAAGAAGTTTGGCATAGATATCTTCCCAGTTTCCGGCAGAGACATTCTTTTCTCCTTTTTTTTTTTGATGTTTGTCACCATATGTTGGTGTTTCTCGGCATTCTTTTCAAGCTGATTTCAATCGGTTTTTTCTCACTCTTTTGTTAATATCCACAATAGTAACCATGTCTTTGAAAAAATCTAATTAATTTGGTTGATTTCAGCAACTCGAACAAAAACTGCAGTCCACGGATATTAGTGCTGATGAGAAATCAAAAATTGAGAAGGAGATAGCAGACATCAAAGAGCAAGAGGCGAAATGGTTGGCGAAGGAAAAGGAGTTGGAGGTTCTCTCTTTGATTTTGACTCTTTTTCTTTGTCTTTCAGCGTATGTTTAGGAGCAAGAAAAGCTCGAACCGTGGAATGTGGACACCATTGGTCATGAAGGCTTCAGTTATTCGAGGGTCAACAAAATTACTGAGAAAAAGCCGCCTCCGAAGTTGTCCGACGAGGAGGATTCGAAGAGAATGGTAGGTTCTTTCTACTTAATGATCATTGTTCATTTACTGTGATGGTTCGGCACTTTAGACCACATTTTTCGATAAAAACGAGGGCCTGATTCAAGAATACGGCAAATTGAAGACCTTGGAGGAATCTGAAGCTTTCATCCTTGAACATCCGCACCTTGCTAGTGAATATACAGCGAATTATCTCACTATCGATGCACTGAACATGGCAATTGACAACAAAGTGCGCTTTTGGATTTTTGGATTCTAGTTTTTCAGCTTTCTCTACCATTTATATTTTAGGAAGAAGAAATGAGCAACATTGCTCGACAATGTATTGTTATCCAATACCTTCTTGAACTTGCCAAAAATATGAATGCCATTCCCACAAATGCAAACATAATCAAAGCTTTCTTCAAGAAGTTTGTTTTCTTGTAACTATATGTGCTTTCATCATCATTATTGCTTCCATTTAGGTTCCGCGCAGCAGATCCGCAATATCTGAAGCTTTACACCGATGAAGTAGCGGCATTTGAGGATAGGCTCCGAAGGCGTGCGAAAGAAAAGAGAGATGCAGCTTTGGCGGAGTATGAGGCTGAGGAAAAGGTTTGATCAAAACGCCACTTATGCTTTGCTTTCGTGTAGTTGTAGTAAAACGAAGCAGGTTTTGGGATCCCCGTTCATATACTGGTTTATCTTTGTGTATATCGGTACCATAAAAACAGGAATTTTTGTATCTCGTGTTATTTTGGATTAATTTCAAATTGCTATCCTATCGATATAACAGTCATTTTTTGGCAAAGAATTTTCTTGGTTTCATTAGTTTGTACGTGGTAACAGTGCGATCCATTCAGGAAAAGCGCATAGCCGCCGCACCCGGCCATTTGGACCCTCAGGAAGTATACGAATCTCTCCCTGAAGAGATGCGTGCAGCTTTCGACAGCCAGGATGTGTCCAGATTGCAGGAGGTTGCCCTATCCATGGACAGAGAGGTAGGGGTTATTTGCTGCCAAAATCTCCTTTTCCGGAAGAATGATTTTTCCGCAGGTGTTTTCCTACCACTTCCAACGTTGCATCGATTCGGGTTTATGGGTACCGAATGCTTCCGCGGAAGGAGCGGAGGAGGCTCAAGCTGAAGAGGTATTTTCGCGGTTTTTCGCCTAGCTTCAAGTGTTTTTCTTTGAAATTCAAACTATGTATTCTCTAGGGTGCATCTACTGAGCAGCACAGTTGAAGAGTTCAACCTTTGATGCCATTTCGATTCTCATATGACATATGTTTTGTAGATATTGCATTGATTAAATAACATTCGATCCTCCTGTGCTGGTAACTGGTCGGATAGCTGATGTCATGCATCCCGTTGACTAATGAGATAACGTTGTATTCTTCTCATTAGCTAAACTTGTCTTTTTTGTGGCATTCGCGATTGTACCATAGTGAACTTCGTTTTTATTTGCATGATTTTTTAATTGCTTCACTAATGTGTTTATCGCATTTATAAAAGATGAAAAGAGTTTCTTTGCTGGATATTAGTATCCTTGAGTGACGCATTTACATTCTAAAGATTTACTAACATTGGAAGCGATGGATTGCCTCCTCAGAACAGTTTCTAGGGGAGCAGATATAGCAAACGTATTAGCTGAGGGCTGTTGCTGTGACATATGATGCTAATGACTACTTAAGAGTTTTCGTGATGCGCGTTTATTTTGATTGGGAATAAAGAATCCTGAAATTCACATTGGGAAGTATGAGAATTCTCCAATGCAGAATATTGTTGATACTTTTCTAGCAACTATTTATTAGTTTTACGATACAGATCTCTCTATAGGTCAAGTGAATTTACTCTTAGGCTTTGGCCATACTTTGCCCGTGTTGCCGATGTTTCCAGTGTTGCCAGTGTTGAAAGTGTTGCCGGTGTTGAAAGTGTTGAAAGTGTTGAAAGTGTTGAAAGTGTTGCCAGTGTTGAAAGTGTTGAACGGAGAGCATCAGTCTAGCAGTTTCATTCTTTCTCGAACGATCTCACCGGCTGGTGAATACGTTGGAAATGGAACTGGGGAATGAGAAATGAAACTGAAATGAGATGGGGAATGTTTTCGCATGCAAAAGATCCTCAAACAAACTTTTTGGAAAGTGGACGGTTGTCTGGAATAGGCAATCTCTAATATTTGAAAACGCTGCAGATCTCACTTAGGTCCTTTACTCACTAATCGCAAGCGATGCAGGATTCGAACTAAAACACATCACTACTCAGACGTCAGCTTTCTCAAATATTGGAGATTGCCTATTCCAGACAAGCCGTCCACTTTTCAAAAAGTTTGTTTGAGGATCTTTTGCATGCGAAAACATTCCCTATCTCATTTCAGTTTCATTTCTCATTCCCCAACTGCTAGACTGATGATCTCCATTCAACACTTCCAACACCGGCAACACTTTCAACACTTTCAACACTGGCAACACTTTCAACACCGGTAACACTTTCAACACTTTCAACACCGGCAACACTTTCAACACTGGCAACACTGGAAACATCGGCAACACGGGCGAAGTATGGCCAAAGCCTTACTCGTGAGGATGGTCAGTGGGTACGATGAGCTTTTATAGGTATAAGGACGAGCTTAGAGCGCTGGAAGTACTTCGCCACGGCATTCACCGAATCCGATGCGAAGATTGTCCTTCTCACAATAACCGATGAGGTTCACCTGAAAAGTAAAAAGTACTGTAGGTCATACCATTCGAGAACACGGAAAGTATGGGGACTAGCATTATTCAGTCGTAGAGCTATGGCTCTTCTACATGCTACTGACTAAATGGTAGATCAATTTCTCATAAACTCTATCATGAACGACCAAAAATTTGGTAAATCACTCTTTGCTTGATAGGTTTTAGTTTTACATTTTTGACGTTTCTACAGGATTTTTATGTTTCTTGTTTATTATGTTCACCTCATCGCCATCTTGCAAGAACTTCCTAGTCTGATCACCAACGGCGACTACTTTGGCTCCCCGCCAAGAAAGCTCAAGCATTGAACCATATGCACCTTCCTCCTAAAAAATGTTGCGATTAAAATCTGTATTATTGTGCATTAGCAGGTTCTCCCGATTCTTTTTCCAGAAGTTTGTGACAATGCATACTTCTCAAGATGAAAACTTACAGGTCCAGATACAGTCCCAGATCCCATGAGATCTCCGGGGTTTACGTTGCATCCGTTTACCGTATGGTGAGCAAGTTGTTGTTTCAGAGTCCAGTATAGGTGCTGAAAATGACTACGTTTACAATGCATTCAGACAAGCTCACGATCTACGAGAGTAAATAGATCAAAGGAATAAAATTCGCTATTCTTTCTAGTTGTGTATGATACCGTAGCATATGTTTGGCATCGATAAAACGAGGTAAAAAGATTATGTATGTAAAAAATTTCCCTTTCAAAGGAACTTATTTCGATATTTATCAGAAAAGGACGATCGCAGCCTTACTAGTGGTGCTTATTGTTGGACGCCATAAAATGGTACTTTTTCGCTATTTGATCGCTAAATGTTATATGGTCAAATGAATTTGGATTTATTAGGTTGATGCAAAAATAATGAGCGTTTTTCTAGGACTTTTTTCAGGACAACTTTTCTCCATCAAACTTCTTTCTTTGAAATGGTTTCAGCATATTGCTAAAAAGTTCTTTTTATGCTCCATCTTATGATATTTGAAATAGACTTCTAGCCTACTCTGTTAAGAATTTATACAGCCTCAAACGATCGCACTCAAAACTAGATTTTTTTTTGCATTCATTTTTCTGGCCAGAATTTAAGCGCAAATGAAGTTACTTTTTTGAAAATTTAATCATATAAGTAATGGAAATTACCTAAATTATGCATAATTACCCATATTTTTTTGAAGTTATCTAAAGTGAGATATCGGCACCTTGACATGGGTAACGGTTGTGGTCATTTTAGAGCCCGCAACTTTCTTCTGTAGAATGCAATCGCTCAAGCTTTGCTCATTTCTGTAAGCATGAGGGTAGGGATCCGGTTGACAGATCTAGCAAAGACATTTAGTTGTTCAGTACGCAGAAAATAAGAAAATTCCATACTTTGGGATTTCGAGGCCTACTGAAAAAATGCTGAAGAAGTTGATGCTTTTCGATTTCGATTTTTTTCTCTTCGCTGATCTTTTTTCTTCAAGCCCATTTTATGGCTATACATATGTTTGTACTACTGGCTTGCGGCTACAAGATAGGCTGCTTATAAATTATAAGAACAAAGTGTGAAAGGAGTTATGTTTTGTCAAAAACAAGACTTCAGAAAAAAAACTTTTTGTATTTCAATCCTTATTTTTCTACCCATATGAGATATGAGTATAGGTTAATGTGCGCTGTATTGCGAAAGGTTCGATGCATCTGAAGGACTTTATTATATTTCAAAATATAGATTTTATAGAAAGTCATAGCAAGTTAAAGGGAAAAATGGAAAAACGCTCATTATTTTTGCATCAACCTAATATTTTTGGACATTTCATGCATAATTCTCCTCACTATGATAAAAGTAGGTGGATCACTCTACAATTTCAATCTCTGATCTCTAATTTTCAAGTTTTATTTGACCTTTCGTTTTCATTCCAGATAGATTCTCAGATGTTCTTTTCAATTAGTTGTACTTATACTTACACTCAAAATTATGCCTATACTCATAATGATTATAGCTATAATAAAAGGTATACTGTTTAGGTCGACTAGTTTTTTTAAAACTTTTTATGTGCTTTCTTCGTATTCTTTGGTGCTAGACTTATGTCTCAAGCTTCTCAATCATAAATCACTTTGATCGCTTTTGAGATCTCGATCTTTCCTTCTAGAAAGACGTGCCTCACCTTAAAACTGGTTTTGCAGACTAAGTGTTCAGACCCTCCCTCTGGCTTGATTGTGACTCCCAGATTGATGTCTACGGTGTAGGGATCAGAATGAGCCAAATAACTCAATGGCGCAGGATCCTAGGACGAAACCGGTTAGTTGAGACGGAATGAAGTAAAACGATACCTGCTCTGGGTTAGCCATCATAAATGGTCGCAGAGCTTCCATGGAAACGACCCACGGTGAGATGGTAGTCCCGAAAGATTTGCCGAGGAATGGACCAAGTGGGACGTATTCCCAGGCTTGGATATCACGAGCTGAAAAAAATTTGGTGATCTGAAGGGTCAAGATCTCATGGTTCTGGGATTTATCCACCGCTCCAGTCGTTCATCAAAACCATTCCAAAAATATGTTCTTCAGTCTTATCTATAGGGATAGGTTCCCCGAGCTTTGTTGGGGGTCCACCAACAAAGAAAGCCATTTCCAGTTCGAAGTCCAGCAAACGAGAAGCTCCATAGGTAGGCTCAGCAGCTAAAAAAATTTATTTTACCCCTTGTAGATAAATTCGTCCACGATACCTCCTTCTGGCTTTAGCTGTCCACGGGGACGCCGGACTGGGGTACCAGAGGGGATCACTGAAGAAGCGCGGCCATGGTAGCCGACTGGCAGCCATTTCCTAATATTTTACGAAATTGACCTCAATGGGGGGGGGGAGTAAAACATAATTATATCACATACCAGTTAGGCATAAGAGCATTTTCTTTTCCCCTAAACATGATGCCAACATTAGTAGCATGATATATTGATGAGTAGAAATCGGTATAGTCACCTAAAAATATTCTTGAGACACCCTTAGATCCGCACTGAAATTACCACGTTACCTATTTTTGCTGGAAGATGCATTGTAGCATCTTTTTGGCTGACTATAGCTTTTGCGCGAAGTTGTGAATCCCCCTTGAGTGTGGTGACATCATCGCTGAGAAGTTTCTGGATAGTTTGACGAGCTTCCAGCCAAGCAGCTCGAGGTAGACCCATAAAAGCGTTGAGGGTTTCCTGAAAGTTACCAACAGAGTAATTTTGTAGCACTAACTTTCAGGGTAAGGGGATTCACACCTGTTTGAAGACATCTTGATGATTCTTGAGAGCAGGTCCATCGAAAAGATGGGCTACTGCTGATAAATCAAGAATGGAATCTCCGATAGCAACACCAATTCTGTGTTTGGCCTATAAAACATCTTTTTTTTATTTTCGCCTCGAAAACTCCTTGATTTTCCAATAAAAATTATTATCTACAATTTTTGTAAAAAATTTCACACTGTGAAAGTTACAGCTCCTAAATTTTCCCGCTTTCTATCAGTAGTTCATAGCATTTTTTGTAGATATTCTGCAAAAATTCAGTATAGGGAGCGCCTAAGAAAGTTCAATTTTTTCAAGTTCTTTTTTATTTTGTGCCAGAATATCGCTTTAGAATAGTTAAGGGACAGATTGGTAATTTCTAATTCTAGCGAATACTGGAAGTGAGAGGTTTACATTACATTGGATTCTGCTCACATTATCTTTTGTAGAAAATACTCCATATGGACAATTCTCAATGGGAAAATCGGAGCCTTCTGGAACAGGAACGAAGGATTTCATACCTGAAAAATGCGCAAAATCGCCAAAATCGAAAGGGGGAAAATCCGGAAAAAAAAGAAAAACAACGATGAAGTTCTTCATTGTGATATCAAACTGGGAAGCACGAAAAAACTTCCAAGGTAATTAAGTGGCACGAAACGTTGCATTTTGCAGAGGACAATAAGTTGCCCTTACTGGAACGATCAATGGTGACAATTCGTAGCGATATGACCTTTGCTCGACGTAGGAAATGAGTGGGTATGTGAGGACGAAGAAAAAATGTAAAATTTATTGAAAAAAAGCACTTTCGCACGGTACCCCTTTTCAGCTTTCTCAGCGAGTTTATTTCACTACCAATTGCGTGGTCGATTCATTTGTTTATTCTGCTCAGAACATTGATGAAAGCGAAGCCATAGCAACGCAACAAACTGATAAGCGTAAAAAGAAAAGGAAAGAGGGAAAGAGAAATTGAAACTCTTAACGTTAGAAAGGCTCAATAAGGGGACACAGTACAATTGTTCTGTTTCAGCTTTTTTTTTTTGTTAAGCAGTAAATGATGGAAGGTACACACCTGATGGTTTTATTTTCCAAAACACAGTGACACCGTTTATCACAAAAATGGAACTACTACTTCACACTTTGGTTACTGAACCGTTATTGGATGGTAAACTTGTTGCCAAAAAATTCTTCAAAAAATTATAATTTCTAATTATTCCGCTAATTCCTATAATTCGTAGGAAAAGACGGTAGCTGCATGGGTATTTGTTCAACATAATTGCTTGGAAAGCTCAATAGTTGAACATTAAAAAAACAACTTATCTTAAGAGATCGGTTTACACATAGTCCAAGGTCTCAAACTTATACATTATCAAATTCGCCTCCTTGATCCTGCTTGGATATCGTTTTAGCATTAGAAGAAGGGGAATGTGCATATAACTTGCAAGAGGACGTTTCGATAAACAGTTCTTTGATTCAACAATTATATTTTCAAAATTATATATGCGAGTGAACAAAGGAGAAGTCTACCTGATATCTATTAAAGAATTCTCAAATATAGCTTATTGCGACATGCATAAGACATGCTATAAGTTTAGCCCATTCTCGGGGTCAAACGTTTCTTGGCGAAAATGTTTACGACAAAGATAACGCGTGGTGTAATGTAGTAGCCACGACGAATGATAAGATGTAAGAGATAGAAATTAAGCATGCTGGAGAAACTTGGGTCTTGACGGCATTAAAACGATGAACTGAGGTTAGATATGAAATTCTCCCTGATTATACTATCCATCACTCGTACGAATTTTGACATTGTTATGATTAAGAACGAACAATTTCAAGGTGAAAATTGAAAGCGCTTTAATTTGCAATTGGTGCATATGTTGTCCTATTCACTAGTCAACGCGTTTACTCCTCAAATCTTGACACTCACTCGTTCCAGGCATGCAATAAATCCTTGAGAAGGTCGCACTCTGTAAGCTTCTATCTTGTGTGTCTCCGTTTTATTGTAGGCCAACAATGATAAAAAAATATGTCTCGCCGAGCAGTCATCTACGGAATAATGGAAAAGGCTCTCAACTTTCTCAATTTTTTCAACACGAATTTCCTTTTGCTTTCCCGGAAATTCTCGGGAAAGCGGTCCAAAGATTGGGTTTATGACTCAACTCTTGCGAGTAGGTCACGCTCCCATTAGTACTTTTCGATACTGGGTCCAAACCTGTACACACGCCTCAACATAGGAGCCCCTCTTGTGAAGGGCCGTATACCTCGCGAGGTATCTAACATTCGAAACGTATAAATCGCAAATGAGTTTGTATTTCGAGTGACGTGCGCAAAGAAGACGCGGGGAAAGGAACTTTGGAATCCAGATTGTTCGAAAATATTCTTTCCTGCTGGAATTTGTTAACATGAAGGTGACTTGGCCTGTACTGAGCTAATGACGCTACTAGAGATCTTGGACATCATTCAGGAAATGCTGGTATAAAAAATAGGCCCAATATAAAAATAATAAAATAAAAATAATAAAAAATTCAAAACAGCTTGTAATGGCCTTATAACAACGTCTGTTTTTAGTTTGTAGAACCTACGTGAATCCTCCTCTAAACTCTATTGTTTGGACTCCAGACTTTGGAGCAGTTGCTAAGTTGTTAGTTGAATTTGATTTTTTTGCAAAATAAGCTTACAAAGCTTTTTTTACTACATGGAGTAAGACCTTGTCGGACAGGATGATTACAAGCCTCCGCTATTTTTCATGCCGCAGCGATATTTCAACTGTTCATCACTCTCATTATCATCATCCAGCTCCTATATACCGATTATCAGGCAGGTGAATCTTGCCCTTTGGGTTACTCCTGATATGCGGTCTTTATCACCCGATTGTGAAAACACAGATGTTGTAGCTGACCTATCGAGGAATATGGTGGTATGCATTGCGTTCACAGTTCAAATGCCTTTTTGAGAAACCAGAACTAATTTTTTTAGCACATAGATGTAACAATTTTTTGCAAGATTATGGAGCTCAAGTCTCGAAGAAAGGGGAGGGCGTACGCTATTCTGATTCCATTTCTTTATACACTTATTATTTACGAACTAAACAAGTTGTCAACTTGTACTCTTTACTTTACGAATGCTGTTTTCTTACTAATTATTTACGAACTAAACAAGTTGTCAAATTGTACTCTTTACTTTACGAGTTCTGTTTTTTCCATTTTGCAACCAACCACTCATTTTTGCCTTTCCGGTAAACCCCGGAAAAGCGTTCCAAAAATTTAGGTTTTGACTCAACTCACTGAGTGGTCGGAAGCCCGTAGTACCTTTTGATACTGGGTGTAAACCGACCGGCACTCTTCACGCTGCCAGCGCCCCTCACGAGGCGTCGTACAACCCACAAGTTCAGTTGCGCTTCACCACATGCAAATACACGCTAAAAATACCAGCCACGAGGCTGTAGTACACGTGTGGCAGAGACGCACGGTTCAAAACTTTGATGATGACGTACTATGCGTTCATGAAAATAATGAGGTATGAAGAATTGAAACATATGATAATAAGAATTGGAGGGTATTAAGTAGCAACTATTAAATAGCGAAGACTTCGTAAATTATTAAGTGAGTAACAAGAGTACGCAGAGTCCGTGAGGTTTCCAAAACATAGAGGAATGTTTGAGCAAATAAGGAAAAGCCGCTTATAGACCTTGTTTTAGTACGGCATATACGCCCATTTTGAAGTTATGAAATTTTTACAAATGCTGAAGAATAGGTAGATGTGTGTTGGCTCTTGCTTTCCTGTATCACCTACAATGTGCGACTCATCGATTGCCCCTTTTTCCAGAAAGTTGCTTTTTGTAGAACATCAATATGTATGATCAGTTTTTGAACAACTACAAGCGACATACATATTATATGTACCTTAAAGTGGATCTATGAATTTACTAGCACATAAAGTCTAAATCGGTGACCAATACACTAATAAGGCAGGCGCATTGTGGCGATTTTCTCTTGAAAGAATATGTTGTAAGTTCAATCACAAATGACTTTATGCCATTCTTGGAATTATGCGAGTTGAAGAATGCCGCTAGTGATTAGTGTCAACACGGTATGACCATATTTCACTATTAGTACTAGTGGCACTCGAGGACGGCCGCATTCAACATCTAAGCGACAGCGGCGGAGGAGGTTGGTTCGTCTTTCACGTTTCTGCGTATTTTCGTTTGTAGCATTCGGGGGTGAAGTCGAGGCTAGCCAGGATGGAAGAGGTTTCTGGTGGGGTAAGGCATAAAATCATTGATCTCTTACCACTTTAGGCCTCTGAAGAAGACGATCCAGTCGAAACGTCAGGCCGCCACTAACTAATAAAGTACTAACCTTGCTCGGCTTACTAACCTACTAACCTATTAGAATATGTTGTTTTTTTTAAGAAACCGTATGTCCGGGGATTCTGAGCCTGCAACCTCGGTTCTACTGAGTTAAAGTTCTGATCAGAAAAACCAAGAAACACGCTTCATGGTACAGATGATATCAGCTGCTTTGAACATAGAACAAGAAAACAAAGAGACAAAACTTCAGCAAGCTAATGCACAAGTATAATGCACAATGCTCGCACCTCTTGCTATATTTTCTCGAATTCTTTTTCATATCCCATTTCAGAGATAAAATATAGAGCGTTGTTTACTCATACCATGTGACATAATTTTCAGCAGTGGAAATCTCTGACCAGCGGTGTATGTTGAGTCACATCACACAGTTGCAATTCAGCAATTGTATCGTCGTAAATCGTTTCACGGGAACCAATGGATTAGTTCTGTTTTCTTGCTACAGTCCACTGCTTTGGCACAAAGGTGCGAGAATGCGATGACATGTCAGTTGCTCTTCTACTGATACGTATATAAGTACCGATGAAAGCATACGGTGGGATTTTTCGCTTGAAAAGGGCATTCACCTTTTACTGAATTTTTGAGTAATTTCTGCTTGTTACAGTCCAAAAACGAGATTGTTTTTTAGGATATGAAATTCATCGTGCTTTTTGCGCTTGCTGCATGGACAACATGCGAACCGCTTCTTACACCGAAGATGTTGTTGACAACAAAAGTCAAACAACTGGTAACCGCATTTTTGAGTGATGAGCAACTCTCGAGGGTAAGTTGTAAATAGAATTATTAAGCAAGATCATTTGAACACTGGGCCTTAAGCAACACGCATTAATAGGAAATTTCACCAATAGGGAAATTGTACAGATAGATTCAATTATAGAACACTACCATACCGTTTGACAGTTTATCCTTCATGATCTAGATGATTTTCAGTATACGAACCCGTTGCTGTACGCGTACTGTAGAACTACTGTCCCAGAATTTAATGCGCAAATTACGCATTTTCTAGGGTGTATTGTATAGCTCAGCTTCGCAACACAATAAGCTAAAGGTGTAATAAATTTCCATTGAAATGATTAAAACAAAAAAACGCACTAATATGATTTTGAGATTCCCATCTTGTTTTGAGGACTTAAGTTTGAAAAAGAGTTCATGCTATCATCAAATAACGCTATTCAAAATCCACCAGATGTATTTCAAAACCATTTTTCCAGGCCATTGACATCGCTGCCCTCGACATTCACAACGGAAAGCTGGTCGATGAAGTAATGACAGGTGAATTCTAGCAAAACGTTTGATATTGTGCCCTCGCGGTACCTGCAACATTTGCGCGAAAACAAACGTCATGTTGATGTATTTTCGACAATTTGCTTGCGACTTGCGCGTGAATATTAGTCATAAAGCGGATAGAGCCATTAATTACGCGCAAATGTTGTGGGCAACGTAAAAAAGTTATATTATTTGGTCCGTTAGATTAACGGTAAAAACTGACGGTTAATGCAGGTTGTGCAAAAGTGCTACTTGACTGAAGTGAGGGAACCGAAAAGCCGAAGTGTTTTTTTAGACTTACATAGTTACTTCACCGATTCACTGGATGACACACAACACAGAGTAATAAATAATGCTTACGAAAACATGTCCAAGGTATGTCTTACGTATTATATCTTGCTCAAAATTTTCATGGTGGTCAGTTCGCATTCAGGATCTCGGCGAAGAAGGTGCACAAAATGTGTTTGAACGAGCGAAGAAAATCGTGTCATATGCCGTGTCGCCTGCAGTGGAAATAGTTAGTTCATTTAATTGTAAAAAAGGAAAAAAAACTAGCTCCTAAAGTCTTTAGGTGCGCGTGGAAGGTGTGACACCAGATTTGTCGTACTTATCGATGGCACGACAGTTGACGCCAAATTTTGTGAGGACCGTGGCAGCTCTGGTCAAGGACACGCTGACACCGGCTGAATGGAACAGCGCAAGAACGCATTTTGGGCCAATGCTGCAAATGCTGTAAGTTTATTGACACCAAAAAACTTCGTTACCTGGAGTAAAATGGACTTGCAGGGACAATGACGTACAGCAATCGTGGAATCCTTTGCCCGTTACCATCCCTTGACGAGCACATTCAAAGCAGAAGTTTCATCAGACCACTTTGTTGTATTTTAAAATGAAACCGCTAAACAAATAAACTTGTATTGGGTTGGTCTAAAAGCAATCGTAAAAATCTCAATGCCCGCGAAGTTCAGAAGGTTATCCGGACCTTTTTCAAAGACCTCTTTTTCTAGTGACCTTACACCATATTTGGCCCCAAATTCAAAGAAAGGAATGTTGACCTTCTGCAATGTGCCAAAAAAATTTGACATGTCATCTACATGTTTGAAAGCTTTTACAAGGGTTTGTGTTGCATTACCTACCAACACAAATTTAATGCGCATTTCAATAATGACCGCACTTTCGACTAAATAATTCCAGAAATAAACAGCGTTATAATGATAACGTCAACCTGCTATTAATGAACAGATTAGGCCTGCCCAGAATGGAGATGCGTTAAGATTCCATAATCCAAGAGACGAAACAAGCACCAGCACGATACTGCAAGCCATTATTTATAGTATCTCTTGGCTAAATTCTCATGGCGGAAAGTTTGAAAAGGAAGACAATTTTGATTACTATCGAAAGTAATAAAGATGTTCTAGGATAAGTTCTAGACAGTTCTGATCTGAAAACAGTTGGAAGGCTTTTTGGATGGTCACAAATGCTCTTTTACTCCCCGGGAATGATTGCGAAAAAAACAAGCAAGAATGGACTACCTCAAGTTTTTCCTTACATGTGGCAGGAGCGTCTTCGTAGAATCTATAAAAAAATTGTTCTTACAATTAGACTAAATAGCGTATTATGAGAGTCCTGGAAGAATGGGTCAAGATAAACCAAGCTGGAAATTTGAGGCAGATAAAACTTTTGAGATTCTTCCGATGTCATCTTATAAAGCTCGCTTTGTTCTATCGAATGATAGATATGTTCCATCCACACCAATACCTTCTCCGATACGGCAGAATAACAAACGCTCATGACCTTTTCATCAACTTGACATTTTTGATTTCTTACACAAGTCGAGTATACGGTAATGCCTGCACGGATATGCCACCATCTGAACTCTACGGATAATAGCATCCTTCTACATGCTTTGAGAATGATACATATAGAATCTGGTGCAGTGCACCTGGATGCCAGCCTTTTTTGTGCACAGAAGACAAACCCTAACCAATAAGTATATGATGTTCCGTGATCCTTTCCATTTTCTCCAACCTGTCCGAAAAATCAAGTCAACTAGTAAGTATTGAGTTCCAAGTGCTTGAATGTCCACTAACCCTCACCGTCAAGTCTCTTCATGTACAGAAAGCAGAGCTGAAGGCAATCATAGTGAACCGTAGTGCTTAATCCGTTTTCGAAAACATTTCCAGAAGCCGATCTATTTGCGAAGAGGGCAAGCATGCATGCGAAATCCTCTTTTGTTACAACACAAAAGATCCATGCAAAAGCATCGAATTATTCATTTGTCTGTCTATCATGGAAATTTGGTGAGGAATGATTAACAATTTTTGGAAGCATGTGGGGATGTCATAACAAGGGAGTCCATTTTGTCGGGGTTCATTCGCGGCCAATCAAGGGATGATTATGAGAGTACCGTCACCACCACGTGAGTTCACTCAAAAGATGACCAATGTGACTCTGCGGAGCAGATTTGACACTATTGTAGAAAAATGAGCCCCGCGTAAAAAAATTACTTCGCTACAGCACTTGCGCTCATTTGTTTATGGGGTTCATAACACAAAGTTAGGCACTTGTTGAAGCTTTGATACAAGGAACATTAGTGGCAGGATAGAGCGTCAGGTGACTTTGTGAGCCTGATGAACAACGTTTCAATTTCAGCCAAAAACAATCAAATTGGAATTTGATCTTCTACCACTCTAGGATGGTGGATAGGCGGTGTCATCCGGAAGCTACTTTCTTCTTCACACCATATGTGGAGGTCTAGAATTGTCCAGATTCGGCTGTGTCTTAGGGATGGTCAGAGTTTGCCAGTGTTGCCTGTGTTGCCTTAGATAGCACAAGACGGGAGTCCGAGGACCACTTACAAGGGAAGTTCACTTAATCGAAGTGGCGATTCGGAAGGAGATCTATACCAATGGATAGAGCTTAAAAGCTGATTTCAGATATACCTTCTATATCTGCGATGCGTTGTTCTGAAAAAAGTTATGAGCTTTTATAAAGCCGAATTTTCGTGCATTTTGAATCGCAAAATCATCATAATTTCTACACAAAAGTGTGCAAGCTTAAGCAAACCACCTAGGAAGCATTGTAGGTTTAATTCGAGTTCATCCGAACGTTTTCGAGTTTCCGACATGTTGTTCATCTGCACATCATTTCCTTCCTAGATCGCACTTCGATTATATATAAGAAAGTCCATAACCTCCATCTAGAAGAACGCGTCGCAGATATTAAAAATATGTTTGAGAACATCGTTTTACGTTCTATCCATTGGTAGTTTCCAAAGAGTTTCCTACGGGACGCGTTTTTCAAGATGGAGGTTATGGGTGTTTTGTATACATAATGGAAGTGTGATCTAGAAATGAAATGAATACGTGTGGATGAACAACATGGTCGAAAAACATTCGATAGCATTCGGATGAACTCGAATTAAACCTACAATGCTTATTAGGTGGTTTGCTCAAGCTTGCAGCTTTTGTGTAATGATTATCATGATTTTGCGACTCAAAAGGCAGGAAAATTTGGCATTACAAAAGCTCATAACTTATTTCAGAACAACGCATCGCAGATATAGAAGTATATCTGAGATCAGCTTTTTAAGCTCTATCCACTGGTATAGATCTCCTTCCGAGTCGCCACTTCGGCTAAGTGAACTTCCCTTGTTAGTTCTGCAATTTTCGCCTGCAAGATGGATCTGCACATTTAGAAACGCCAACCACCCCCCATTAGGCTTCCCCTGGTGAAAACGATTTTTGGTCACTGCTGATTTAGCATCTGGAAGCAAGATCTACTTCAGCTTGAGCTGGGCATATGACGCAGCAGTCATCTATATAGCAACTCAAAGCAGGGGAATTCGCTGCAGCACTGGCGCCTCTATCTTAGACAAGAAAATAATTGCCCAAGTAGGTGCGAGAAGTTGCCCCATTGCCAAGCCTCTAAGCTGTTTGTAATACTGGCCCGACCATCGGAATACTGGACATTGCAACATTCGTAGTAGAGTCTTGTATATAGATGGTCCTCGGACACCCGTCTTGTGCTAAGGGAGTGCTGTGCTTGTAAATATGAATTTGTTTGGCATTAGCTTTGTTTTCGAATGATACTTTGATCTTTTGTTGACGTCTGGCGAGTAAGTTCATGTGATTTCGGCTTGCAGGCTTTGAAAAAGGCGAAAGCGCAGAAACGTTAGCGAATAAAGAAGTATTGTGGAGTGTTTATTTTCGAACCTACTGTTGCAGAGAAAATCTCACCGCTTCCAAATTGGTCCATACATGAATGATATCTGATAAGTTCATATCATTGTGGGAAACTCCAGAGCACCGTTCAGCTGGAAATCTCGAGGACTGCGGTCTGCCGTCATGAGCGATGAAGCTGAGCAAGGCTAGTTCGGATGTTATCACCGCAAGGATGATTGAGGGCCCTTTGTTTTAGAGGACCTTCAAAAAACCCAAGATGGACGAGAGGAGGACGCAGAAAGGATCGTCAGGGCGAACCGCTACGTAAAGGTTTGAATAGCAAAGCGATATCAATCTAGTCACGCCTTCCGGGTGGAAAACTATAGTCGCCGAAAGGAGGTGGTCCCGTGCGGACATCTGTGACAAAGCGCGCAGCTCTTCCCGCTACACGCATTACAGATTCGTACTACATGTCCGCGAGGGGTGGAGCCTATCGGCAACATATAGTCCCCTACCCAAGCCTTCGCAATTTTGCCTCAGGTCCTAGCTGAAGAGAGCTTCAATAGAGTCGAGGATTTCATCGAGAAAGCCACAAGGGAACTAGATTATTATATCAGGTGAGCTAATATGGTTGAAAATTCGGAAAATTTGTTGGTTTTGTGAGCAAATACAACAGAAAGACATGTCATTCATTCTCTGACTAGGGGGCCGCTTGCATTAACATCCCCCCCCCCACTCCCTCCCCGGGGAGGGGATCGGCTTCGGAAGAAAGCTTCATATCACGAAGCTCCAGATATCTGGATTTCACGCTGTCTACCCATCCGTAAGTACTCCCACCATCCTTCCCTATGAACATCTTGAACGGTAGCAAGAAGCTGTAGAGGCCGCAATTTCCAGCTTTCTGTTTGATCCCTGACGATCCCTTTCTGCCGACCGTCCTATTTAGAATCATTTTTCTTTCTTCGAAGTCAATAAAAATATTCCGAAGTTGTGCTATCTGACCCAACAGTGCTAATCATGTTTCTGGTAAGAACAAGTGATGTTTCGCCATGGAGTTTGCGATGAACCACAAGTCGAAAGCTGGGGATTATCGAAAAAATATATTCCACAAACTCATTCGTTCTTATCAGCACCATGCTTAGCACTGTTGGATTAGATAATCAGTAAATTCAGTACTTTGGAAGGTTTTCGATAACTCTGAAGGAAGAAAAATGACTTTGAAGGAAAAACGATCCGCCGCTGGGGATCATCAAAGGATCATACAAAAAGTTGGAAAATGCGGCTTATACAGATTTTCACTCCTGTTCAAAATGTTCATAGTGAAGATGGTGGGAATATTTGCAGACAGGTAGACAGCGTGAAATCCAGATATCTGGAGCTTCAGAGTATGAAGCTTTCTTCTAAGCTGCGCTCCCCTCCCCAGCGGGGTTGTTAGTGCATGCGGCCCTAAGAACAAGGACGAATAATATTCGATAGTCGAATATTTGAAAATCAAAATTTTCGAATGTTTGACTATCGAATATTATTTGAAAATCGAAATTTTTGAATATTCGACTGTCGAATATTATTCGAAAATGGAAATTTTCGAATCAAATAACATCCGCATATCGAAAATTCGTTATTCGAATTTCGAATAACGAATTATTTTCGAATTGTTACTCGGTTCTCGAATATTTATGTCAGTGAGACTGCCTATGAGAGACCAAAACATATAACAATGAACTGTTCCATGTAAGTAAAAAAAAGACACTTTTTTAATGTTAAAATTTACGATGAAGATACGGCTTAGTGGTGACGTGAAGAGACTTATAAACTCAAAAGCGTGCTTCTGTGACGGTGTAAAAAGATTTTTCGAACTTTGAGAAAGACTATATAACCTCCCTGAGAGTTGTGGATTGATATGCAGGGGTCCCAACAGTATGTAGAGCGGTGTGCTGATATCAACTTAGAGTTACAGTATAGAGCAATTTATCGATCGCTTTTCACTGTTGTAAAGTTACCGTAGGAAAATTGAAGAGGGTTTTGAGACATCAAGAGCCATTTCCCCAAGACTCAGAAAGGCCGAAAGTCTTACATTAGAAATCTAAAGACGCCATATATAAACTTGCTCAACCGTAATGCTTTTTTGTTACAACTTATGCCAGGTACACCGTAACAAATGTTTTTCAACTGCTTTCAAAAACGTGGTTGCACATTTAAAAAGCTTGAAAACTCGTGCGAAGTAAAATCAGCATACGTAAAATCTCTGCCACATTTAGATCTTTTTTGGGAAGGTTCTTTTGTCTTATTTCGCAGTTGCTCTATATGCTGGAAGTTCCAACCGTGACTAAAAGAAAAACAAGGGTGATTTGCTTGCTGTATTTGTAAGCCGAAGCCATTCCTACAGAATGTTACCTAAAGGTTGGCAAAAGACTTCGTGAGAGGTTTTAGCAATGTGTAGACATTTGGGATACCCCGAGTACATTATGGATATCAAATTTCGAATATTCGGTGCTCATCAAATAATCGAATATTCGAAGGAAATCGAATGATCGAATCGTTGGCCATCGAATTTTCGATTATCTCATAATATTCGAAAATTGTGATTTTCGAATATTCGACTTTCGAACAACATTCGAGACTGGAAATTTTCAAATATTTACTATCAAATATTATTCATCTCATGTTTTCGAATAATCCAATTTTCGAATCATTCGCATTCATGATTTATTCGAATAATCGAATAATCATTCGATTCGGTCCAAAGTATACTAGGCGCCAGACTAAACTATTGCCTGCTTCAGCAGGACTCTGCGCAGCTAGTAAGCTGATGTCAATTGGCGTCATGTTGGATGGAAATCGAAAAGCGTCTGCGATGCTTGCAACAACAGTGGTTTTGAAGAGAATGAGAGAATGATAATATGGCCTCGCCAATGAAGAATTTTTATTGTAGCAAAACCGCGCACGATGAACTTGATTTCCATGCAACGCGACATCAAATGACAGTAAATGCGTCCTGCGAGCAGACTTTCGGTTAGTCTGGTGCATACCTCGGTTAGGTAGAGGACTATATGTCGCCGAAGTGGGGCGTTCTCCGCGGTCATCTGCAACAAATACGCACCTTTTACATGGGGGCGCTCATTATGTGCGGGCTGCCAAATGGAAAACGTCGCAACGCGGCGTTACAGTAACCGCGCCGTGAAGCAGCTGTGCAGAAAACTTGTCAGATTTATATCACTAGATTAAAAATGCTTCTTCTATATTGTTAGCTTTTTACCTTCTTCAATTTGTGTCTTTTTTGTCCTCTAAGGAGCTCATTTGACAACTTTTGTGACAAAACTTCAAATAATTAGGCTAAACTAATATGAGGACAGTCTATGAACCTCAACAAGGGATGAGAAACTGAGAAACTATGTGCTGCGGATCATGCTGGCTGAATTCCCCCAGTTTGGTCACTGACGGCCTGTCGCGCGCGACGTTTTCCAATGGGAAGAGCGCACGTAACGATACGCCCCCCTTTTACATGCACAGAGGTACGTTTTTGCAAGAAGTCCGTGCGGGACCCTTCCACATTCGGCGACATATAGTGCTCCAACCCTTCGGTTTCTCCGACAGCCATATGTAGCGCAAAGTGCTGGAGCTGCGTGTGCGCAAACTTCGCAAACGGTTCGGCCTCCCGATTGGGACAGACTGTACACACAGCTTGCGCCGCTCTCTATGAGAGTTTGTGCTTGATATACCATGAAACGAATGGGCTAATATTGCAGAGATGATCCAGAAGACATTAAAGTCGCGGAAATGATCGCCAACAAAATGGAACAATGTGAAAAAATACGTACAAGCTTTTCCCTTCTGTGAGTGTCGATTCTTCGTGTATGATTCTAGTCCGAAAACACTTCTCATGAATACCACCGCTTCGCATGGCTCGCCCTTTGACGCGCTTTTCTCCTTCTTCGTAACGCCTCAAGAAAAATAGACAGCGTTGCATGGTACCGTGGGAAGGACCGCAGGGCAGACTTTCAACTGTCCATTTCCTTCAGATTCTCTTCATATTCTAGATCATGCGAGAATGGACAGCGTCTCAACAATCCTCCTCGTTCCACTACGCCTGTTTCTATAGATGAAACACAGGTAGCAATTAAAAGCGTTATTCTGCTAGGCATATATTAAGTTGTAACATAAGTCTTAAGACACTCTAACTTCTTACGGCGATAAGTCATCCAGTTCATTTTAATAGGAGTCCAGTGGCCGTATTCATCAACGAACCCTGAGGTTAAACTTACCCTCCGGGGTTAGTTTAACCCTCAGGGTTCATTGGCCATATTCATCAACCATAGGGTAGGGTTTACCACGGAACGCAATCCACCTGTGTCGATCAACGAACCTGTGGCCGTATTCATCAACGAACCCTGAGGGTTAAACTAACCCTGGAGGGTTAAGGCGTCAGTTACGCACGCGCTGTGCAAACTCACATCGCAGAATGCCTAAATACGCTAAAATCACTTTATACTTCTAATCTTCCTATAGTAGTATGATCAACGAATAAGCTTCTAACACCAGTTTCTATAATACATCTCTAGCGTATTTGTGCAGCATCCAATCTTACAACGTGAGTTCATTTTCATGTGTGCACAATTGCGCCGTGTAAGTTCTACTTTTGCGCAATTCTTTTTATACCGGGCTTGTGCTACTCTTTTAAGGGTCAGTGCGTGTTACCATAAAGGGGTTCTGCAGTTTTGGCACTTGTCAGAGTGGAATGCGCAACCATTTTTCCTCGTCGCATTCATTTGTCACCAGCTAGAATTCTTTTTCTCGCGAAGTCAATGTTTCATGTATTTCGAATCTAAACATAAAACGAAGTTGAGACTAAATACTATAACAACTGATAATAAATACTACAATACTCGTTGATCGTTTTCCATAAAACTATTAGATGCGAGTTAAAGTTTGTTTGAAGTGTTAGGGTAGAGTTAAACCTTGCTCTATGCTAGGTTCAAATTAACCGTGATGAATCACGTAATACCCTCTAGGGTTAGTTTAACCCTCAGGATTCGTTGATGAATACGGGTTAATCGCTTTTGGGGTAAGATTTACCCTCAAGGTTAGATTTAACCCTCAGGGTTAAGCCTACCATTTGTTTCAGGAATACGGGTCAATGCGCTTTCCAGGATTAAACTAACCCTCCAGGGTTATTTTAAACCTCAGGGTTCGTTGATGAATATGGCCACAGGGCACCATTCGATAGAGCAAAGCAAGCCCTACAAGACTGTCTGCAAAAGTTCGCCCCGACTTCGACCCACTTTAGGTACAGTCTGCGCCAGTCCCAACCAAGCCAAAACTGGCATGGCAGGATTCCGCTCGCCAAGGTTTCGCGGTCACGCCCACGGCCTGCCTCTGCTCTCTCTTCAATCCTTTTGCTCTCTCCGACAGCGCGCATATGCAGCGCGGACCGCTAGCGCTGCGAGCCCGCAAATTTACGCCGACGATTCAGCCTGATCCCGAATGGAGTAGACTGTATGCATTCAAGATTTGAGTCGTACTGAAGGCTCAGAAAATCGCGTAAAATTCATACCTTGTTGAAAAAATCCTACTAGTCTTCAACTTGCTCACGAAAATTGCACTCTACATCAGGCACTCTTATGTACCGTTTCTGAATTTCTTCCTCATTTTAGAAATCGAAAAAACGAAAATTTTTAAGTTTATACAAAAAGAAGGCTGAGCTGAATTCGGTAATTTTCGAAAACTAGGGCCTGTGGAGAACTGAAAATCTACCGTTATACTTTTAAGGGATTGTAGTACACAATTACAGAAGTGGAAACAGCTTAGCTTAGTTTTTGGAAAAACTTGAAAATCTTCGTTTTCTCGATTTCTAAATGAGGAAGAAATTTAGGAACGGTACATATGAGTGTCTGACATAGTGTGCAATTTTTATGAGCAAGTTGGAGATTCGTGGGATCTTTTGAACGAAGATAGATTTTTCGCGATTTTCTGAGCCTTCAACGACTCACATTTTGGTTGTAAACTTGAAGTGGGTCGAAGTTGGGGCAAACTTTGCAGGCCGTCTTGTAGGGCTTGCTTCGCTCTATCGAATGATGTCTGGACCCCATTGGAAATGTGAAGTGCATGACCTATCGCGTAAGAAGTTAAAGTGTCTCAAGCTTTATGTTACAACTTGATAATACGACACTTTCAGAAAGAAAGTGATGTATTCGGGCCTCCACTACTTGAAAGAAGATTTGATCGAAATTGGCAAAGGAGGCAAGATTCGCATTGTTCATATATTTGATCAATACTTCGCTGTAGGCTAAAGCACATCATGTCGCAACCGACGGCGCCCACACAGGGAAAGAAAACGCCATTGCCCACTCCACAAGGATCACAAGAAGAAAACGCTACACAGTAAGGTTCAACACTTCTGCTGAATGGAAAGCCTTGACTAATAGCTGTAATGGAACGCCAGTTTGGATATTCCACCTTACAGGCTATCAGATAGACAACCATTGACATTTGGTGCTACACCTAGCAAAGAAGGCGCAAATGGCACAAACAACAAAGTAGCAAATAAGTACGTCTATCGACCAGTGAGCTACTCAAGCTGACAAACATAAACTTTAGAGGAGGCAAAGAAAGTGCTGATGAACATGAACATGGCAAGTTGAAAAATGCTTTCAAGAAGAAATGGAAGAAACTGTTCAAAGAAAAATCGCAGTCGCAAAGGCCAACTGAAGAAAAGAAGAGTTGGTGGCAATTTTGGTAGAGGAACGTTCAATCGAAGGCAAAATTAACAAATTCGAATATAATACCAGTCTTAATAAAGGTTAATTTCTGTAAGGAAGTAATCCGAAATTTTTGGTTTCGGAGAAGTTAGAATTCCTTCCCTAAATTGAAGTAGACTAAATAAGTAAGCGCCCGAAACAAAGACAAAGAGGAATCGCAGGAAAAGCTGAGACATGATATGGCAAACTAGCAGTGGTCGGGTCATCGATACTTCCGAGCATAAAGCACAGAAAGTATGGGTCGGTGGGCTCCAGAATACTGACTTATGGTCGCTGAGCTGGTATGCAGATGTCGAGCGACTCTCTCGCCTCCGGAATGGTTTGCCTTTACGTATCCGGGGGTTGGCTGAGTTAGAGGGTCCACTGCTGTGTTAAAAATGCAGCAACCTATCACTCCCCATTTGCTGCCTGGGCATGTCTTTCGAGCTATAACAGGCTCCCTATCTCGATGATCAGATATTTCAATTCAATATAGCGTAACAACTGCACAAATAGAAGATATTTTACTCGTAATACCTCCATCACTCTAGAGTGATGCATCAAAGCACACATCTTTCAAGAACAAACAATCAATAGACAGCTTTCGAAATTACTCACAAAAACAAACATCAGTCAGTAACAACAAAATTTACAACGCCTAACTATTCACAAATAGAGTTTCTTCTGCAACCGATGCAGCTAGAAACAGCGACCACATTTACAACTGTACATTCAAAACCTGGTTTTATCAAACTTCAAGGAGAAGGAGCCAGAAGTCACTTGATCCGGCCTTACTTTGAGATCAGCGAGCAGTTTTGCACGTTCGGGATTCTTCAAAAACATTTTCTGATTAGAACATGAAAAATTTTTCAAAATAACTCACTATGATCTCTGCTTTCTTCTTCGCCATAGCAGCACTTGGAGGGGGAGCGCGATGTTGTTCGCTTTTTGCTGGAAAGGTTGGGAACATCTCAGGTGGGGTTGGCTTCGGATCTTCGCTGAAACAACAGTCTATATGCTCACACTTACTCCGTAACGCATATACTTGTAACGAACAGAAATTTTTGCCGAATGAACGAATATCGAATAATCAGTTTTCGAAGATTTCTCGAACGAATGAATATCGAATAACTGATTTTCGAAAATTTTTCGAACGAATGAATATCGAATATTTGATTTTCGAAAATTCTTCGAATGAACGAATATTATTCGACTTTCGATTTTCATTTTATTCGAATTCGAATATTCGAATATTGGGACATTCCAAAATTCGAATGAACGAATACTTGAATAACCGAACTTGATCGAATATTCGAACTAATTTCGAATAAATATTCGAATATTATTCGAATACTTGAATGCAATATTCGAATATTCGAATATTCGAATAACTATCTTTCAAAACTACTCGAATGAACGAATATTCGAATAAGTCATTTTTCGAAATCGTCGAATGAACGAATTATTCGAATATAGGCCTTTCTCATTTATTCGAATTCGAATAATCGAATAAATGGACTTTCTCGAATATTCGACTATTCGAATATTCGAATAGTCGAATATTTCGAATAAATTATTCGAACACGAATATTCGGTGCTAACTATAGTAACGCATCGTTTTTCAAAAGAGACCAAATAGTTGAAGTTGATAAAACAAGCGAATTTAACACCCGTCAAGGAGATAAGGACTGACCGTAAATTTGCAAAATAAATAAAGATGAAGACGTAACGTACCTAAACCACCTATCAGCTAGAGCCTCGTCAGCAGTGATACGTCGAGCAGGATCGTAAGTCAAGAATCTGAAGGGAATACTGACAAATCAAATCCAAACCAGCGCTTAAAGGCAGTGTCCCACCAGACTGGGGGTATCTGGCTCTCGTAATGATGTAATAGTAGACCCCCTACCTAAGCGATGACTTAAGTTCGAAGCGAAAAAGGGGGTCTACAAAGCCTGAAATTTCCGAAAGTGGGCCGAATCTTGCGGTAGGATCGGGCGAGTGCGAGGTGCATGCAAGGTAAATAGAGACGCAAAGTGGTTGCGGGTCCCTGCGCTCATGATGTGTGCGCTATATATTCTTCCACTGAGAGTCAGTCCTCATAAGCACTGCGAGTAGGGGCCGAGTTTGAATTCAAATTGAAAATTGAAATTCTTGAATTCTTGAAATTTGAATTTTCAAATTCAAGGTTTGGAAACTTCCATGTTCATATTTGAAATTGAGGCCTTTGATTGCCTAAAACTGAAGGTCGTCAACAGGTCTACTACAGATTCACCGTGATTCGCAGTGCTTCAAATGCGAATGGCAATTTTCATACCGTGCGAGCGGCGTGCCATTATCGTGTGGCGCGCGTCCCATATACTCACGGCGCGCGTACCATTTACTCGCGGCGCGCGCACCATTTACTCGCGGCGCGCGTTCCAATTACTCGCGGCGGCGCCATTTGACGGCCGGCGGCGGGGGATATGAGCGCCCGCTCGCACTTGGCGCGCGCGCCGCCGCAGCGAGTGTCTGAGTACGCACTCTGGCCCTGCAAATCGATATTGCCGTGTGGGCGGCGTTCGGCCCTACCGTAAGATTCGGCCCACTTTCGGAGCAAATTTCAGGCTTGGTAGACCCCCTTTTTCGCTCCGAACTTCAGTCATCGCTTAGATAGGGGGTCTACTATTACATCATTACGAGAGCCAGGTACCCCCAGTCTGGTGGGACGCTGTCTCTAAGCGTTGAGAATTTGAAACCAGCGCATCCGAAAACGTGGAACGCCCAGAACATGTAAAGGGGGAGATCCTTACCTATTTAATAACTTGAAACCACTTTCATTCATCAATGAGGCAGGGAACTTCTTCCGTAATTGATTATATGGATGATTCGCTAATTTCATCTAAATCTCAAAAATGTAGGGCTAATCAAAACAGCATTTAAAACTCACAAGTTTTGGTCCAGGCAACTCACTGTACCCTTCCCATATAGAATCTGACGGTGTCCCGAGTTCCTGAAAACAGATGCTCAAGAGATCTACTTTCATTCCAGGATGACCTACCATGAAAATTTTATTTATTTCGTCAAGTTCGCCATTTCCTGGGAATAAGGGCTTCAATAATACGAACTCTCCCATGATACATCCGACAGACCATAGATCAATAGGAGTGGAATAGAGCTGAAAACAGTTTTACGAACAACTAGGAAGGGAAAAGCCTGATTACCTTCTGGCCAAGCAGTAGCTCCGGGGCCCTGTACCACAGCGTAACGACAACAGCAGTGTATGGTCTGAGGGGGTCACCGTACTCTCTGGCCAAACCGAAGTCCGCGATCTGCAAAGATAGGTCTTCCACAACTAGCAAAAAGGCGAAAAAAAATAGTGTGCATTACATCAGAGAGTATGCATACCGATGTAAACTCAAAAGTACCTTCAATATACCCTTGTGAGAGAACAGAAGATTAGAAGTCTTCAAATCACGATGAAGAATCCAGTTATCATGGAGATGCTTCAGTCCCGACAGTAACTGCCTCATTAACGTTTTTTGCTCACCTAAAAAAGGCGAGACTTTCTCAATACCTCTATAGCAGAATTTATACTAGCTTACCGAAGCTAAAGCGCTTTCCACGCTTGTGCATTGTATCCATGAGATTTTTCATGTCATGCTCGACAAATTCCATAGCCAGATATATTTTATCTGCATTACTTCCTATCAATATCTCTTTGACCTGAAAAAAAATCAACTGAATGATGCGCAAAAGTACAGGATATTGGTAATGCAGAATACCCACATTAACTATATTCTCGTGCTTTCCAGCTTTCAAGAGCATGTTGATCTCACGAAGTGCAGTAATAGGAAATCCCTCTCGTTCCTTTTCGATTTTCAATCTCTTCAGAGCGACAATCTCGTCTAAAATTATCAAACTCTGAAAAGAGAATAAGTGAGCATTGGTCACGCCACTTCGCTCTTTTTGAGATAACTTTTGTCGTAAAGGCTTTGGCCTGTGAACGCTATAACTCTCAAGTGTGGTTCTTAGAAAGTATAGCAGGAAGAAAAATTGTAAATGTTCATGTAAGACTTGCAAATCAATTTGTTTGATAGTTGAATATAAACTTGTAATACAATTGCCCAACTGCTAACGAAAACAGAAAAATCTGAAGATGATCTTGAAACATAGTATGAAAATTCACCTGTTCGCTTATTCTTTGCACGATAAACAACACCAAAAGTTCCTTCTTCCACACGATTTACGCAATCAAACTCAGCAACATTGCGACAACCCATAAAAGCTGAAAACCTAACATTATCAAACATCAACGGGTGTGGAATGCATGCAGAACAATCGACTGAAAAATATGTTTTTATCATGAATTCTTCCTTTTCGCGAACATATTACCCCCATCATGCAAAAAAGTTCATGAGAGGCTGTATGCCGGCTCATGCTTTTGTAGAAACCTACATGCGTAATAAACTGGTAATTGAGCTATCAAACGAGTTTGATAGTCATCTTCCAGCCGTTTTTTCGTATCCGGAGAGAGCAGCAGCTTTTGCTCTTCTGTCAAACTCTCCCATGTAGCCGTTGAAGGGTCAAATTCTGGTTCCTCCGGTTCTAGCAGCATCTCACCTTCGCTGTAGTCTACTAAAAAATCATTAGCATGGAAACATAGAAAGAGAATAGAGAAAAATGCTACCATCGCTCTGTTCAGGTGTCTGGTCAAAATCTCCGGGTTCACCCATTTCAGGGCTACTGTCAAATTTGGAGTATTTTTGTGGACCAGCAGGAGAGTCGAGGATGAAAGAAGTAATTTCTAAACGCATGAAATGAAGAAAAGTAAATAATGTAATTTTTTTCCATTTACCGCGATCTTCGATGAGAGTTTTTTCATTCTCGGTTTCTGTTTCAACTGTTTCGGTTTTTGTTACGGTGACAGTAATAGGTGGCTGTGGCTGTGGCTCCGGTTCTATTGAAGTTGGGATAGGATCTGGTTTTTTAGGCTCTGGAAAACTTCGATCAATCAGCAAAAAAGATGAAACCACCCCAAAACTTGAGAAACAAATTTTGGAATGTCGTGACCATAAACAAACATAAAGAACCTGCATAAGTTTATCAAACACTCTAACAATAAGACCCCCGATTTACCCCTCCACTGACATTACGCGTACAGCGAAAGCTGTTGTAGTGAACATACCTTTTTCGTAGTCCTTCTCCTTCTTCTTCACTTCCACAGAAACATGGCGTTCACGTTTCTTGGTGACAATCAACCTCTCATCGGGTGAAGGCGTCCGACTGGAAGGAAGAAAACAACTGTGAGCAGACTTAATCGATATGCCAAGCAATACTGATGAGGCATGTGCAATGATCGAAAGAGGCTACTAACGCGGCCGCAATCAACATTTTTTGTGTGGGACAGGCGCATTCTCTGCCTATCCCACACCAAAAGATTTGTCAAGATGTCAATAATTTGTGCACATTGATTTTGTAGGTAGCTATGTCGAGATAACAATGAGTCAACAATGTCTGAAATTTATCAACCACTTCTGTACTGATTGTAAGTATATTCTACAAGAAGAGAACATACCCAGATCCGTGTGTGTTTTAATTCAACTTTTCGCTGATTTTATGCCACTTAAGGCTTGACAAACTGCGCTTCTGACAATAACTTCTTTCAGAGAAGTTCCGCAGAAAAAAATGCAGATCTGAGACCAGCGCTCCATTCGATTTCGCACTGCGACTTAGTATTCCTTCGCTTGATAGTCTTTTTCTACGAATACAATAAGCCATCCATATATTCCGCTAACTCTGCCTCATCCCAATTCAAAAGAGTTTGCGTAAATATCACATTGTGACGGTATCGCCCCCTCTACAATCCAGAGCTTGTCTTGATTGTTACAGCAGCGTCGCAAGCTGGACTTATGAAGCAAACAAAAAAAAAACTACCAACATAATTCTAAAGAATTAAACTTTACCTTGGCTCTTTCTTTACAATCTGGTGTTCCTTACGAGGTCGTTCGCTTTCTTCTGGTTTAACTCGTTTGTCACTTTTTTCGCCTTTGTCGCGGTGATGTTTCGAAACTACACGAGGTGCGGATTTATTCCAACTGTCCTAAAAACTGAGACATCCCAGGCAATCCGGATCAGTGCGTAAGTCACATATTTTGGTTGAAATATCCGAATGAGTGTAACGGAAAAGGACATGTATGTAGATGTTCAAAATCTCGAAGGTTTGCACAAGCATATGCAAGATTGAAGTGTCACTCACCTCATGCTTTTTCTTATGTTTCTCCTCCTTCCTTTCCCTGTCCTTGTCTCGTTCTCGGCGATCTGAAGCACTGAAGTTAGTCTTCACGTAATCTAAATAGATGCTTTTGCTTCACACCTCCGTGCTTATGTTTTGGCTTGTCACCTTCTCGTTCTCGATCTCTCCGTTCTCTGTCGCGATGTTTTTCTCGAGGTTTTTCTGACTTTTCTGATTTGTCCGACCTTTCCGCTTTGTCACTTCTCGGTTTCTGAAAAATTTAGCATGACAGACTGAATATGATTAGGAAGATGCATACTTTCGGTTGTATGGTAAACATCTCTTCATCATCACTGTGTCTCGCTTCCCTCTCTCGCTTCTCGAGCAACCGCCTTCGTAAGCGATCTTCTTCGCCTAAATCAGCGAACCCTTAAATAGCATGCGTCACTTGACCAAACACAATCACCACACTCAGAAATCTTACTTTCTATATCCATTTTTGTAAGCTCAATTTTCTTCCTCTCTTCGTGTGCTGTCGACGCAGCAGTCGGCGAATTCGACGACGATCTCTGGCTATGGGCGGCTGAAGAAATCGCTGAATCCAACAAAAGTCGTGAAACAAAACTCAACGGAGATAAAAATGAGTAGCCCGTCCGAATTCAGGCACACCTGGGAAGAGCTACAAGGACGCCGGCTCACCAGAATGCCATTCGCTGAAAAAACTAAGCCATTACCGACATCTAGTGGTCTCAAAAACCTACACATTAATCGTCATTTTTGCAACTTCCACTGTCATTTGTCGATATGTATTGAAGCTCACAGCATTTCGGGCAAACCGGCGCCCTTCTCACATATACGAGCGCCTTTCGTCCGAGAACAGGGACTAGCGACAAATTTTTGTATTTTTCCTTACACATTTAGCTGACTGGACTACTTTTTGAATACAGATAACTACCTACAGTTTCATTCTATCGCTTTTTACTGTTTGCAGATCTTTGACCAACGAATGATTGAGTGAATGCCTTCGGGGAAAACAATCAAAACCACAATCTTCGTTCCCACTCTACGCTGTGCCTATTACAAGTGACAATCCTTATCGTGTTCAAGCGAGGCCTGCAGGACTTCCGAACGAGATGCCATATTCCATTTGCCATATTCGCGCTACCGGTGACGTCCGTAAGCCGCGCAAGGTGTGCAAGCACATACTTCCAACTTTTGCGAGCCATACTCATTTACGCGCAGATGTGTCAACGCAAGGGCAGTATATCAGCCGTTAAGTCTACTATATGACCTCAAACATCCAAAAGAAATTGAAAAGAATATAACTTGCTTCTGGCAACCAACGGAGTGGCTTTTAATTCACTTTCAGTGCAGCGCGATGTCATTTGAATTTGATACACAACACTATATTTATTTGGTGGAGTGGAAATGCGAAATTACAGTGAGGGGCTTCGGAACAAGGCGCAGTTCAGAAAATAACGAGATGCAGCTTTATGTGTCCCGTAAAATTCGGATAAAGTGAACAACGTGCCTTCCTAAATAGCAGTAAATTTGCGAGCTTCATCGCAGTCTCACAACTAACCCTATTCTCCCAAAATTTCCCCGTTATGATCGATCCTGCATTTTGGATAAATCGTGTTTTCGCCATAAATGCTTCAAGAACAAAATGTTAACATAATAAATCATGAAAAACAAGCGTATATCCTAGTAGCCGGACATGTCACTATTCAAAATCGTAAGCGATTGGAATATCACGAAAAGTGGGAAATTTCAAGATGGCTTTGTATTCCACAAATAGAGTTTATTTCTATGATACAAAGAGCTTCAAAGTTGTCCTAGGATCTAGGAAAAAAGTCTCTCATCAGTTTACACAGCATTTTAAACTTGAAACATTTTCCAACATTCAAAGGTCGAATGAATGCTCCACAGGATGGTATCAACATAGCGACAAATGAAAACTGATGTATTCAATTGAATTTATAATTAAATGGAAAGGAATAAAACTAGCAAGGAAGAGAAAGAAACTTACAGCTTTCTAGCTGCCCATGACTATCATCCGTCAGCTCCCCGTCATCGGGTGAACCATAATTGCTCATACTTTTGAACTGAAAACAATAATATATCTATAATATATATGGGTCCGACTGAATGACACAGTGAAATCTCATGAGACTAAAGATAAATGGATTGGTCGAGAAGTCACATCTACATCCTGAAGAACTGATAAAGGAATTACGCGGTTACAAATGAAAAAAAAATCAAAGTGCAGGGCGAAGAATTCCGAAAACCACGAGAATCCTTACAATGACTGCACCCTCCTCCGAGGCCTACTCTCTTGACTGAACTCCGGCGTCTGCGTCTTACAACTCGCGGCAACTAGAACTAGCTGGTATTAATCCAACATGTCTAGCTGTACAGATTTTAATTTTTGCTTCAACATAATCAGCACAAAGACATCGAGCACTGTGAATTTGTTACTCTGGTAGAAAAATAGGTGCAATGCCAAAAAATGAGAGTGATTCCGGGCTTATGTGGCAGTTATCGTCAGTTTTGTCTGGAGCGCGTTATGCCCCGACCTATAAAATCTTGTTTTCAATGGGGAACGGTCAGGAGTCACGGTCGGCGCGAATTTTTCGCGAAGCGATGCCGCAAGCGATGTCAGCAAAACAGAAGCCAGCACTCCTGGCGCAGTCTTACTTATGGCACGAGCCATGTATCTGCCCCCTCCCACCAATCCCCCAGACTGGCGCCGTGCCATTTTAGCACCGGGCAGTTTTATGGCGTACAAAATTTAGACGCGACGTGCGCGGCGAAGCGGCGCGGCGCGCGGCGTGACTCCTGACATGGAGCCTTTTCAATTACGACTTGCTTTGTTTATTACTTTTGTAAACATAGTAAGACTACTAACACTCTTATCTATGTTCTCTATAATCATAATGCTCCAATAGGTCATAAGTATCTACATGACACGATGTATCACATCTTCCATCGAGATCGTACTTCAAAGAAAGAGAGCCCTAATCTAGTTTGAGGACCTTATTCTCGACGTATTTTCTTCACACACTATCTTGAGTAATAGTGCATTGATAAATTTGACAACGTTCCGCCATAATTTCCATGAGCGCCTTTTTTTCTCAATCTTTCCAAGCAAGGTATTGACAATGGCGCTTGATCAAGAGGAAATTATAAAATCTTTCCCAGAATTCAGTGTCTCTTTTCCGTCTATTAAATTCAAAATGTTTTTTCATTGATTCTTATGTCATCAAGGTCATTTTTTTATCGCAGTATCAGGAATGATAGCTTGCAAAGTCTCTTGCATAGTTACGGCCTACTGCAGCAAAGCTGAAGTCAGGGATTTTCCGAAAAGGATTCAGCATGTTGATTTCAGAACATACCATTTCATTCGCTATTCTTGACATCTCTGTCGTTTTCGCTACCTTCAGCACAGCATAGGTGGATTTCGCACCGAAACTTGCTGTTTCCTTTCTGGGGAAAACCGTTTTTGCCTACAGTGCTGGACATAATTATAGAGACACTCTAGAAATCGTCATAATTTTCGTTCTTGTCAGTGAATCTGTCTGAAACTTTGCTGTATGATGCGCATGTAAGCCTACGATAGCTCTTCAGAACGGCTTCCAATCCCGTTGATTTCGAACGGAGAAAAATGGAAAAATTCAAAAAGCCTGTTTTGCAAGCTGGACATAATTATAAGGACACCTGGCCTTTTCAAACATTATCGCATTCCTTGACTCCCAAATTTTTTTTGTAGAGTTACATCCAGAATATGAAACTTTTGCAGCACCTAGGACCTGTCATGCTACTCAAGGAAAGATGATCCTTGCATTTTTCGTTTCCAAAGGCATCAGAAGTCAAACTGCGTCAACAAACAGCTGGTTTGAGGAGTTTTCAAGCCCGCGTTCATTTCTGACAGTCCTGGAATACACTTAGCTTTTTTGATAGATAAGGTGGAGAGCGCTTTCGTAAACTCCGCGTAATCGCTGATACTGACAATCAGACTCCAATCTCACTATAAGGTTGTCGCGCTTTTGCACCACAAAACGCGATTTTCAAGTTACAGAAAACTCAAACTTGCAGATTTTTCTGCAACCTTGCGCAGTGAGGTTATTTGGATTCTTTAGTATCGTACTCTCACGCATAATGAGTCCTTTTCGCGTCTTTGTTAGGGTCTATTGACGTGAAAATCGCAGGAGGTATTTATCTGTATTCAGACGAGCTAAGACCTCAGTGTCTCTACAATAAATCGTTATGGCAACGGGTGAGTGATAGTCGTTGTTGGATGACCCTATGTGAAACTTCAACCTGAAGTTTTCAATTCCGTACCCTATACCTACCGTGTAGGCGAATCATAACGCGCAAAGACTGCGCACCAGTGACGTACCGGGGGGGGGCGCCCCCCCCCCCCCCGAGAATGGGTCGCGAAATTTTTGAAAGCTACTTATATGGGTTATAAAAATGTGCAAGTGACTTGTTTATATTGTAAAAATTAAAATAATTTTTTAAAAGTTTTAAAAATTCAAATTAGCCTTGTAAAAAAATTTTTTCGGGGGCGTGGCTGACAAGCGCTCTTTCGTTTCTCTTACCATCTGCTGCCTCTCCTATGCACAACCTATCTTGGCCGGACGCAAGGGCGCCCACTCTTTGCGTTTCATGGGACGTGTGTACAGTCTGCCCAATTGGGATCAGGCCTAACCGTTTGCTGAACTTGTGCGCACGCAGCGCCAGTACTTTGCGCTGCATATGCGCACTGTCCGAGAGAGCGAAGCAATCGAAGAGAGAGCAGGGAGGCAGGCTGTACGCGTAACGCAAAACCCTAGCGACGCAGAATCCCGTCATGCCAATTTTGGCCTGATTGAGATGGGGGCAGACTGTTAACTCCGATGACGCATTATCAGTTCCGGCTAGTGTGATTTTCATGATCATTATGCCTAGTACAGTCGGTTTCATCCTGGATTAGGCGAGACATTCTACGTAGAGCAGCGCATGCGCATCGCTGGAGGCTTGCGAGCGCATAGCGCTAGCATTTTGCCAAGGAAAGACTAAGGAGATTGAAGAGACGCAGGCTTGGGTTCTCAGCACGATAGGAATACTGTAGCTGCGAAACGGCGCGAGCTGTTGCGAGGCGAACTCCCGCCAGTCCAATTTCCGCCTAAAGCGGGTCGAAACTTACTGTAACTATGGATCAAGTTCAGCCAACTTTTTGTTTCTGACCCCTTACAGCAGACTACCATTACCACCGATGATGACGCCGTTGAGCCGGGTGTGGTTTTCGTGATCAGCGGTTCGAGTAACCGTCGTGGACCAAATGCCAAATCCAACTCCAAATCCAATTTGACCCATTTCCGTATAACTAGCGTAGCTCTATGTGCCCCTTCGAGCGAAAAGAGATTGGTACTCGTAGTTAGCATGTCGGATAACACCCACCGACTACTTCAACCGAGTCCACGACCTTGAAATCGGGCCCTTTGGGAAAAGCGCCGAAGCCCTCTTGAATGCAAATCGAAGTAGGCCACAGAATTGCAAGTTTCACTGACACCCAAGGAGCATGTTATTTCATGCAAGTTGTTTCAATGATACACCTTCAGTTCCTGAGAGTTTTTGAAGTACAGTGGAGTAGATTTGTCGTGAATTTAGTGCTCTTGCGGTGCCGAGAATTTGCGGTGAAATTTGAGCATGAGCAAATAGCAACTCCTGAAAAGCCGAGTAGGCTTAAAGGATATTCGTCAACGACTGCCCCAAAGTGCAATTTCACCACCGTGGGCGTGTTTTTTGGAGCCTTTCCAGCTTGACAGTAGGACAGGACTGTACAGGGAAAGGACAGGGATGGTAGGTGCCAGAGTAAGCGAATATTTTGTTCAGGTTGGGGTCCCGCGCAGAAGGGACGTCACTCACCATGCTGGCGCCAATCCAAGTGACGTCACTTCTGCGCGGGACCCCAACCTGAACAAAATATTCGCTTACTCTGGCACCTACCGATGCTGCGAGCTACCAAGTCCCCGCGCTGCAGCGTACTGTCAAGCTGGAAACGTCCCAATAAGGCATGCTCAAGGCGGTATAACTGCACGAGCTGTGGCAATCGTCGACGAATATCCTTTAGCCAGTGGCGTACCGAGGGGAGGGGCGCCCCCCCCCCCCCGAGAACGGGTCGCGAAATTTTTGAAAGTTACTTACATCTTCTTCTTCTTATATATAAAGCTGAATGTCTGCATGTATGTCTGTCTGTCTGTCTGTACGTATGTGCGGAATAGAAATTTTTATTTCTGAACCGATCGGGACCAAACTTGGCACACATATACTTCGGGGCAGGGAGCGTGTCATAGGCTACTTTTTGTTATCGATCGATATCGATTTTATCACATCGATCGATAACGAAAAGTGGACTATGACACGCTCCCTGCCCCGAAGTGTATGTGTGCAAAGTTTGGCCCCGGGCGGAGCCGGGTTTGCCATCTAGTGTGTTATAAAAATATGCAAGTGACGTCCGTGATTTTGACCCCCTACCATATACCTACCGTAACCCTGCAGGGAGGCGTTTTCCCGCGGAGAAAAGGTGATATTCGTGATCAGCATGTCAGATAACCCCCTTGGGCCAAGTTTGAGCGAAATCCATGACAAAAAAATTTTGGGGCCCGGATAGCCGAATAGCGCCAAAAATTTTCCTCGGGGGCGTGGTTTAGGAGTTGGGGGTCCGCAAAAATTTTGAGAACCACCCTAAAATTTTTTCGGAGTCGTGGTTAACGCACCTTCATTTGAAAACTATTTTTGCCCCCCCCCCAGCCGAAATCCTGGGTACGCCACTGCCTTTAGCTATTTGTTCATGCGTAAATTGCACCACAAACTCTCGGCACCGCAATTCTGGGTTTTGCTCAGATTTTGCTGCTGAGAGTCATTTGGAATGCAATGTCAAAAGGCGATACTTTCATATTTTTGAACATAAATTCTTCAATAAAACGATCATGAGATATAAGTACTAATCTATTGCAACGGGGAGAGTTCTTGACGGAGTGTTGTGTGATTCTGTGTAGTGTAAGGAAATTTGCTGATCCATAACATCAATCCCTTTTCTATTTACAACCCAAAATATCCAATAGGATAGATTCTTTGTTTCGCTAGCAATAGATCATGAGATTGAGATGGGTTTGGAAGCGTTATTCTTGCGTACCGATCAATCGTTGCTTTCATGCTCATTACTTACCCCCTAATCTCAACTACCCATCAACTATTCAACTTGTTACTATTCCACTTGTTCAACGTTAGAATTGCGAAATGAATTGGAACAAATCCCCTTTCGTCTGGCAGTTCTTTGATCCTTTCGCATTCGTAGACGTCATTTGCAAAGATCGCGGTAGCATTTCGACATGTGTTATTTTAGTCTGCCGTTGCGTAATGTCTGGACCGGGAGAGCGTTTCCACGTTCTGGCACAGTTGGACCATCTGCATTCTAAATATACAGGGACAGGACATGCGGATACAACCCGCTACGAGTGGATGACAAATCAGCTGCGAGACACGCGAGCTTCTCAGGTAATACTTTCGCAAATGTCCAGTAACGTATGCGCATACAAACGTTGCGAAGTGTTTTGCAATCTATTTACTGTCTGCTTTCCGCTGATGTTCGATCTCTTAGGCTCTTTGGCGCTCTATTTTTGTTTACGCTTTCAGCAGCCCTATGGAATTGATTCTGGGCGGGTGCGGTCGTTGATCCTCTGAATAGTCTAACTCCTAGCTTTCCTCGTAGCACTAGTTATTCATTTATTATTGGAAATGCCGGCAGCATAAAACTATCATTCAACCAAAGCTGAGCTTATCACCGCAGCAATATTTTCAGATGAGCCATCCTGGTATGACGTCATTCATTGCCATTGTTGAAAATGAATCTCGCGCCAGAACGCGGTACAACCTTTTAAATCGTATGATACTACCATGTGGTCCTCCACCAGAAAAGTCTCCTCTCGATGATTGATTGATCTTGTATTCTTGTTTCTTTTCAAGATAAACTTGTTTTTTTCGGTGTTGCTTTTATAACTCGGGATATTATCCAGTGCTTCACCAGTGCTTACTGCTGCTGTCTGAACGAATCTGATTATTCTGGGTTTTTTCTTTTGCAGACAGGACAAGGTTTGTTGGCGTTGCATGTATGTTTTACGAGCCCTTTCTACATTCTCCTTCAGTCCCACGCATAGACCCTTGAGAGCTCGGATCGTGCATTGCACGTAAGTACTTTGTCGCTTTGCGTTGCTCGGATTATCATTGAATTGTGACAACTCTGCTGTTCACTTCCGTGGCTTTTCTGGCTTCTGACTTCCTGTCCATAAATTTTTGTGTCTCGAGTAGTTGGATGAGCCCTTTCATGGGTGTACTTGTTCATTGTAAAAGCTAGTGATTTCACTACTTACATTTTTGGCATGGTGTCTCACAGCTTTTGACAGTGAGAATTGGATAGAGGCGTAGATAATACTAGTTTATTTATATTGGGCCAAATTTTTCTCCAGCTGAACTGAATCTATGGCTCTCAATTAAAGGCCTCACTATATCGTTGTCTGCTGTTTTTCTATGAAGGTTCCGGCTGGTGTTCACTCGGTCATACAGTAATCTCCTTCTTCTTATCGTTTATCGGCTTGTAGGCGCACATTTATGTTAGAACTGACACACCTTTTGCGAGTGAATTATAGTAAGTCGCAGTCGTGTTTGCAAGGAGATGTGCATCTTTATGTCATTTTGACACACTGATGACATTCCCGCTTCTCAACTGCGGAACGGTTTCGTGGAAGAAGTTACGGATCCCTAGATTATAGGATTATAGGCTTTGCCCTTTTTACAGGCGGAAGCGAGTAATTATGCACCATAGATGGCAAACTCGGCTCCGCCCTCGTTACAGTGATCACTAAGCTCAGCGCACAACATTCCCTGTCCCGCTTCTACCTCTATATTCCGAAACCGTACTTCCTCTGTTTTCGCAATCAGCATACTCACCACCCTGCATCAACTCTCAGCCCCATCAAACTTCGCAAAATCGATGAATTTATAAGTGACTGGTAATACTCACCAGCATCGTACTCGTAATCAGCATGTTCGTTTAGACCTCTGTGCCAACTCTCAGCCCGGTAGCTCAAACATTGCAAATTTTCAGCAAAATTGATAAAGATAATCGGTAATTTTTTAAAAAATGATGTTTTATCCGTGATCGGCATGCTCACTTACCCCCCCCCCCCCGTGCCAGCCCTCAGCTCCTTAGCTCAAATTTGCAAATAATCGATAAAACCGATATCGATCGACAACGAAAGTGGTTCACAACATCCGCCGGGCACGAGGAATGCGGCAATTGCATAATATGAATGTCTGATGTGGAATGTGTGTGCGTGAGGTAGAATTTTTGTAGGATTTCTCTGAGAAGAGCCAATTAGTCCCGATTTTCTCCCGATTTCTTGAGCAGTTGGATCTTTTTTACTTTTAGCTTCAGTTTCAGGGATCAAAGTGAGCAACTTCTGCACAGTCTTGTAGAGTTCGATTTTCTATCGATTTGTACCCCAGAGCCTGATCAAAATTGAGAATTCGTGACTTACCGCTGTAAAAAGTCAAAGTGTAACAATATTTATGTAACAGCGTATGGACTGAATCGAATAAATATTCGAGTATTCGAATAGTATTCGAATGAATTTTATTCGAAATTCGATTATTCGAAAATTTGAAAATCTCGAATATATTCGATATTCGCTTATTCGAAATTTGTCAATTTCGAATTTATTCAATCATTGGGTTACTCGAAAAATTTGATTTTCGAAAATATTCGAACATTCGAATATTTATTTTCAGAAGTTATTCGATTATTCGACAATTTCGTATAATCGAATAACTAAATGACAGCGTCACAATTTTGATTGCTATACCAGCAACCATCGTTTGTTGTCCAAGTTGCCCACTGCACAGAGTCCTTCATTGTGCTAATCCGATCAAAATTTGTCTGAATATTCGACATAATCGATGCAAAATATTCGTTTATGGATTGTTTTCCTCAAATATATTCGAATATTTGGACTTTTTTCAATTCGAATATATTCGATATTCGATTATTCGACGATTTTCTTATTTCGAAAATATTCGATATTGGATTATTCGACATTTTTGTTTCTCGAAAATATTCGATATTCGAATATACGACATTTTTTGTTTTTGAAATTCGAATATACGACATTTTTGATTTTCGAATATATTCGGTTATTCGATTATTCGAAAAAATTCTTGAATATTCCAAAGTATAATAGACACACATATGTAGAGACATAGGGACGAACTAAGGCGGGGCGGGTGCGGGTCACGAAATCTTTGAAATTTACTTGCATGGGTATGTGCTAGTGACTTGTTCTTTTTATGAATAATTAAAGTATTTTTCTTTTTACTTTTCGGAGTGCGTGGATATCGCCGTGCGCCTATTTGGATAAATTTTTTGCCGCCCTCCCCCGAATGGAAATCCTGCGACCGCCACTGGTATCATCGACTCTACGATTCGTGTAGAGGCGGGGTTTTGCCAACTCAAAGCGTGGCGTTGTTGGTAGGGAGAGAGTACGTAAAACAATGCTATGACGTGGAGATTTAACAAGTTCATTCTTAAAATTAGGGAAAGTCCGCAGCACTCCTCTACACGAATCGTGGAGACGATCTACACGCTTGTGATTGGCTCCCAGATTCGTATAGGCGGGTTGCGGACTTCTCTTGTTTGTAAGGATAAACTTGTCAAATCTTCACGTTATATCATTTTTTCCACACTCTCGATATGAAAAACCGGCACGCTTGGAGTATGTATACTTCGCCTCTATACGAATCTGGCCGATGATACAGACGAACAGACATTATTCAGCTTTATACCGTTAGATTCATCGGGAGTGGCGGCTGGTGCGCGGAATTCACGTCCACGCAGTCGCCTCGCTTGTCTATGCACCTCTTTCGCGATTGTGCTTTTAGCGAATGAAGCTCCGCCTTTCCCACGCTTGTGTTGGGAAAATGATCAGAGAGCACGCTCACGAAAGAGATGGAGAGCGCAAGCAGTCCCGCCACCAGCCGCCCCTTCCAATGAATGGAAGGGTATACATAGTAGGTTTCAACTCTGTTTAGACGGAAAGACTGGCGGGAGTTCTTCGCTACGATTCGCGGAAAGACTGGCGGGAGTTCTTCGCTACGATTCGCGCCGCTTTGCAGTCTGCGTTTCTTCATTCTAATCTATCTCGCTGAGTCAGTGGCTGTGCGGACGCGCTGTTCCACTTGAAATGTTTCCACTCTGGGCTGAAAAACACTGTAGGATTGCTGCGAAAGAATAGTGTCTCGAAATTTAGTCATGACGAAAACGAGTGGCATGCGCCATGGTTTTTCAAAAGAGTATTTGCAGAAAACGCAAACGCAATAGGTACCAACGGGATTTGAGCCAGGTGCCTTATGGTTTGAAAATGGTCTCCCAACTACACTATAAGCAGGGGGTCTAGCTTCTACCATTTCGTAAATTTGGAAATAAGATATGTCATCAGCGTTCCGAAGGGACTTTAGTGAGGTACATTCTCTTGCTGAATTCGATATCCGCAATTCGTAAAGAGCGGAAACCGTTAGATTTGTGCCGTCACATCTATAAGCAACATACACACTCAGATCTAGCTAGTGTTTTTTGCTAGTGTATGAGATGAATGAAGGATGTCGTAGATTCCGTGCGGTTTCGTGTTTCGTCGTTGTATTGGTGTTTGCGGTGTTTGTCACTTCATCCTACCAATCCATTTCAGAAACATGTCTAGCGGCACAACATTCACCAATAAGCTTGCAAATGAACGATCACCGTATCTTCTGCAACATAAACATAACCCCATAGAATGGTGAGTTTTCTGCTAAACACTGGGTTTAGGGTAAGCATCTAGTCTGCTGGAAAAACAATTCCTTAGTTCATCATGTATATAGGCTTGAATACCTTATAATACAATAATGTCAGATTATATTTCTATCTTGCATAGAGTAATCACATGATCCAGAATGTTGTAGGTATCCCTGGGGACCCGAAGCGTTCCAGAAAGCCAAAGAATTGAATCGTCCAATTTTCTTGTCAGGTATGTGTTCCCATTTTCTTAATACCGATGATAGCTGGTACTAGTGTTTGCCTACTCAGACAATCGCAAATGACCTCCGGGGAAGACCGAAATTCTAAAACTGCGGGGGTTACACTCCTACCCTGGCTGCCAGGTAGGGTGGGGCCAAGTAGAGCGGGCCCACCCACACGGCCTAATAGGAGCGCCTGCCCGAAGTTTTAGAAGTTTAATCTCCCCCGGAATTCAGTTGCGATTGTCTGAGTAGGTGTTTGAAAGTCAAGCTATTGCTCTATTTATCGTTTTCTATATATAAATTCGCTGTTTTAGTTGGCTATTCTACATGTCACTGGTGCCATGTTATGGAGCATGAATCGTTTGAAAACGAAGAAATTGCCAAATATCTGAACGATCACTTTATCAGCATCAAGGTAATTCTAACGTACTATTCAAAGACGATGTGAGCGTTTGAATTTGAGGTGGTTGTACTAGTGACCTGAATGCAGTGAAATTGAGGCGGTGTTGTAATGCATACATGCAAATTTGCTACGAGGCAAGGTCAATTGACGAGGCGATAAGGGAATTCTCAAACAAATTTGAGTAGTAAAAATTGACGAAAATATTCCAGGTGGACCGTGAAGAACGACCGGATGTTGACAAGCTCTACATGTCATTCATACAAGTGAGTGCTTACTTGCAAATGGTGCTAATGGGTTCTGCCCCCCCCCCCCCCCCTCTTCCCTCCGAGACTGAATCGTGAAATTTTATGAAAGTTACCTATATGCATTATAAGAATGTGCAAGCGACTTATTTTTACTTGTAAGTAATTGAAATAATTCAAATTTTTCTAGAAGTTTGAGTTGGCTTTAGAAAATTTTTTTGGTACGTGATTTCCGCCACGCCCCCTCTTCCTGGAATTTCGGGGTTATGGGTCCGCAAAAATTTTAGGAAGCATCCCAAAAAATTTTTTTGGAGTTCCCGGCTCTAACGCCACGCACTTCATCCGCACTTCATCGGAAAATTTTTTGTCGCCCTCCCCCTCCCTTCGAACGGAAATCCTGGGTACGCCACGGCGTGTATATACCCACTAATGAAAGTCTTATGCAAGAGGGGCTGCAAGAAGGGCTGCAGCTGAGCAAAATACTCGCTTAGTCTGGCGTTTACCTTCGGAATAGCGAAGATGCACGAGGACCCCCATCCATGCCCGCCCATTTGTGCGCGCCCATCCAATCACCGTTTCGGAAAGCCGGCCTTGGGTTCTCCGAAACGGGGATTCGGGGTTTTCGCGCATTCTCGACTTCATATTCGGCATCAGGGACATGAGAAGATCCTGAAATGACAAAAACGTGGAAGTCGAAAATCTGGGTGGACGGTGCCTTTAGTGGTTTCTTCCACCGATCTGGAGCAGTTGGACACTCAAAATTTCCGGAATAAATAGTCACCTTTTTTTCTGAAAATCTGTATCATTGCTTATTTGAAAACCTTAGATTTTTTATTCGATTTCAAGTTTCAAATTATCTGAAAGTCGACTATTCGAAATCGATTTTCTGTTGGTATTCGACAGTCGAATATTCGATGGTCATCATTTCTATATAAGGGTTGAATCTAATAATTCGAACTCGAACACCCGATTGAAATAGTTGAATGCGATATTTGAAACGAGTATTTGAATGTTGTCCAATATCGAATACTTGAGCAAATTTTCGAAAGTTTGATTATCTGATTTTTTTTTCGAACCTCAAGTACTTTTTTATGTAGAATTTTTTTAACGAAGTTAGTTTCCATGAAATTTATAAAATTCAATTATCTAATGAAAATACGTTGCTCGCACTTTCAATGGGTTATTTTCCTTGTTTTAGGCAATGTCGGGTCATGGTGGATGGCCAATGACTGTTTTTCTTACGCCGGATTTGGACCCAATCACGGGTGGTACGTATTTCCCACCAAGAGATTCAGGCGGAGGCATGGGCTTACCATCGGTGCTGAAACTCGTGAATGATAACGTAAGTTGCCACTACGATATGTGGCTAGAATGATTTAATTGGTTGTCTATTATAGTGGAGCGATGCGCGTGTGCGTAGGTCTATGGGTGGACAAGGAAAAATGATAACGGAAGCCCTAAGTAAAGGTAATTAGTAGCTTGGAGTGGTGCTGGTGTTTTTAGTTCCAATGAAATTCATTGTTATATGTCAGGCTCCTTCTACAGTCATGGCGATGCACCTCCAATAGAGCCCGTAATCAATGGTGCATTCAAGTACAAAGTTTCCAATTTCGATGAAAAGTTCGGTGGATTCGGCAGCGCACCCAAGTTTCCTAAAGCTTGTGAGCATTCAAAAACGATTTTCTGGTTTTTGGTTTCCAGCTTTATGAGCACAAATTTAGGTGATCTGGAGTTTTTGGTTAATCATTGCTGCTGGACAAAGTCGGATTCAGAACGAGAGTTGTGTCGCCATATGCTTGACGTCACTTTCGATGCCATGATTCGTGGTGGAATTCACGACCATATTGGAAAGGTAAGCTCATCGTAGCTTGGCATGGTGAAAGGCAGTGTCCAAGCGAACTCAATTGGTCAGGGGTAAACTAAAGCATGCCCGAGCTGGAACTGGAAGTGAATTTGTCGGACGTGGATGACTATTTGCGCTTGTACAGTGCCTTAGGCCCCTCATAAATTTTTTTGGGGAGCTTCATGCGTCCAGATTTGCTTTTAGCACAAATGCATTAGTCCTGCCCATTTCTTTACGATTTATCTTTCCGACCATCAAACAGAAAGCAACAGCGCGAAAATCAGTCTTAAATTTTTCAGGAGGACAAAAATTTGAGTATGTCGGTAGCATCGCAATCCGTAATTTTAGGGTTTCCATCGCTATTCCGTAGACAAAGAGTGGCATGTGCCGCACTTCGAGAAAATGCTGTACGATCAAACTCAGCTGCTCGGTGTCTTCGCTGATGCCTGCTTTGTTTGCGGAGATCAGTACAAGAGCGTTGTAGAGGATATCGCACAATACATGGAAGAATGTCTTTCCCATCAGGTAATTTGTTCTGTCAAATAGTTTTCTGATTTTGAATTCTTCGTTTTCAAGGAAGGAGGATTTTACGCAGCCGAGGATGCTGACTCGCTGCCTACAGCTGATGCCGCTAAGAAGAAGGAAGGCGCTTTTTGTGTGTGGACGTACTCCCAGGTAGAGTTGCACTGCGAAAATTATTTTGAGTTTCACATGTTTTGAATTTTAGGTTAAAGAACTTCTGAAGGATCAGAAAATTGGTGACCATGATGCTGCTGAAGTGTTTTGTGACTACTACGATGTTGAAAAAAATGGAAATGTTAACCCCTCGAAGGCAAGTCGCGTTTATTCTATTAGCTTCATCTGTTTATCAGCTTGAATTCAGGATCCTCATCATGAGTTAACCAATCAGAATGTACTACGCATACGAAAACCCTACGACCACTACGAGAAAACATACGGCGTCACGCCTGAAGTTCTCAATGAGGGAATTAATAAAGCTAAGGTTAGTTTTCAGTATTTACCGCTTGTTTGCCCCTGTCTTGTTGCGGCATAATTACCCGGAAATTTGATGTTTTACAGGCAGTTCTTGCCGAGGTCAGATCGCATCGTCCAAAACCTCATCTCGACTCGAAAATGGTGACTGCCTGGCAAGGACTTGCCCTCACTGGATTATCCAAGGTCTGTGAACATGTTGACGTAGAGTCGAACAGATTTGTCTATAAATATTGTGCCCTTGCGGCGCCGTGACTTTTGAATAGTTGGCTAATATATAATAATAGCCTATATTGTCGGTTTTCGCGCAGAATCCGACATTTCAGATTTATTCTTGTTCACGCTAATCTTACCGCAGAGTCTCGGCACCGCAAGAGCATGATAGCTACGGACAAAACCACTCGAGTGTGCGTATTTGAATACATATTTTCAGGCATCCGTGGCCTTGAAGGATCCAGCCTACGTAGAGCGAGCCATAAAAAATTTCGAATTTATAAAGAAATACCTGATGGACCATGACGGTCGTTTACTACGCGCAGCTTACAGGGGAGATGATGGAAATGTGGAGAACTTGTGAGTGTAAAGACTAGCCAAGTTTCAAAATAATCGTCTCGAAATTCAGAACCACTCCTGTTTACGCATTCTCAGATGACTATGCTTTCCTCATACAAGGACTGCTCGACTTATATCAAGTGCATCCAGAAATGGAATTATTGAAATTGGCACGGCGACTGCAGGATGAGATGGTGAGTAGGTGCTAGTAGAAGGAACAATGGTCAAATTTTGGGTTCTTTTCGTCGTGAGAAAGCACCCAATTCTTAATTTCTACCCTTCGTCTTTTCTATCACATGTCGAGTACAAATCTGATCGCTAATAAATTCCGAGTACTTAGGTAGAGATTTTCAGGATGCAAAGTTCTTTGACACGGAAGCGGAGTCTGGTTATTTTATTGGAAGTGAACAAGGAGATGTCAAGGTGCGCATTATGGAAGGTAAGGCATCCTAATTGTCGATCTAAACATCGTCATATCACATAGTGAACAGATATTTATATATTTTTCAATATTATTTGTATAAATATATTTCCGTTATAGATCAGGACGGTGCTGAGCCTTGTGCCAATTCAGTAGCCGTTGGTAATCTGATTCGCCTATATGAATATTTTGAAGAGGACGAATACAAGCGAAAGGCAGAGAAGATCGTGTCTGCTTGCTCATCTCGCCTCTTGAAGTTTGTTGCGAAATCTTTCTTGTGTTTGAGTTTAGCATTAAATGTTGTCCTTTCTAGATACCCATATATCCTTACGAAAATGATCTCCGGATATCATCGCATGGTGAAGGGTTCAGTCAAGGTAAGATTGTTCAGAGTGACTTACAACGGAACAAGAGCTGAATTATGCTACGGATCAGTGAAATCCGTGAAAGTTACCGTAGAGATATCAAGTTATCTTGGAAAACTATCACAAATAAATTGGATAGCGAAGCGAGAGTTACATGATGGCTTTCGGACATTCGCATGCGACTTGAACTTCGCAGAAAAAGACATAATAATTGACCCGTCTCTAAAATCCCACAGATTTCCTCTCGTTCATCACAGCATACATACGCAAACGTCATTATATACTTTTCGTTTGATTCCCAGCAGAAAATTAAGGACTGTACGAGTTTATCGCGCAATATCTGCTGTTTGGAACTGTTTACGGTGGTTTATTAGGGAGGGGAGATTGCAGGGGGACATAAATCTCCTAAATAAATTCCTGATTATATCGGCGAAAAAAAGCAGCAAGCGAATCACATTTGTTTGTGTTTTTATATGGTGGACAAATGGAAATTCGTATTTTATGGGATCTTGTTTTGGCACAGTCAAATTTTTTTATCTCTTGAAACAAATTTTGAGTGGATTAGGTTCAAGCGAATATCCCTTCCTTTGTCAATAAGCATATTCTCTAAGACCTTGTAGAAATTTTGGTCATGAATGCATTCATTTGAGATCGTCTTGGTCGGTGAAGCTGCCGATAACAAAGTGAGAGCTCTTCGCAAAGAAATTGAATCGCACCACATCTGGAACAGTCTGTTCTTATTCCTCGACCCTTCTGCCGGTAAGCCATCGCATTTGAAATAAGCACAGATTTCCTATTTGCTTCTAGATAATTCTGTTCTCGCTGAAAGTCCGACATACGGAAGCATGCTGAAGGGCGACAAACCTTCAGTGTACATCTGCGCTAATTTCACTTGCGGACCGCCTGTTTCGAATGTGGACGAGCTAAAATCTCAGCTGAAAGAGCTGGCATAAATGGAACTTCATTTTGCTACCTCTATCCTCACACATTTTCAGTGGAACTCCATTGCAAGTCGAAAACTTCGCGAGTGAATGTACATAATTTACGATTGTAAAAATGAGACAATCTAGCAAGGTTCTTATTCCCGGTAGATGATGACTTTCAAGGATAGTGGTAAAAGACAGTTGAGTTTTTTTTGTTGTTGTTTTGCCCATTCTATAGTTTTGTATATTCTATGCGGAATATTGGAATTGCTTGTTAGTTCCTCAATAGTCATTATCATTCTATAACTTTTTATCACAAATCCTGTACATAACAATGTATATATAATAAATCTTGTTATCTCTGATGTTGAGGTTGTTCTTCAGAATGAGGTCATTTTCTGAAAAAAAATTGAAGAAAAAGAGCATACAGGGGTTTGACGCTGATTACTTGGTTCGATGCTAACTCCACGGTGTTATAACTTGACTGAGGTGCATCATATTCAATCATGTCTGCTTTATTTTCATAAACGGTCACGCCATGGTGCTCTTTTAACCGCATTACATCTACGGAGGTGAAATCGGCTCTACTGCAAAATTGCTTTGGTTGTGAAGAATGCTTCAGAAATGTTTCCTATACTTACCCGGTGTTACTCCGGCTCCTCGTGTGATCGATCAGTGCTTGCACGAATATCTGATTTTTGCCATAATCGCCGTAGCCCTGAAATGCGAAGAAGTCTATCTCATACTCCATGGTTAAAATGTAACCAGAACTCGAAGACTATGCTCTGGGCAAGAAGGGGGTGGGTGGTCATACTTAGCACAGGTGGCTTATAAGCAAGCTGGATATCGTTTTTGGGGCAAAAAGCAAAGGGATATCGTTTTCGTGGGTCTGAAATCAGGTTTTTTAGTCAACGACTCGTTTTTTAGTCAGTTTAGGTGTTTCGGATAAGGGTCAAAGGGAACTTCGTAAAATCAGAGAGAACTGGATTTTTGCATCTTCGGAAAGCCACCTCGTGCCGTATCCTGGAGATGGTGCAGGATTCTGCACAGATCATAGGTTTTTATATTAACTGCAAGTTATGAAAAAGCAGGAAAAGAAAAAGGATAGGGTTATTCCATAAGTCCTACCCGTTTCTGAAGTTCAACTTCAAGTCACCATGACTCTGTTGGTTCATAAATTTGCTGTAACAAATTGAGTTACAATCAACAACTTTTTGGCAGCACTATGTACTGATTCCTGCAATGACAACAAAAAGATTTTCTAGCCGAAGAATGTCAGAAAATTTTCATTCGGGAACTCGTACTTCACTCTCTCAAAGGTGGCAATAAAGTGCGTCCATTGAATTTTCTGGTTTTTCACCGCTGAAAATAGAGGATTTCGGTTTCTCTGATCTGAACATCTTAGCCCCGCCTAGCTGTACAGAGCAAAGGTTCCGTAATTGCGCTGCGCTTATTATCTCTATTATCTTCTTATAATGACTACAACAACGAGTTATATTCGAGCCAAAATTTCCAATCTCCAAATTTTTGAAAATAATTTCGATGAGCACATTGTAGCACGAGTCCTCAGCAAACGTTACTGTGTTAGAAACTTCGTTTATTCTCGTTGGATTTTATGGAGTGAAGTATAATGAAAAAAAATTACACACCTGGTTTGTTGTCCTTTCAAGGTATCGTACCCCGGAGTGAACAGAACTATGAAAAGAGAGCATTCGCAAAAAAAGAGAGAAAAGGAGCTTTCGAACGATATAGGCGATGTTCATGACCCCCCCCCCCCCCAAACTAGTAGTCCGAGAGAAGTACAAAAATTGGGCAAGACTTTTGGAACAATAGGCTTTTTTTCGAACTTCTTCTTCCCAACTAAGCGATTGCGGTGTCTGGGCGAGTTTCGTAGTACGGATTCCATTCCATTTTCACTACTGCACTTTGCAGTATCACTAAAACGAGATTTTGTCATTGTTCAGCTGCTCACCTTCGCAAGATCTCGTGCATCCTGTAGTTGTAGACGTTCAAACATTCGAACAATCTTGGTGTTGTCCATTTGTTTCATACTATTGCTGTTCACAAGTAACGGTTTCAAATAATTACTATTGACATATTGGAATCTGAAGTGATCAATGGTTTGATGGCAAATTAATCAAGTGCTTGTGCATTTGCAAACTTACGTCTCTCTAATCCAGTGATGTCCCTTGAATCCAGCAATATCTTCCATACCAGACATAGTGTAATCGATAAGCTGCAAATTAGTTAAGATTTAACGAGTTTATCCGTTGAGTAATTCTGGATAGTTTTATTTTGGTGTGCATTTTGTAACTCTCTCACCAGCAGTATGGACCTTTTTGATTGATTCTTTTCTAGGTGGATTTTAAGCGAGCTTTAAAAATGGGAAAAATTTCATGCTGTAATCTCTTTTAAAACCACCGAACTTCAGGATATACTTGCTAGAGTTTTCTACTAACCGTTTTCTATTCTGAGTTAGCATTCGAAATTTAGTGTAAAAATGTACAACAATTTTATTACAAACTAGTAGCATGTCCATCATATTCTGATTTTTATTTCTTACTAGCTGGCTTACCCGGCTCCGCCGTATCCGGACCAAACTTGGCACACATACACTTCGGGCCCCGGCGCGTGTCACAGTCCACTTTTCGTTATCGATCGATGTCGATTTTACCGATTTTTATCGATTTTTTCGCAGAGTTCACCTACAGGGCTAGGAGTTGGCACAGGGGGGAAGTGAGCATGGGGATTCCGAATACAATATTAGTTTTCAGAATTATCGGTTACTTTTATTGATTTTATCGATTTTTTGTAAATTTTGACATGCGATGCTGGGATTTTGCACAGGGGGGTAATCGAGCATGCCGATTACGAACACAATATTAGTTTTCAGGATCGTCCATTACTTTTATCGATTTTATCGATTTTTTCGTAAAGTTTGACCTGCGGGGCTGGGAGTTTGCACAGGGGGGTAATCGTGCATGCAGATTACGAATACAATATTAGTTTTTGGAATTATCCATTACTTCTATCGATTTTATCGATTTTGCAAAATTTGAGCTAGGGGGCTGGAATTTGGCACAGGGGTGTAATCGAGCATGCTGATCACCCCCTTGGGGATGATCAGCATGCTCGATTACCCCCCTGTGCCAACTCCCAGCCCCCTAGCTCAAACTTTGCAAAAAATCGATAAAATCGATAAAAGTAATCGATAATCCCGAAAACCAATATTGTATTCGGAATCCCCATGCTCGATTACCCCCCTGTGCGAACTCCCAGCCCCGTAGCTCAAACTTTGCAAAAAAATCGATAAAATCGATAAAAGTAATCGATAATCCTGAAAACCAATATTGTATTCGGAATCCCCATGCTCGATTACCCCCCTGTGCGAACTCCCAGCCCCGTAGCTCAAACTTTGCAAAAAAATCGATAAAATCGATAAAAGTAATCGATAATCCTGAAAACCAATATTGTATTCGGAATCCCCATGCTCGATTACCCCCCTGTGCCAACTCCCAGCCCCGTAGCTCAAACTTTGCAAAAAAATCGATAAAAATCGATAAAATCGATATCGATCGATGACGAAAAGTAGCCTATGACACCCGCCGGGGCCCAAAGTGTATGTGTGCCAAGTTTGGTCCGGATCGGTTCAGAAATGGAATTTTCTATTCGGAACATACGTACATACATACATACATCCTTACTATAATATACATTGGATCCTTCCAAGCGCTACGGCAGAGTTTTCTGCGTCCCTCCTATCCTTAACCCCAGCGTGACGGAGGGTCCAGTTGCTGAAGGAATCCAGAAAAAGGAATGCGAAAATATAACGGCGCTCAGTGATGGGGAGAGGAGAGGCCAGTAGCCATTATGCCGGCGAGAGATTCGCTCGCACTATGGGTCCCGTGCGGAGCGGAAATTTTTCAACATTGAGCTGAGCGGCTACCATTTGTCACAGGGGGTGTATGTGTGAAGGCTGATCACAAAAACATTACATTTAGAATTACCGATAATCTATATGCGGTATATAGGTAGTCATTATTCTGGGCAAGAGATTGTTGTTGTGTTTCTGTCACAGTGGCTCTCGCCGATGGGGTACGAAGAAAGTTATTGATCGCTTGTGTCATTTTGTACTGTCGTGCACGCATTCAAGCAGTATTTTGTTACCTACTGGAGCTCACGGCTCTTATTTGACTCTTCATGGGACATTTCTTCACAAAAAGTTAACCTTCTGCTCAAGTAACGCTCCCTATTTTTGTCAGCTTGATGGGAGCTGAAGCTTTTTTATTCAGCATACAAATAATCAGCATAGCATACTGCCCTCCTACTTCCATAATCATTTTGACTGGAAATAACTGGATTGGATTTACATTATTGATGATGCAATGATGCTTTTTTTCCACAGCTAGCGATTAGATGCATAAATGGCTAATGCACAAATAAAATAATTGTCATTATAGAGTTTTTCTATAAGTTCGAGACCGTCTTGTGCATGATTAGCTTTGATTTGTTCAACAAACGCTGTATTGTGATCAACCAGGCTTCTGCGATAGCCGAATTTTCCGGATTTTGACTATGACGCGTAGTTTAGTACGTCGTCCGACAACCCACTGCAATCTTTCATAAATGAACGCAACTCCACACCCTCAAAGGAAAAAGCAGTTGAGAAATGAAAGGCTTCTATCCATTTTTTGCTGTTGTTGTCAAGGCACGAACATTTTTTAAAGGACTCCATTGGCTCACAAACACTTTTGGGTTCTTTTTCACTAAGGAATTCTGCTTTGCCCAAATAGAAAAGTGCAGAGCGAACATGGTTTCGCTGGCAGCAAAGACTAGGGGAAGGGGACTCTATGCGGCACGCACTTTTTCTTCTAAAAAATTCCAAGGGCTCACAAACAAACTACCTTTCGGTTTTATTCACTGAGAAATTCCTCTTTTGCCCAAAAAGAAAAGAGCAGGGCAAATATGGTTTCCTTGGAAGGGACTAGGGACCTTATGCGGCACGCACGTTTTCGGAAGAACACCAAGGGCTCACAAACAAACTACCCTTGGGTTTTTTTTGGCCCTTGAAAGGGGCCCGGGACTTTATGGACGCGAAATTTTCGAAGTTCAAGGCTTTACAGAAGAAGTTTAATGTCGAAAAAGATTTTAGGTTTTTTTCTCACTGAGGAGTTCCTACTTTTCCCCAAAAAGAAAAGAGCAGGGCGAACATGGTTCCCTTGGAAGGGACAAGGAACTTTATGGGCGACATTTTCGAAGTTCCAAGGTTTTACAGACAAAGTTTGAAAATTGTCGAAAGAAACTTTAGGTTTTTTTTTCACTGAGGAATTATTTTTGCCCAAATAGAAAAGAGCAGGGCGAACATGGTTCCCTTGGAAGGGACAAAAGACTTTGTGCTGCACGCACTTTTTTTGCACTGAGAAATTCCTACTTTTGCCCAAAAAGAAAAGAGCAGGGCGAACATGGTCCCCTTGGAAGTGACCAGGGACTTTATGAGCAATTTGTCTGTAAAACATTGGAACTTCGAAATTTTTGAAGTTCCAATGTTTTACAGACAAAGTTTGATGTGGAAAGAAATTTTAGGTTTTTAATTCACTGAGGGATTCCTACTTTTGCTCAAATAGAAAAGAGCAGGGCGAACATGGTCCCCTTTGAAGGGACTAGGGAATCTATGTGGCACGCACTTTTTCTTCTAAAGAATTCCAAGGGCTCACAAACAAAGTACCTTTGGTTTTTTTTCCACTGAGAAATTCCTATTTTTGCCCAAAAAGAAAAGAGCAGGGCGAGCATGGTCTCGCTGAAAGCAAAGAAAGGGGGACTCTATGCGACACGTATTTTATTTCTAACGAACTCCAAGGGCTCACAAACAAACTACCCTTGGGCTTTTTTTTTTACTGAGGAATCCCTATTTTTGCCCAAAAAGAAAAGAGCAGGGCGAACATGGTCCCCTTGGAAGGGACTAGGGACTTTAAGGGCGCGAAATTTTCGAAGTTCCAAGGTTTTACAGATAAAGTTCGAAATTTGTCGAAAGAAATTTTAGGTTTTTTTCACTGAGGAATCCCTATTTTTGCCCAAATAGAAAAGAGCAGGGCGAACGTGGTCCCTTGGAAGTGACCAAGGACTTTATGGGCAATTTGTCTGTAAAACATTGGAACTTCGAAATTTTTGAATTTCCAAGGTTTTACAGACAAAGTTTGATGTGGAAAGAAATTTTAGGTTTTTAATTTACTGAGGAATTCCTACTTTTGCTCAAATAGAAAAGAGCAGGGCGAACATGGTTCCCTTGGAAGGGACAAAAGACTTTATGCTGCACGCACTTTTTTTTTCACTGAGAAATTCCTATTTTTGCCCAAAAAGAAAAGAGCAGGGCGAGCATGGTCTCGCTGAAAGCAAAGAAAGGGGGACTCTATGCGGCACGTATTTTATTTCTAACGAACTCCAAGGGCTCACAAACAAACTACCCTTGGGCTTTTTTTTCCACTGAGGAATCCCTATTTTTGCCCAAAAAGAAAAGAGCAGGGCGAATGTGGTCCCCTTGGAAGGGGTCAAAGACTATAAGGGCGCGATTTCGAAGCTGCAAGGTTTTACAGATAAAGTTTGATGTCGAAAGAAATTTAAGGTTTTTTTTTCAGGGAGGAATTATTTTTGCCCAAATAGAAAAGAGCAGGGCGAACATGGTCCCCTTGGAAGTGACCAGGGACTTTATGAGCAATTTGTCTGTAAAACATTGGAACTTCGAAATTTTTGAAGTTCCAATGTTTTACAGACAAAGTTTGATGTGGAAAGAAATTTTAGGTTTTTAATTCACTGAGGGATTCCTACTTTTGCTCAAATAGAAAAGAGCAGGGCGAACATGGTCCCCTTTGAAGGGACTAGGGACTCTATGTGGCACGCACTTTTTCTTCTAAAGAATTCCAAGGGCTCACAAACAAAGTACCTTTGGTTTTTTTTCCACTGAGAAATTCCTATTTTTGCCCAAAAAGAAAAGAGCAGGGCGAGCATGGTCTCGCTGAAAGCAAAGAAAGGGGGACTCTATGCGGCACGTATTTTATTTCTAACGAACTCCATGGGCTCACAAACAAACTACCCTTGGGCTTTTTTTTCACTGAGGAATCCCTATTTTTGCCCAAAAAGAAAAGAGCAGGGCGAACATGGTCCCCTTGGAAGGGACTAGGGACTTTAAGGGCGCGAAATTTTCGAAGTTCCAAGGTTTTACAGATAAAGTTCGAAATTTGT